GTGTCTGGGCCGGCCAGCAAGCTGAGGCTTCAGGGGTTCCGGGGAGGATGGGTGGGGACGCGGCCTTGGTCTAGTTCACCTCTGCACCCCCGACCCCCGCCCGCCTAGACAGCGGCCTCTCACTGCCCGCCGGCCGCGCCCTTGCACGAGCCTCCGGCCCACTTCCTGCCCCCGCCCCGCCGACCCTGGCAGCACTTCCTTTGCAAAACTGGGCAGCCCCAGGCCCTGGCAGGAAGTGCTCTCCTGGCCCGCCCTCCCTCCCCTGCTTCCCACGGTGGCCGCTAGAGGCCTCTGTGTCCTCTCAGTCGCCTGGGCTCCCCAGAACCGGGCCTCCCCAGCCCGTCCCCTGGGCGCGCACAATTTACCCCCTCCTCCACCCCCGGGGGCGGGAAAGATGAGGGCCGGTTTCCTTCACCCCTCCCGCGGTGAACAGCTTCTGGCTCCCCCTAATAAACACACCGCGGAGAAGGGAGATCTGCCCCTCCTAAAGACTGATCCCTGTCCCCCCAGCTCCACGTCCCCTATCCCTCCCATCCCCTCATCCCCGTACCGTGTGAATCCAGCCTCAAGGCTGCCTCCTGGTGTCCCCGATGCTGATCTGGCCCCCAGGACTGAGTGGATCTGCAGTGTGTGTGATTCTACCCCCTCCCCCTCCCCACTACTTTTCCCTGGTAGAAGAGTGCGGAGAAGCATCCGCCTGGGAGGAGAACCCGCAGTACCTCGCTGGATGCTGTCAGTTCCAGTTACAGTCTGAGCTGAAGCCGAGAGCCTTTGGCAGCGTAAATACCCAGCCCTCCCAGCCTCTGCCCTCGCCCTCCTAAGGGTCCTGCTGGAGTTCCTGCTCTCCATGCAAATACTAGTCCCCCCAGATTTGCATCCCAGAGGCCCAGACACACCAGGGAGTCACCAGGGCTACCAACTTTGAATGAGACTGTAGCCAGCGTCCCCTACCCACACAAACCCACTTCACCCACAGAGTTCAATGCAACCACATGTATCAGCGCTTACTGTGTGCTAGGCACGGTGCCAGGACCTAGGGACACGCCGTGACTAGGCCAGGCTTCTGCTCTCAAGGAACTCACATTCTAGTGTGAAGAAAGACACTTGAGCAGACTATCTAAAACCTGAAATGCTGCAAATGCAATGCAAGAGATAACACGGGGTTGGGGGTGGAGGAGGGAAGAAGACACCTAACCCCCCCTACTCCCGAGGAACTGCCATGGCAGAGATTAGAAATGCTTCCTGTAAGAGTGAAGCTCAGAGGAGTTTGAGAAGGAGGCAAGGTTCAGGTGAAAGTGGTCTGTGTGAGGAGGTACACCAGGAAAGGAAGCCAGAGCCTCTGGGGACCACTGTAGGGCGTGTGGGAAGTGACAGTCTGGGAATTGTGTGGGAGTGGGGAAGGATGGGAAATGACGCTGCAGAAAGCTGGAGCGAGATAAGGCAGATCTGTAGCCAGACGAAGGGAGTGGGTGCCACTGAGTGACACTAGGGGACGCTGAGCAGGAGGAGCGTACTCAAACCTGGCAACCGCACACTGGAAGCCAAATCAGGGGTCTGGGGACATAAGACCCTCCCTATGAAGAGGCTGTAGCCATGGTCCCTAAGACAGAGGATGAAGATCTGAACCGGGGCAGAGGCAGAGTGAAGAGAGAAGGTTAAAGCAATGGAAGTGACATAGGAGATAAAGCTGTGGCTGGTTGGCTCCCAGAGCAGGGGTGGAGGGAAGGAAGGAAGGAAGGGGACCTAACTTCTGGCTTTGGAGATGTCAGGTGTGCCCAGGTCTCTAACTGAGCCTGGTGTGGGCAGATGTTCACTATTTGCTTGTTACACACACAGAACACCTGATACAGTGCTGCTGGCAGGAGAGTAAACTGGTGCAGCCTCTTCCGAGAATGATTTGACAACATCTATCAAAAGTATTTTTAAGTTTGAACCCAGGACCTCATGCATGCTAAGCATGCACTCTACCGCTTGAGCTATCCCCAAACCGTGCAGTTGCAGTTTTAGGAATTTATGTGGTAGATAAAATGTATATGCATATAACCTTGTATGCACATGGGTATTAACTTGTTGGTACTAGCAAAGCACTGAAGTAACCTCAGTGTCCATCCATAAGGGACTGGTTAAATAAATGTTGCTGTATTTATACCAGGGAATACTATGCAGTGATGAAAAACGATGAGGTGGAAATATCCAAGCAGATATAGAATGATCTCCAAAAAAAAAACCAGTCAATGAAGCAAAGCAAGATTCATAACAATAGTGGTGGTATATTCCCACTAAGGAGAATTCCCACTAAAAATAAACACAAATACACATATGTACTTTTGTATGCTCCAATAGGGTACACAAGAAATGGGAATTGTGGCTAATTGTGGGGAGCAGGGCTGGGGGAACTGCGTGGGAGTCACCTAAGATGGCAGGGACACATTATATATCTGTTTATATATTGAATTATTTTATCAGGTACATTTATTAATTTTTTAGAATAAAAATCAGCTTAAAGTAAAAACAGTCAGTTTTCTAAATATAGTCTACAAGACACTGCCCTTGACTCAGGTAAGTCAAGATCATAGAAAAAAGGCAGAGGACTATTCTAGATTTGAAAGATACTGAAGACATAACAATCAAAGAAAATGCATTATCTTGATTTGATTAAGAATCAGTGAAGCCAGCCGTTAACAATCCTCCCTCCTGGGGACAATTGGAGAAATTTGACCTTGGCCTGGATACAAGGTGATACCAGAAATAATTGTTAACACTGTCAGGTGTGAAAATCGTATTACAGTTGTGAAGTATACTTAGGAGCTATGTGACAAACTAAGTATTTTCAGCTGAAGTGTCATGATGTCTGCAACTAACTTCCAAAGAGGTATATATGGCAAATGCTAATTCTTGAGTCCATAGATGTTTATTAGTATACTACTGTACTATTATTTATACTTTTTAATATGTTTGACATTTATCATAATAAAGAAATTGGAAATAAACTTTAAAAACATATGTTCTCCCCTAAAATCCTGAGGCTAAGTTAAAAGACAAGCAGCAAGCTGAAGAAAAGTGCACCGTAAATGATGGGCAGCCTACCAACCTTGATACATTAAATAAACAACCCCAACAAATTAATTAAAAATTCACAAAGGAAGACATATCCCATAAGTTTATTTTAAAATGGTCTGTCTCACTGGTAATCAAAGAAATATAAACCAACACAATGACAATTTTCTTTTGAACATTCAAACTGACAGAAATTTTTTTAAAAGCTGCATTCCAGTGCTAGGGAGAGTGTGGAGAAAGAGGCAGACTCCTGTACTGTAGGCGGGATTATAAATTAATGCGACTTTTCTGGAAGGCAATTTGCCTATTCACATCTTTGATCCAGCAATCTGACTTTTAGAAGTTTATCCTAAAGAAATAAAAATGAATGCAATCCAGTGGCAAAGATTTAGCAGTAGGAATACTTACCACAACATTCTTTATAGTATCAAATAATCGGATATAAGTTGAAAGTCCGATAATGAGCTATTGGTTACATAAACTATGCTATCTATCTAATGGATTACCATGAGTGTAATAGCTCAGTGGTAGAGTGCGTGCTTAGCATGCATAAGGTCCAGGGTTCAATCCCCAGTACTTCCATTAAAATAAATAAATAAACAAACAAACAAATAAAACCTAATTACCACTCCCCCCCAAAAGACAAAAAAAAATGAAGTTGCAAAATAGCATACAACATGTCACAGTAGAAAGGATATATATGTTGGGGGAGGGTATAGCTCAGTATGGTATGGTAGAGTGTATTCATGCATGAGGTCCTGGGTTCAATCCCCAGTACCTCTATTAAAAAATAAATGAATAAACCTAATTACCCCCCCAAAAGTATATGTATGTGAATAGATAGATGATAGGTAGGTAGATACTATACACATACAGAACACACAGCATATGTACTGAACAATAACTTGAAAGAAATACTTCAGGATAAATTACTCAGATTTATCTCCATGGTGGAATTACAGATGAGTTTTTTCTTTCCTTTTTGCCTGCCTGTATAATTGAACAAACATACACTTTTTATTCACAAAAAGCGTGTTTTTTTTTAAAAAAAACCAAATAGCACCTGCAGTGTTGTTACTCCTCCTACCAGACTGTGCTCAAGCTCACTCATAACGCATCTGCACACACATGCATACGTATGCACACATATGTACATTTTTTTCTCTAGAACTCTTGGGAAGGAGAAGCGGCTAGCCTCACCCAGCACCCTTCATCTCACCTACCTAAGGACCACAGTTCAGAAGTGACAGGAGAATTTCTGCAGGGGTGAAGGTTGAGGGGCAGCTGCCCAGGGTGCTGAGTTTGTGGGCAAAGCCGACTTCTGGATGAGACCCACACCTAAGAGGGCTGCGCTCCTTTCTGGTCCTGTATGAGAAACCCCCTAGGATCAGGGTTCAGTGGTGGAAGTCTTGGCTTGGGAGAGAGCACAGAGCAGGGTCCAAAGGCACCAGTTTATGGCAGCTCATAAAAACTCCAGGTGGAGGCAGTGCCTCTGAAGTGAAGGGATAAGAAAAGCACTGTGCCCTCTCTGAGCGAGTGACATCTAGGGACACCAGAGTCCCATCTGTCCTGAAGGAGCCCTAAGTCTGAACCCCTGGCCCTGCATCCCTGGGTCCAATGGTCCCCCACCCCGGGAGCCACTCCTCTAGGGGAGAAAGGAGGACCACGGAGCCAGCTCCTCTGAGTTGGTAGGCTCCAGGTGCTGTCCACCTGCTGCGAAGGCCTGGGTCCTGGGCAGAAATACATCCCATCCCTGGGCATTTGCCAGGGAGCCAAGGGTGGGGCACATGGGGTCTGGCTGTCAGACTGTCGCTGGGCTCCTGGCTCCCAGGGACCTGGCGGGCACCTGCCTCCCCACCCCCTCACCTATTCTCTCTCTCTCTCTCTGGGGCCCTATCTTCCCTTATATGGTGAAGGCAGTTCCTAGGAGGGGGGGTGGGGACAAAGGTCGCTCTCCTCCCGCCAGCTTGCCACAACTCCCTGAGATCTCCCAGGTGGCAGCTGCCTCCCCCAGACAGGTAAGGCAACACCGCGGTGACACATGGGAACCATAGGTGGTGGGAGAGGACAGGACAGGTCCCCTGCTTCTTGCTGGCAGCCCGGAGCCTCCTGCAGCTCCTTGGAGCGGGGTAAGGGAGAAGCTTGGCACTCTGGAGAGTCTGGAAAGGGCGGGAGCCCTGTGTGGGTTCTTGGGCCTCCAAGGGAAGGGCAGTGCAGGCTCCACCCAACCCCCCAGACGACTGCCCTTTCAGACCCCCACCCACCGCCAGACCCCACCCTGACTGCCCTGGACTGAGGAAACCCTGCAGACTTGGAACTTCTATATTTAAAACCCACCAGTCGTGGCAAACTGGGACTAGTTAGTCACCCTGACCTCACTCTCCTTCTTCCCTCAGCCCCTACCGTCTCTTTGCCCATTTCTTCTTCATCTGAACTGGCTCCTTTCTCCGTGTCTCCGTTCCCCTGACACTCCTGGGATCTCAGGGCTCTCAGCTCCTGGATCCTAGGGTGTGAGCAGCAGCCATCAGGAGTTGGATGGACAAAGGCAGAGGCGGGGGCCAGGGGCTGGTCCATGCTCAGCCACCCTAGTGTGCACCAGTGCCCCCCTCCACCAGGACTGTTCCCCTCAGCCTCACCAGGCACTGTGGCCTCATTCAGGGGCAATGTGGGTGTGGCTAGGGGAGGGGGAAGCCAAGTCCAGACCTGGGTCTTAGGACATACGACCACCCACTTCCCAGGAAGCCTGTTCAGGCCTTCTCAGGTCGGGGAGAGGCAGAGTCTGCAGGCTAAGGGGCTGGGGCGTGTCCACGACCCCTGCTCTCATGGACCTGGGGAACAAGAAGGTGTTCCCTTTGTTTCGGGGACTGCCACATCCTGGGCCCGCTCAGAACGGCATGACTGGGGACTGAGAGCAGTGACAGCACCCAGGGATCTCTGGAGCCTGAACTCTGAGGACAACAAGGCAGTGGTTAAGAAAAGAAAGATGGGACCTGGAGGCAGTGTGAGCCCTAACTTCCTCAAGGGCCCCCAAGAAGGTTCATCCCTTTTATTCTGTGGTTCAGTCTTCCAGCTTCAAGAATATTTATTAAGCATGTCTTGTGTGCTAGGGGTTGGGGGCTACACAGACAAAAATGCCTAGGTCCTTGACCTCAGAGTCCTCAGACCTACAAACAAATCCTTTAATCACCATGTGGGCAGGAGGCCAACAGGGCCATCTGTCCAGTATGCCTTGGGCCCCCTGAGGAGGGGTCCTTAGAGTAGCTTGAGTATTCTGAGATGGTCTCCCGGAAGAAATGAGACCTAAATTGAGTCAAGAAGACCATGTGAGTGTTAGTCCAAAGGAGAAAGGTGGGGAGGGCATTGGAAAGGAAAATGAAAGGACAAAGGAGGAGGGTGAGAAGCAGCATGTCTGTGTGGGCTAGGGCCAGTGAGCAGTTTGGTGGTACTAGAAGCAGAGAGAGGTGGGGGTGTGGTGGGGACAGACTGGAGAGGCATTCAGGTGGACAGAAGGGCCCGAGAGGAGGGGTCCAGGGTGTTGCACAGATGGCTGACTTTGGGGTCTAGGGGTGATGGTGCCCTTTCTCAAGATGGAACAGAGAAGAATAGGGACCAGGAGTGAGGGGGGAGCCGGTTAATTCAGGTTGAGAGAGAAGACACCACATATCCAAGCCCAGGGCTGTACTGTCAGCAGTGGGGGCAGTATGGGACCCAAATTCCTCCCAGCAGTTCAGGGGAAGACCCACCAGGGGCCAGAGCAGAGGCTTCCACTCTGACCAACATCGATGGGGTAGGAGCTGTTGGTGGGTATCCATGGGGACACCCTTGGAATATGACTCTACCTCTCAGGACTGCCCTCCCCAGGGTCTCCTTGCCCACCACCTTCCCTGTTCATGCTGCTGGAGGTCCCAAATCCTGACTTGTCTTTAGGTAGGGGGAGCACCAGCTTTTCCAAGCCCCTGCTCCCCTGAATCTTCAATGCTTGGTTGGACAAGAAGGGCCTCATCTTATCTACCCTCTGTTTCTCTTGTTGCTCCCTCCCAGACTCAGATCTTATCCCAGGTGGGACTTTAGAGACCACCTAGTCACCTGCTCACCTCATAGATGAAGAAATGGGGCCTATGTTTGTACCACCAGTGAGGGTCAGTCTGTCTTGGTGAAAAGAGGCTGTAGACAAAGGTAGTGATTGAAATAAAACAGAAAATATTTTCCTCCTTTGTACCCAAATCAGTTCTATTAAACTGGGAGTTTTGGGAGCCCTGGGGTCTCTGTGGGTTGAGAAATATCTCATGGAACAGGCCTTGGCCTATAGGGGCATCAGACAGGACCCAGGCACAAAGGACTCCTACAAGCACGGCGCTGCGATTGGCAGGTGGCTCTGATCTGCTGGAGAGGTCGCTAATGAGAGGCTGGGCAGGGAGAGCTTGCCCCTAAATTCCAGAATGCCAGGGAGAGGGAGTTTACCAGTAGTTAAAGGCCATGTCATTGTTCCAAGAGGTGACTCAGAGTCAAGGTGCAAAGAGAGATTAGATAGAGTCCAGCTGTCAGTGCACAGAGGTGGGGACTGCATGACCTATCATTCATTATTCATGGGTTCAAGGAGCATTTGTGGAGGGGGCCTCTCTGCTGGGCTGGGTGGTAGGCTTGGTGGGGAATGGCATGGCCTCCAGCCTGGTAAATGGGGCAGGAAACCAGGGACCAGAATAACTGGGGACAAATGGCTCTCTTCTCTAGCTCATCAGAGCTGCTGGAGAGTTTTAAAGGCACCTATGCCCTGCCTCCCAAAAGGCAAAATATAAAGTATTCAAGCCCGGGCCCCATCCTGACCTAATTAAACCAGAATCCCTGGAGAAATGGCTCCAGCAGCTGAGCATCAGAGCATCGGTATTGTTTGAAAGCTCCCTAGGTGATTCTGATGAGCAGTTGGAGTGGAGAACACAGCTACAAGTCAAACAGAAATAGCCATAAAAGATACCATAAAAGAAACCTGGGGAGAGGAGGTTTCTTCCAGCTCAGTGGGTGGAGGGTGGTTCACTATGAAACGATTCACTCATTCATTCATTCACTCATCTATCCATCCATCCACTCAATCACTTTCACCCACACACCCACCCAACCACCCAACTACCCACCCATCCGTCCATCCATCCACCCATCCATTCATCCATCCATCCACTCACGCACCAGCTTAGCAAAGTGCTAACAGTGTTAGATGCTGGGGATTCAGTACCGAATAAACAATACCGCCCTGCCTGGTGGGGTCCACAACTTGTGGGCCACCAGAACAGTGGTTGAGGGGTGTTTGGGGGTAGCAAGAAACAGGCAACTACTGCATATACTTTTTAAAACTGTGGCAAAATACACATAAGATTTACCATCTTAACCACTTTAAAGGGTACGATTCAGTGGCATTGAATACATTTACAATGTCATGCAAGGGAGCAGAACTATCTAGTTACAGAATTTTTTCACCTCCCCAGATGGAAACTCCGTACCCACTAGGAGTCACTCCATATTTCCTCCTCTCCCCTCCCAACCTCCCCCAGCTGCCGATAACCATTAATTGCTTGCTATCTCTATGGATTTTCCTGTTCTGGATATTTCATATAAATGCAGTCATACAGTGTGGTCCTTTGTGTCTGGCTTCTTGCACTCAGCATAATGTATTTCAGGTTCAGCCACGTTGTAGCATGTCTCATGCTTCATTCCTTTTTATGGCTAAATACTATTCCATTGTGTGGATCCTTTCATTGATCCATTCATCTGTTGATGGACATCTGGGTTGTTTCCACCTTTTGCCTATTGTGAATAGAGCTGCTATGAGCTTCATGTACAAGTTTTTGTTTGAACACCTGCTTTTTTTCAATTCTTCTGGGTGCATGCATTTTCATCCTTATTTATTCTTTGCTTCCCTTTTTTTTTTAAAACTCTGTGTGATATATATTTTTTCATCAAGCATGGCTTTGATCAAAAACTTTCAGGAAGAAAAATTGTTTGGGGCTAGATCAAGAAGGGCCTAGTGCCAGAATGCCAGGTTAAGAGGTGGTGGCTTTATTCAGTTGGTGGTAGAGAGTCAGGGTAGGTTTTTGAACAAGACGTTGACACAATCAGAGCTTGGATGGGAAGATGGAGGCTGGGCCCCTGGTCAGTCAGGGCTCAGGTTGGGAAGCCTCCCCACTGTCCCTGAGCCCTGGCCTCCTGGCACTGTTGGGAGCTCTCCAGGGCTGGGCTGGAAAAGCAGCTCCTGAAACCCAGGGTGCATCCAGCTCCTCTTCTTGCTACCACACCGCTTCTCCCCTAGGCTCATCCACCATGACCAAACTGAGCGCCCAGGTCAAAGGCTCCCTCAACACCAACACGCCCGGAGTGCAGATATGGAGGATTGAGGTAAGGACCTGCCTGGGCACGAGGCTGGCTCTGTTGGCCTGGGATGGACCAAGGGAAGGAAGAGCCCTGGGATTACTCGACTGTCTTCCATCCTGCCCTGCTGGCCTGTGAGCCCCTAGTGCCTGTCTCCAAGTCCCCCCCACCCCAGGCATCGGCCAAGTCTTCCTGCTCCTCTTCCTCTTCCCCCATCACATCCATTTTCCCTGTTGGTTTCCTCATGCCCTGCTCTTCCTGGCTCTTCACTTCTCCCAACTCTCCCTTTGGTTAAAGGGAGGCAAGGAGGCTGGGGGTCCTGGGTGGTTGACCCCTCTGACCTCCCTTTTCTCCCCAGTCCATGCAGATGGTGCCTGTTCCTTCTAGCACCTTCGGCAGCTTCTTCGATGGTGACTGCTACGTAGTCCTGGCTGTGAGTAGGGGATGAGCTAGGGAGGGAACTGAGCACAGAACAAAGCTCATGGTAGCATCAGGGAGGACACTTGAGGCTGGGGGCAATGGGGACTGCTGGCCTAGCTTCACCCCAAGACAGCATTCACTGGGTGTGCCCGGGTGCCCAGCCCAGTGGTAGCTCCACAGGGTCAGAGATGTAAGAGGCTCTCTCTGCCCTTGGGCCACTGAGCTCCCAGCTGGGGCAACTATCTGCAGATTTACAGTCTTGGGGGATCTTCTGAGCTGGTGGGATGTCACCCTACCTTGAGTCCATGTTCCCAAAATCCGTAATCAACTTCATGTTACCTTCTTGGTTTCTTCCACATCTTGTGTAATTAATATATTTGTATTTCTTCCTTATATTAATTTTTATTTATATTAATATTAATAAAAATTAAATCAATTTATTAAAAACATAACTTGATATCATTATCACAAGTGGAAAGCAGTGTTCTGTGTCACAAACAGAAAGTAACTGCAATACTTCCCTAGTCATTTCATAGATATATTTGGTTGTATACCCACTAATCACCTCCCAGACCTCTGATGTTCTATGCACATCATTTTGGGAAACGCTGCCAACATCCAACCAAATTATTTCCAAGATAAGATGAGCAAGGCCCCTGGGGGGAGAGCCACTTGCCCCATGTCTCAGAGAGTCTGTGCCAGAGCTGGGGCCATGACTCAGGGCTCCTGACCACCGGTCCTGTGAGCTTTCCCTGTTCCAAGCTCCCCTGTGGCCCAGGCCCTGCATGCGTGGGAGACCATGCAAAGCAGGGAGGTGGGGAGAGGCTGTGGGAGCCCAGGGCCTCGGGTACACCAGCCATGCCCTCTCCCTAGATCCACAAGACGGCCAGCAACCTGTCCTATGACATTCACTACTGGATCGGGCAGGCCTCGTCCCAGGATGAGCAAGGGGCAGCTGCCATCTACACCACGCAGATGGACGACTTTCTGAAGGGCCGGGCCGTCCAGCACCGCGAGGTCCAGGGCAATGAGAGCGAGACATTCAGAGGCTACTTCAAGAAGGGCATTATGTACGGAGGGGCATGCTGCAGGCAGTGGGGTGGGAGGAGGACCCAGGGCTGGGGAGGGAGCCTGAGGCTGTAGGGGGAGCCATGAGGGTAATTTTTGTTCACGTTTCCCCTTCCCCACCCCATTTCTGCTGCTGCCCAGCCCTTGGTCTTCATCCCTCTAAGCGTGTCTTTGGCTGCCCCAGAGGCCATTCTGCAATTCTGTAACTCTGTGTACTATGAATTTTTGTAAGTCAACACCTATTTGAATGTCCGGGAGAGCTCAGCGCCAAAGGAGGCATCATATCAAGTCTCTCCTCTGACCAATGGGCATACGACTGCTCCTTCTTTCTCTATAGAGGCCTTTCACGTGAAAAGCTCAGATTTCCAGCTTTTCTTGAAAAGTCTGAAGTTCTGGCCTCCATGCTTTTCCTGTGGAAACACATGGTCAGGAGCTAAGTAGCCACTGACCTATAGGATAGGCTAGGAGCTCTCCAGTTAGCCACAGTCCTCACCCTCCCTTTTGTCTTGCTCTCCTTGTTTCTACACTCACAGCAGCAACCACTTCTTTGGGTTTGAGCTGACACCGCACCTGGCTTAGTCTGCCTGGGCTGCCATAACAAAATACAAAAAATATAAAAACCAAAAAATAGACTGGTTAGCTTAAACAACAGAAATTAATTTTCCCACAGTTCTGGAGGTTGGGAAGTCCAAGACCAATGTGTCAGCTGATTTGGTTGCTGGTGAGGGCTTTCTGCCTGGCTTGCAGACAGCCACCGTCTCACTGTGTCCTTATATGGTGAAGAATGAGCAACCTCTCTGGTGTTACTTCTTCTAAGGGTGCTAATCCCATTATGAGGGTCCCACCCTCATGACCCCATCTATGCCTTATCTAAATCTATTACCTTCCAAAAGCCCCAACTCCAAATATTATCACACTGAAGGGTAGGGCTTCAACGTATAAGTTTGGAAGGGTCACAATTCAGTCCACAGCATCTCCCCTCTTTCCTTTGCTTCAGTCCCCTGTCCTCAGAGTCCTGTCCTGTTCATGCACCCGTCTTTGCCAGCCTCTCAGCAGGGCAGAGACTAGGGTGAGGTGAGTGAGGTATGTAGGGTGCAAACTCCAAGGAGGCACTCACTGCAGGGTCATGCAAATAGAGGCAATAGACTGACCTTGCACTTGCGTGGCCCCGAGAGTGAGTGCCTCCTTGGAGTCTGTGCCCAAAGTGCCTCATGCACGTTCCAAGTTCCAGCCCTTGCCTTCAGATGGCCTCCATGGCAGCCAGGTAACCAGGAGCTGGGAAGATGGAGGCCTGTCACACCTCTCAGTCCACTTCCTTGAGTCAGCTCACCTCTCTTCATAGGATCCAGAAAGGGGGTGTGGCTTCCGGCTTGAAGCAAGTGGAGACCAACTCCTATGACATCCAGCGGCTGCTACACGTCAAGGGCAAAAGGAACGTGGTGGCCGGAGAGGTGGGCATTAGCCAGGGCCCTGGGGCACGGCTTCCTGTCCCTCTTCCCAGCCTGGGTGGTGGGTAGAGACTGAGGAGGGGTGAGGGACAGGAAAGGGGTGGGGAAGGGATGATGGGTGAAGGATGGGGTCTGAGCCACCTCCATGGCATCTCAGGTGGAGATGTCCTGGAAGAGTTTCAACCGTGGCGATGTTTTCCTCCTGGACCTTGGAAAGCTTATCATCCAGTGGAATGGGCCAGAGAGTAACCGCATGGAGAGACTCAAGGTAAATCTGCCCAACCACCACCCCTACCCCCGAGTCCCAACCTGCCCCCATCTGCTCCTGCACTCAGCACCCGGCCTCCCCACCAGTGAAACTTGCCAGACTTCTGCCTCGCCCCAACCAGTCTCTATGTCCCCAGGCGTCTCTCTCCTGACTGTGTGGGCGATGTGTTTGAAGGTGGCTCTGAGTCTCCATGTGTATAGAGAGAGGTATGCATGGCAGAGCTGGCTTGTGTGTGTACAGCGGCTAATCCACTAAGGTGTAGTGAGTCCCTGCTGTGCGGCAGATGCAGTGCCAAGCGCTGGCGATCTAGTGGTGGATGAAACGGGCAGAGCTCTGCCCTGGTTCTGGCCTCCAGCTGGCCGTCCAGTGTGGGGGAAAGACATGAAGGGAATAATGGAGGAGTGAGGGGTGGGGAGTTTGGCACTGAGGGTTCTGAGGGTTCTAAGAAGGTTCTGGGAGGAGGTGGGGTGGGGAGGAGAGCGCCCCAAGGCAGGAGAGAAGTGGCTGGCAGGGGACCTTCCAGCTCAGCTGGAGCACGAGATGGGGACTTCAGGGAGCTTGGAGAGGGGCGAGGCAGAAATCAAATGTGGTGCTTGAGTGGCCGCGGGAATGGATGAAATCCCATTTCCTGAGACAGAAAGGTCAGGAAGGGGAAAATCAAGAGTTGGGTTTTGGACATCTTAAAATGGGGTTATCGTGGAAGTTGGGTGAATAAGATGAGAGCAGAGAGCTGGGCTGGAGACAGAAACATGGGCCTGAGCTGTCTGCAGAAGCCTTGGGACTGGATGAGATGGCCTGGGAGGGAGTGGAGAGAGAAGGAGCCTGGGGTGAAAAGGCCAGTAATAAACAGTGAGCCAGGATCTATGTGTATGAGGACACGAGACAATATACTCTGGGTGTGTGTGTGTGTGTGTGTGTGTGCACGCGCACAGCTTTAGGGCAGAGACTTAGGACTGTGATCTTCAGGGCTCACCTCTTATCCAAAGCTGCCAAGTAAAATCACAAATTTCAAACAATGTCAAAAGCCAAGGCCCAGTAAGTACCCCCTAGACCCCCCCACCCCCGCCCATGAGGAAACCTGCTCTTCCTGTGGGCTTTCATCAGGTTTCCTCACAGGCACCTTGGAAGCCTGGTCCCCGCTCGAAAGGGATGCGCAGGTGGGGAGAGTACAGCTCCAGTGGTAGAGCGCATATCATGCAGGAGGTCCTGGGTTCAATCCCCAGTATCTCCATTAAAGAAATTATTAAATAAATAAACCTAATTACTTCCTCCCCTCCGAAAAATAAAAAAACAAAAAGGAAACGCAGGGCAGGCCCTTGCCCCTTGGGGCTGCTGTGAGGGACTGGGCTCTCCTGGTGTCCCTGTCGCCCGCCCCCACTTCAGCCTTCATGGGCCATGGGCCTCCCTGCAGGGCATGACCCTGGCCAAGGAGATCCGCGACCAGGAGCGGGGCGGGCGCACCTACGTGGGCGTGGTGGATGGGGAGAATGAGAAGGCATCGCCACAGCTGATGGAGATCATGAACTACGTGCTGGGCCAGCGGAGGGAGCTGAAGGCCGCCGTGCCAGACACCGTGGTGGAGCCAGCGCTCAAGGCTGCCCTCAAGTTGTACCAGTGAGTGTGCAGCCGGCTGCCCTTCTCCTGGCTCTGGGGATGGAGGACTTCCTGGGGAGGATGCCCCAGTGAGGGGCGGGGACCATGTCATCTATGCCGCGCCTTTGTCCCACAGCGTGTCTGACTCAGAGGGGAAGGTGGTGGTTAGAGAAGTTGCCACGCGGCCACTCACACAAGACCTGCTGAGTCATGAGGTGAGAGGGTCTGAGGCTCCCCAGTGCCAACTCCCACCACACCACCCCTGCACTCTGATCACTCTCCCCCAAGTAGGACTAGTGCCAGGGGCTTGTGGCAGGTGCGGGAGGGAAGGCAACTTTTTGTGCAGCTCCCCCAGCTCAGCACGACCAGCACCCTCAGGCTGTCACTCTGCATCATTCTCTCCCACCTCTAGGACTGTTACATCCTGGACCAGGGGGGCCTGAAAATCTACGTGTGGAGGGGAAAGAATGCCAATGCCCAGGAGAAGAAGGAAGCCATGAGCCAGGCACTGGTAGGCCTGGAGGAGGAGAGGGCAGCGGGGTCAGACCAGGCAGAGGCTAGGGAAGGCTCAGGGCTCCAACCAGCTCGGGAAGATCTGAGGGTCTACTCTAGCCATCTTGAAGGTTTTCTGCACGCTGGGGAGCCAACTACTGGGCAACCTGGGGGCTTCCTCAGGACGTGGGCTCCCACCTTGAGCTTGGCACAGAAAAGGGAGGGAGAAAATGGAGGCTGGCTTTTTTATGAGAGGGGATTGGGTTAGCATGGGGCCGAGGCCAAGTTTGAGTTTGGGGTCATTGTAGGAGGTGGAGTCAGTAACCCTAACTGGTTTGGGGTTGGCATTGGATTGGGGGTTGGTTCAAGGTTAGAGATGGGGGCTAGGGTCAAGTTTGGGTCAGATTTGGCCTTGGGGTGGGGGTTAGATTCAGGGTTGATGTCAGAGGTAGATTTGAGGTGGTGTCAGGTTTGGAGTCCAGTTTGGCCTTGGGGGTGGAGGTCAGAGCAGGGTTGGGTTTGGGGTTAGCATTGGGACTGAAGTTGGGTTCAGGTTTGGGCTTAGGAAGGGGGTAGGTTTGTGGCTGGGTCTGGTTGGGGTTGGAGCCAGGCTTTGGCTTGCATTGGAGAGGGGGCACCTGGGGAAAGGACACAGCCTCAGCCACCCTCTCCTCTTCCCAGAACTTTATCAAAGCAAAGCAGTACCCACCGAGCACACAGGTGGAGGTGCAAAATGATGGAGCTGAGTCAGCCGTTTTTCAGCAGCTCTTCCAGAAGTGGACAGTGCCGAACCGAACCTCAGGCCTGGGCAAAACGCACACCGTGGGCTCCGTGGGTGAGGGCTGGCCCGAGGCAGGGCAGGGCCGGGAGCCGGGAGTGGGGCCAGGAGAGCACTGACCTGCCCTCCTGCTTTCTGCCATCCTCCCTGGACATGCCTCTTCCATGTGCACTTTTACCCTGGCTCTGGGCTCTCCAGGTGGGGTGGGGACACGAGGGGACATGGATAAACTCAAGAGTTGTCACAAAAAGGGAGCTGAGACCGACCTGCCTTTCATTTGGAATGATGTGGGGTCTCCCTGGAAACCAAACAGCTTCAGTCTCTCACCAGACAGTATTTGCTGAGGGTGAGCTCCTAGCCAGGAACCTGGGGGAAGAGAAAAGGATTGTCCCTCCCCTGTCTCCTCTGGGAGGCCCTGGCGAAGCACTAGTCTTAGGGGCAGGGAGATACAGTTCTATGTTATGACTCTGCCGCCCTCTAGCTGTGTGACCTTGGGCAAGCTACTGAATCTCTCTAGCCTCGGCTTCCTCCTCTGTAAAATGGGTCTAAGAAGAGTAGCTCTTACTCAGGGCTGTTGTGAGAACCTGGGGGAACTCAGCTGGTGACATTTGATATCACGATTCCCCCTAACTCCAGCCAAGGTGGAGCAGGTGAAGTTCGATGCCACATCCATGCACATGCAGCCTCAGGTGGCTGCCCAGCAGAAGATGGTGGACGACGGGAGTGGGGAGGTGCAGGTATGGTGAGGAGAGGGAGCCCCAGGCTGGGTGGGGAGGGGTTATCTGAGCCTTCCTGGACCTCACACTAGCCGGCTACCCACCCCAGGTGTGGCGCATCGAGGACCTAGAGTTGGTGCCTGTGGAGTCTAAGTGGCTAGGCCACTTCTATGGCGGAGACTGCTACTTGCTGCTCTACACCTACCTCATCGGCGAGAAGCAGCACTACCTGCTCTACATCTGGCAGGTCAGGCCCCACCTGATCCTGTCCAGAGTGCAGCCAGCTTCCACTCCACTATACCCCTGCCAAGTGGCTGTTGCCCTTGAATTGAATACCTCCAGTGATGGGGAGCTCACCCCCTTTCCATCCTGGGACTGTTTTGGCTATGAGGTCCCACTGACACTGAGTACCCACTCCCAACCCTTCTGTTTTGGTTCTCCAAGTCTCCCTTCCAACTTTCGTGGCCTCCTGCACATTCTCTTCATCTGCTCTGACTGGGTTTCTGTGCCCAGATATAAGGGAGCAGGGAGGTGCTTGGGTGCTGGGGGTGAGTGGTGTGGTAGCCGTGGTGTTTCCTCGAGAAGGTGCAGTAATGGGGAGAGGAGGATTAGGGTCAAGGCTGGTGCTGCAGGTGGGTCAGGAGTGGGCTGGGGCTGTGAAAAGATTAGGTGTGGGGCTGGGATCAGAAGTGAGGTCTGAGTCAGCTGGGAATTTTGACTGTGTCCGGGGTGGGGTTTGGTAAGGAAGGCAGTCAGAATCAAGGCTGGCCCCATCCCATCCCTTCTGTCCTGCTCATCCCCAGGGCAGCCAGGCCAGCCAGGATGAAATTGCAGCCTCGGCCTATCAAGCAGTCATCCTGGATGAGAAGTACAACAATGAACCGGTCCAGATCCGGGTCCCGATGGGCAAGGAGCCACCTCACCTCATGTCCATCTTCAAGGGACGCATGGTGGTCTACCAGGTGTGGCTGCTGGACTGAGGTCTGGCAATACCAGCAACTGAGGTGGGGTGGGCGTCCAGGAGATGGGGAAGAGGATGGGGAGTGGGGAAAGCTCATTCTTCATAGAAGAGGACTGTCTGAGGCTCCATCACTGATGTGGAACTGGTAATAGAAACAACTATTCAGTGTTTTTAAAAATATGTTTAATAAACTCTTAGCATGTGCGAGCACCGCTTCTCTCTACACCCCAACTCCTTAGATCCTCTACATGAAAAAAGAAGTTATTTTGGTTTAGATTTGCCTGATGGACCTGTCCAAACTGCACTGGTGCCTTCTGACATAATGAAATAGCCAGAGCCTGCATTCCTTTAAGCAATAATCTATTTATTGAGCACTTTCTGAGTACACTGCTCTCTGCAAAGCACCAAGGGCAAGAAGAATGCCATGCTAATGCTGTTTACCATCTTGTCGGGAGAACAGTGAGCCGACAGCCCCAGGCACCATGTGGTTAAATGCCAGAAATTCAAGTTGCCTTCCAAGGGGAGCATGACTACAGTAATCTGCAAACAGGCATAGAGGGGAAGGGGGTTTGGAGGGTGTCTTGGTATTGGGGTCAGAGTTGAAGAGCTCAGCAGAGGTGAAATGAGGGCCAGTGATGCAGGGGCCACAGCAGGGACGAAGGCACAGAGGAAGCGTCCCTTGGGAAACAGTGAGAAAGAAGCCTGGCCAAATTCAGTGGAGGGTTTGGAGAGAGGTGAAAGCAAGTCTGGAAAGGCAGTTTTCACCTTCATCACAGGGAGCACACTGAACGTAGGGAGCCACTGAAGTTTTTGAGCAGGGGAGTGCTGCAACCAAAGCAATGTTTTGGCAGGATTAGTCTGGTGATGATGTATCAGAGGACCAGCAGGGGCAGCAGACCTGCCCCAACATCCCTTGCCCCTCCAATCCCCCATCATCTTTACTCATTTACTCCCACTTCTCTCTCCCTGCAGGGGGGCACCTCCCGGGCTAACAATCTGGAGCCCATACCAACCACACGGCTGTTCCAAGTCCGGGGAACCAGTGCCAACAACACCAAGGCCTTTGAGGTCCCAGCCCGGGCCGCCTCCCTCAACTCCAATGACATCTTCATCCTCAAGACCCAGTCCTGCTGCTACCTGTGGTGTGGGAAGGTGTGTGCAGGGTCCAACAGCCTCCTCTTCCCCACATGGGTCTTGGGGGTCCCCAAGCCTCAAAATAGGTCCCACTCGCTGGTTTCCCCGCCTCTCTCCCGGCGGCCCGCCTCTCTCCTCCACGGCTCTGGGTCTGGCCATCCTTAGATTTTCTGCTCTGTGTCTTGAGTAGGTCTCTCTCATTCTGTTTGTCTCTGGCCACCCCTGCCTGTCCAGTGTTGGTCTGTCCTTGTGTCTTGGGCTCTCTCCCACTCTCCCTGTGACTCTCACTACCTCCCCATTTATCTCTGACATGAGGACTCTCAGTCTCTTAGACGCCTTCTCCTGCCAGGTGGGGAGAATGCAGACTCTCCTGTCTCCTCTGCCATTCTTTGGAGTGTCCTCATCCAAGGACAGAGGAGAGGTTGGGAGAACTATCCCCACGTGGGCGGTGTGTGGGGCACCCTGTTCCAGGAGAGCCTCCCAGACCCTGGAGCTCTGGGCCAGTGAATGTGGTGGAAGGGTGGGGGAGGCGTGGCACTCAAGATGTTCTCCCCCAGCACAGCTGCCCCCTCTTTTCCCAGGGCTGTAGTGGGGACGAACGGGAGATGGCCAAGATGGTTGCTGACACCGTCTCCCGGACCGAGAAGCAAGTGGTGGTGGAAGGGCAGGAGCCGGCCAACTTCTGGATGGCCCTGGGTGGGAAGGCCCCCTATGCCAGCACCAAGAGGTAACTACTAGCTCCCTCTACCTCCAGCTCACCTTCTGAGGCTGGAGAACCTCCCAGCACCTCAACCCCCATTGGCCAGAGCCTGCAGCAGATGTGGATTGAGGATCATGTGTGCCAGGCCCTGAGGGCTGTAAGAAGAGTAAGGGCAACTCATGCCCTGGGAGCCTCTTGGGCACAGGGGCTGTGTCTGTGAGGCTTACCTGGGGCCTGGAGGGGGCATTTCCCTGCAAAGGTAGTTCACAGCCAGAGGAGGCAGCTCAAGGAAAGGGGCTATAGGTCTGCCCTCTGGGAAGAAGATGCCAGAGTCCTATCCGCCCCTGTCCTGCCACACTGCCACAGGACCCTGATGCTGAGGAGCACAAGCTGTAAACCCTCTTTTTCTAAAGAAGGTCCGTGATCCACTTTTCCCCAGTTCAGAAGCAAAAGGGCATGTACTACAGTAGCAGCAGGAGGGATAGAGGGAAGATACCAGAAAGAACTTCATAACAGGACAATAGAAGAGCCAGTGGAATGTATGTGGGAATTTCTCCCTTGGGGGCACTCCTGGACTCTTGGGAGAAGGGGGTTACCTTTTGTATAGTCAGAAGAAAGAGCATTTTCCTAGGAGGCAGGCTTTCCACATCAGAGTCCCTCCGAGTTCTGTGTTTTTGATTCTTCTTTTCCCCAACCTTCTTCCTGCCAACACGATTTTCTTTCTACCTTGCAGACTGCAGGAGGAAACCCTGGTCATCTCTCCCCGGCTCTTTGAATGTTCCAACCAGACCGGGCGCTTCCTGGCCACAGAAATCCCTGACTTCAATCAGGATGACTTGGAAGAGGATGATGTGTTCCTGTTAGACGTCTGGGACCAGGTAGGATTGAGGCGTGAGGACCTCCCTTCCCACCACCTCAATCCTCAGGGCCAAGAAATAGTGGCTTCAGGGATAGGTAACGTTTGACAATGTCTTGGCTGCTGTACATGTTCTCTCTGGGAGTGGTGTTATGAACCAGGAGCCTAAGAAAGAAGAAGGCAGGTAGAGGGGAATATGCCCGGAGGGGCTGCAGGGCAGGATGTATTCTTCTCCCAAAGTCCACTTTATTTCATGTGACAGGGGAGTGTTTTTGAGGGTCTTTGGCTCTGGAGAGGCTGGGAGTCACACATCTGCAGAATATCTAAGTAGAGGGCATTTGTCCAACCTCCTCAATTCGCAGATGCAAAGTCAAGGCCAGATGAGACTTGCCCAAGGTCAGGGTCCACTGCTGGCCAGTGAGTCTGGGTGAGCCGAGGGAGGACAGGAAGAACTGACCAAGCTCTGGGATGCTCCACAGGTCTTTTTCTGGGTGGGGAAGTATGCCAATGAGAAGGAGAAGAAAAACGCAGCCACCACGGTGCAGGAGTACCTCAAGACTCACCCCAGCGGCCGGGACCCTGAGACCCCCATCATTGTGGTGAAGCAAGGACATGAGCCCCCCATCTTCACGGGCTGGTTCCTGGCTTGGGATCCCTTCAAGTGGAGTGTGAGTGGCCCAAGCCCACCTGGTCCTGCCAGCCTGACACATCCTTCTCTAGGCAGCTCTTTCATGGCACACCCAGAGGCAGGGGGGACTCCTAGGCTTTCCTGTTTGTTGTGACAGATGACCTGTGATATATCTGTAAAAGCATTTGAGGGGATTTAGAATAGATAGTAAGGCTGTGGGGAGAGTAATAGCTCAGTGGTAGAGTGCATGCTTAACATGCACGAGGTCCTGGGTTAAACAATATTAAAGATTCAATTTCTTACCAGCCATGTGTGGCTAGTGGCGACCATATTGGAAAGCACAGAAAAGGAACATTTCCATCATCATCGCAGAAACCTCATAGGATGACATTGGTAGGTCCTCACACCAGATGAAAGGAAACACGTCAGTTCTTTAAGGACGGGACAGATGTCTTCTGGCACTAAATTCTAGGCAAAAATGGGTCCTATGTGTGATCCTTACCTGAGGGACAATGAATCAGAGTTCGACAGGATTTTCCTAAACTGGCCTCGGATAGAAGCAGAAGGCAGGTCCTCAAAATGGAACCTGTGGAGGTTTTCTGCAGGAGGAAGGCTAAGGTAGGATGCATGTTTGCCTGGTGGCTTTGGGTACACTAAACTGGCACAACAGATGAGATTAGGGAACCAGAGAGCTTAGATTGATTTCCTCAAATGCATTAAAAAAAGCATCCAGTGTTTGATGAGCTGAGGTTCGTCTTGATGACGGATTCAAACAAATCTCAATGCTGCACATCTAGATGCCAAAGCTTCTCCAGTCCAGGTCAGGGTCCCAAGTCAATAACTCTGGCAGGCCTTCCCCCACCTCATGTCTGTGCTGGCTTCTCTCTCAGACTCATTCACTCACTCACTCATTCATTCATTCATTCAGTTTTTCATTCATTTGGCAGAACTGGAACTCACGATGTGCCATGCTTGCTGCCAGGCTTTGGGGATGTGGAAATGGGGCTCCCCATGGAGCCAGTGTCCCCTCTATTTCCTCCACTCCTCTGCAGCAGGGTTCCCTCCAGGGTCTGAGAGGAGCCCCCCAGTTCTTCAGGACCCCTGGGTCCCTCAGAGCCTACACAGTGTGGGCAGGGTTCCCAAGGTTGCATGTGGCTGCTTGTACCCTGGGGGTGGGAAAAGTTCATACTGCTCTCCATCCCTGTGTTGGGCTGAGCCAGGCAAATAGTCTCCTGCCCCAGCCTGTTACCCGTCAGCTCCTCATGCTCATTCTCACCATCCAACCTCCTTTAGCAGGAGCATCCTCCAGCCTCCCCCTGAGTTCCCTCTTCCCTTTCTCACCTCGGAGCCCTAGGCCAGCCTTGTTTCAATGCCTGAAGGAAAATGATCTTTGTCTCTTCTGCTGAGACCCAGATCTAATTCATTACTTGAACTTTATATGCAGAACACCAAATCCTACGAGGACCTGAAGGCAGAGCTCGAAAACTCTGGGGACTGGAGCCAGATCGCTGCTGTGAGTACAGGGCAGGTGGCTGGGCTCTGCGGTGGCCACTGATGATGGGCAGACCCCTGGGAGCTGAGAAATCTCTAGAGAAGATGCCAGGGTCTCTGCTTTCCTTTCCACCATTTCCTCCCACTTCTCGTACAAGTTCTTGCTGTTTAACTTCAAGGCCTCTAGCTGTTTTGTCTCATCCACTCCCTAGTGAAATGGTTCCCATTATCATGCATCAGAATCTGGGTGATGGGGAGCTGGGACTGGGTGGAGGGCTTATTAAAATGCAGATTCCAAGGTCCCACTCTCCAAAATTCTGGTTTATAGAATTGAATTGAGACCCAGTAATATGTATGTTTTTAACAAAGGGCTCAGGTACTTTGATGCAGTTAGTCCATGGACCTCACTTGGAGAAATAATGATTCCTCTACTATCATCACCCTGGAGATCCCTTCTCCAGGTAGAATAACCTTCTTTGAGCTTTCAGTTAGTTCTTAAAACTATATTCAGCCTGCAGTCTTAGGATGTGGAAAAATGAAATCAAAGACGTTCACAGGCTTACAGGGGAAACAAGACCAAGTAAACTCTGCAGAAGTGTGTCCAGAACATGAGAGCAATTTTCCAAGCACAGCGGGGTTATTAGCAGAATAACACGTATGCTCCTCGGCCCCATCCACAGGCTGGGAACCTGGTGGTGCTCAATAAACCCTCCTTGGTCACTGATGATGCAGGCAGGAAAGCATAGATAGGTCAAGGCTAAGGGAGTTTACAGATGACAGTTTCACAGCAGATAAGACAAAGAGAGTCAGAAATGTCCAAGGTAGACCTCAAATCTCTGGGGTAGCCATGGAGAAGTTCTTAAGTCATAGAACAAAATAGTCATCTTACACCAACCAGCTTTGTTTGGATACGGATCACGAAACTTTAGCTCATAGGTCCAGCCTAGCGTGCCTGGTTCTTATGAGGAGTGTGTGTATGTGGACAGGTGGAAGGTAGGGATCATGAAAATTTTCTTGAAGGAGGTCCCCTAGGGTCAATGTTGACTTCAGAGAAAAAGGCAGCCTGGGAGACAGCCACAGATCAGCTAAAGTAACAGTGTTTTCCTTCTCTTTCCTAGGAGATCACAAACCCTAAACTGGATGTTTTCAATGCTAACAGCAACCTCAGTTCTGGGCCTCTACCCATCTTTCCCCTGGAGCAGCTGGTGAACAAGCCTGCGGAGGAGCTTCCTGAGGGTGTGGATCCCAGCAGGAAGGAGGTAGGTCAGACTCCAGAAGGAGGATGACCTTGACTTAGAGATTTCCTCTGAAAGGTGAACAGGAATTATTCAGGCAGAGTGGGTTGTTCTTGGAGAGGGGAACAGAATACACAAAGCTCAGAAGTAAGTAGGGAAAAAGCACAGCGTGGGTGAAACAGTAAGGTGGCCAGAGTGGTTGGGGTGTGTGGACCTGGGAAGGGGCAGCTGGTTGTGGAGAAGGGGCTGGGCTGCGCAGAGCCTTCTACACCAGGCTAGGGATGGTGCTGTCTATTCTAAAAGAGGAGGGGGGCCATTGTGGGTGAAGCAGGGAAGTAGAAGTCAGGTTTATACTCTTAAAAGATCACTCTAGCTGCTCAGTGAAGAATGGACTGGAAGGTGGCAAAAGCAGCAGCCACAGGTCAGGCTGAGAGGTAGATGGGATTCTAGACTAGGTGGTGGCAGGGGAGGTGGAGGGAAGGAGACGGTTTAGAGAAATATTCAGGAGGTAAAATCAGTGACACTTGGTAATGACTAGATAAAGGGCGTGAGAGGGGAAAATTGTGTAATTTTCTGACATAAAAAATCCTGCTCAGACTGAGCTTAGAGGGGGACAATCATGAGTTTAGTGGCAGCCGTGTTGTTTGAGGCACTCAGGAGACATCCAGGTTGAAATACATGTTTGGTGGGCAGGCAATTCAGAGGAGCACAGGGAGGAGACTGATCGGCACAGGGAATATTGGTTGCCACAGCTGCTGTCTGTGTGGACCACTTAGGGGAGAGAGTTTGACAAGAAGGGCTTGTTGAAAACACATTTTTCATATTCATTCCCACTTCATGAAGATCCCAAATAGATTGCAAATCTAGCTTGAGAGGGTATTGAGAGAAAATTTACTGTGTATAATAAACTATAAAGAAGTCTTACAAATGAATTAAGGAATCTACCGAAAGATGCCTAATTTCTCCAGGAACCTATGTCTTTTGGGGGTTTGGGCCCGATATATGCATATACGTATTGTTTTCAGAACATTTACATTCTTCCCTTCCCCCTGGAGACCACTTTCATGCATTCTCTCCCAGATCGGCCCATCTGTGTCCTCATTGTAATATTGGGATGATCCCAATATATTATTAATATTACAAATATTATCTGCGCAGCCCCTGGTGCATAGAAAGTGCTCTGTTAGTGTAAGCTGTTATTATCATTGCCTGTTCTACACCTAAAAACTCAGATCCAGCGAAGGGAAGTGACTTGCCCAATGTGATGTAACTAGTGAGAACCAGGTCTTCTGAGTCCCACTGTTACTATCATACCACATAGTCCAGAAAAAAGTATTTCTAAAGGGGAGGGGCAGCCAATATTATTGAACCAGGTGATTGAAAGGAGGCTAAACAGATCGCTGATTTTGAATGAATGAACAGAATCAAGACAACCTCACCATGATAGAAGCAGTCTAAAAATTCTTAGATTCTTTTTTAAAAATCAGTTTTCACTGATTTTTTTTTTATCATGGGAGTATTTTGCATCCTTGCAGAAGAGCTGGATATTCCATGTTGAGTGCAGAGAGTGGAAGAGGACTTCGGATCTCTTTGGCTACTGTAAACTCAGAAGGGTAGCCAATGACAGTGAACAGTGGAGCAGTGGGTCTGGCTGCAGGCAGTAGCAAGATAATCTAAGTGTTTGAGTACCAATGAGTAAACCACAGAGAGGCAGATGTGGGCATGGGTGAGGCCAGTAATCAGCTGGCAGGACTGCAGGGTTCAAGAGCAGGACCAGTGGAAAGATACAAGTCCACTGGGATGGGCAGTCCTTGCTATCTAGCCCAGGGATCATAGTCCAGAAGTTTTAACCAAACTGCAGAGCCAGCCTGGCTGGGCCAGAGAGGACACCTGAGACACCTGCAGACTGAGGACACAGTAGCCACAGCGGCGAGAGACCTTTTTCCAAAACAAGGCGCTCCACTGCCCTGCCTGGGAGAGTGAGGAGGGCTCCTAGGAGCCTTGAGCAAAGAATGCCAGAGGCGGGAGGCAAATGATGACAGGTTTGAGAACTGGGGCATCAGACCCACCTGAGCTTGAAATCCATCTACAGATGTTTACCAAGAAGCTGTTCGGTTCAGGGTTCTCTGCAGGAGTCAAAAAAAAAAAATTTCCCCAGAGCATCCTTACATAGCAGAGCAGCCCAAGATTGAAAAGAAACCAGCTGCTCTCACCGAGATCCCGCCCCCTCCTGGTGCCTGGGGGAGCAGAGATGGAGGCTGGGAGATGCTGTTTGATGACAACTTTAATTTGGGGTTCTTACCTGAGTGTGCCTTGAGGATACCTGGCTTGCTTTGAACAGTTTCACTATCATATCATGGTAGAGCTGGGAGCAGAGGTCATTTCAGTCTTATGGCTGAAGAGACCCAAGGCCTAGAAAGGTAACTCCCAGTCATGATTTCCAAGCCAAGAGGGAAAAGTTAGAACTGTGCTGTGTAATCTTCTAGATCATTCATAGGATGGGAGAAGCCAGTGCAAGTCATTTATCCAAATATTTTGTTTTCCACTCAAGATGGCTAGGCAAAATGTGGCTCTGAATCTGTTCTGTGGCTTTCCCAGCTTCTCCTCTTAGAACCTTGCCCCTCACCTCACTTGCACCTCTGCTGCCACCTGCCACCATCTCTCAGCAAAACCTGCTCCTACAAAATAATGGCTGATACATTCACAGTGGAATATAAAAGCCTGATGACGTTTAACATGTTACCTTTTAACCAGGAACAAACCCAGAAACCAAGACGGACAAAGATATCTATTATGGTAAAACTATACCATATAATGGTCACCGGTGAGCACAGTAGCATATATACTTTGTAGGTCTGGGAGGGAAAGACGACAAAAAGGCCTTTACAGGATTCCTGAAATCACTCAGGGAAGAGGGTCACTATGGTGCAGTGGAACATGTGTTGGGATCAGATGACCTCACTTTCTTGAGCTTTAGCTTCATCACCTGAAAATGGGACTGTTCAAACCTGTCTCAGTGTCTTTGTTAGTGTTACAGCAGCGTGTGTAAGTTAGACTGCTTGCTCTGTCCTTTAGGGCTGGGGCAGGCCCTGCTTTCTTGGTGGTCAGGGTACTAACTTGATCCAAAGCAGGATAGGGCCCAGGAGGGCAAGCACCTCTGGAGGAGAGGGTGACAGGCTCTTGCTCAAAGAGCTGTGTGTCTCCTATAACAACTTAGTCTTATACATTCAGACTTGGGCAGCCTCCTTCTAGTGTTCACCTGCTTATTCTAGGCATCTCCTAGCTGTCTATTCACTGTCTGATAAGATAGATGAACAAGATATCGTTTCCAAGGCCCTTTTATATGTAAAATTATTTTCATCCCTATAAAAGCAATTTCTCCCAAGCTTATAGAGAAGAAAATTAAGACCTGGAAATGGAAGCAACTCCTTAATCAAGACAAGTCAGTTGTCCTCATTCTTATTTCAGGGCTAGTGTGAAACTGACCCTGTTCAAAAGAAAAGCAGCTCTGTCTACCTCATGTTGTCACTGTCCTTTTCATTATGTTCCAAATTCAGGGATCAAATCTCTTGGACTTCAAAATGCTACTCCCGCCCCCTTCCCATCCCTTTCCTGGCTCTCACAACATTGCCTGTTTTTGCTCTTCATTTGATTTCTGTACCACACCTATATGACTCATCAAAGCAAACTCTGGCAAGAATGTGACCTTTGCCTGCTGGCCCCTGCCCTCTTCTAGGCGCACCTGTCCGTTGAGGATTTCACCAAGGCCTTGGGGATGACTCCTGCTGCCTTCTCTGCCCTGCCTCGATGGAAGCAACAAAACCTCAAGAAAGAAAAAGGACTGTTTTAAGACGCAAAAGTAGCTGGAAAGCAGTACCCTATCCTGCTTGCAGAGCTTCATTTTATTTACTGGTATCGGTCCTGTACTAATTGAAGTGAAATTTTACAGTTGTACCTGTGTGCAGCAGTCTGTGGCAATCACACTTTTATTCAGTAAACTGCCTGTTCCTTCCGAAAGAGGATGCCTCCAAAAGGAGCTTGTGGTCCCAGTTTCAGCTTTCAAGACGGTGGTTGCATTGTTTCTATCCTAGCATGTCACATTACTTTTTAACCATCTTGTTCTAGAGCTTTCCCTTAAAAGCAGCCAAATACTCCACAGAATGTTAGTTTTTAAGAGCCTTCCATGGGCTTTTATCGTGACTCATCTTTAATTACGGTGGGTGGGCTGAAGCATTTTGCAGGTTTACATCTTTCCCAGAGTAATGGCTTTTTCTTTTCACATACACTTTCCTTACTGACTTCCTCAGGTGATAAGTTAAAAGGGAATCCTTTGAAAGAGCTGAATGGCCCAGGCGATGGCCCTAATAGAGGTTTCACAATACTCACTAACCAGGACCCAGAGAGAGCAACATACACAACTGGGTCTAGGCTTGAGGCCTAATAGCAAGTATTGAAACGCAAACATTATTTCACCCTCTCTGGTACTTTTAATGAGGCCAACGCTAGGTTTACAAACTGTTATCTAGAGCATCTGCAAAGCTTCACAGGCTCCTCAGATAAAAACCACTGGAGGTTGGCACTGACTAGAGCCATACTTGGTTTCCCACCCCATTTCCTTTAAGGTGTAACAGTGCTGCTTGAAGTTCAAGTCAGAAGGCCAACAGAAGGTAATTTTCACAACTTCAACAACTGGTTAAGTTTCTGCAAGAAAAGGTCCTTTTCAGAAATAAGTCAAACCGACACCAGGTTAATAAAGGCTTTAATTTCACACACAAAAAACTCTATGCATAATTTAAAAAGGAAACAAAAACAAGGAAAAACCGTAAAGGGTACAGAGGAACAGTTCTGCTAAAACACAGATAAAGTGCCGCTCCATACAAAACAACATGAAGAATCAGAATCAAAAGTCACTCTGAACACAAGGAAAGAAAATCATCGCACAAATGTGGCCAAAGCTGCCAGCAAACCTGGTAGTGGCTCAATTAGGCAAAGTGTAGGAAGCTTACTTCTGTTCTCCTCTCTGTAGCATAAATAAACAACACTGACAAGAGGCCAGAGATGTTGGGGATAGAAGGAAAAGAGAGGGAGGGAAACCTTAGGATGAGAGGTGTGTACAACCACTGTGTCTCATTCTTTCACCCCTCTGTTCTTGAAACAGCCCAGTTCAGTTGATTGCTTGTCTAATTTTGGCATTGGACCTAGCGAACTTGAGTCCCGATTCAGACCCTGATCCATCTGATGCCAGTGGACATGCCTGTACTTCAAACCTCTGCACTTCAAGTCCAAATTACTAAAACCAACTGCCCGTATTCATACTGGCACACCGTTTATTATAAAGTTCAAAACCTCAGACACATAGCACACGTGGAAAGGAAAATTTACTAATTGTGCATAAATATGATACAACAAAAGAGACTGCTTGAAATCTAGTAATCAAAGCATGCCATCAAGGAGTCAGTGGTTGTGATGAGACACAGCAAAAGAAACCTGTCATGAAACTCTCAGGGCCTAGCAAACTAGAGTTTTCCAATAAAATAAATATATATTCTTTCAGATGTTAACATCGATAGAGACAAAGTCTGAATTCTGAAGTAATGCATTAGAAAGATGGTAGAGGGCAGAAATCTGTTTAGTTTTCATACACACTTAAAGAGCATTACTAGGTGTAAAGCAAGATGGGGAGGAGGAAATAGACATTTGTTTTCGGGGGGACAATTTTAAGAGACTTCCATCTAGTACTGGGTTGTTGGTTTTTCTAAAATCCTCTGTATAGACACAAGATCCACATGTACTTGGGAGATCTAGCTCTGTTTCCCTGATTTAAAACAAAAGACCACTTTAGGGGGTCAATTAAATCAAACAGGGCAAAAAAGTTTGAATGACTTGAGTATCCACCACAGTCAATTCAGAAGACAGAGAAGAAAGAGTGAGAAGGGTAATATTTTAATTTGTTTTAATATAATCTCTTTTCAATAGACCACAAATGAGTTTACAAACTACCTTTCTTCCATGTTTCCAACCCCACCCCCATGCTCTCTCTACACTCATAATGGCCAACTATATAACACACTGCCAAGAATCTGTTTCCAAATAATTTTCATTATACAACTATATATGTAGCTGTACATGTGTAGAGCTATATTTATATAGTTACATAATGGTAACTGCAGTATGGAAGAGTAAGTAAATTCATGAATTCACTTGCGAGGGTTTTAATTCTTAAAGCTCTTTTAGAAAAATTTTACACTTAATCAAGGAGAGAAATAATGAAATGTCTAGTCTAATATTTGCCTCCCAGAGTTAATGAACTGATCTTTAAGTATCGCTGCATACTTCATAAAATGTAAACACATTTACATTTGTTATTGAGCCATTAAGTTAGGCCTGAGATTAACAGACCATGGCAAGTAAACAAATAGCTTTTGGAATCAAAATATAAATAGAACAACAATTCATGGATTTGCTTCTTATTCTATCCTGCTGAGACAAAACTTCTGAGTGTGCACACACACACGTAAGTATATTCCCTACAAAACAGTCTATCTTCTCATAGGCCTAAATTATAGTCAGGGCTTCTAAAGTGGTAACAGCATCTGGCCATATGCAACTTTCCAATCCTCTGTAATAATATTAGGTGATAAGAATCAAGAAGTTTGAATTTTAGTTTGTAGTTTTCTCTTCCAAAAAAATTCCACTTAAGATCAGTTGTGTGCAGAATTACTGTCAAGTTCCAACTCAAAGTCATTTAAAATAATGCAAGCACATTTGGTATTTTCAATAGGAATATTAGTTATGAGCAGGCTGCCTGGAACTGAAGCACTCTGCCATTATTTAATGTGTCCCTTCCTGGCCCCAACATGCAAAATACCCCATCCCCTGATTCTGAGCAAACTGATCATACTGCACAAAAAGTATCTACTGATACTTTAAAATACAGTCAGCTCAAAAAAACAACCCCATCAATATAGTCCAGTGGAACTCTCTATCTGCAGTCTTAACTTTTCACTGAACCAAAATGTGAAAGTATCTTTGTAGTGAAAAGGGTAATAGCTAAAAGAGTGAAGGGAGAAATGAAGGCTGACCAGGCCAAAACAATGGACAGATATCAAGGAAAATTCAAGTTCCAAACCTGCAAGTATACAAGCAGTGAGGTAACTCACCTACTCTTTTCAACTAGTAAGTCCTGCCCAAGACATGAAGATCAAATCAAATTAGGTTCGAATCAAGTGCACTTCTAAACCATACACACATGCAAGCTACAAAAAGCAAGTCAAACAAGGGTATTTCATGGGCAACCTAGGCTTATGGCATTATTTTTTTTTTAAATGCCCCAAATGAATTCACTCTCTCTTCAAATCATCCCCCCAAATTTTTAACAGTGCCTCTCAAAGCTCTCAAATACAGATACAGGAAAGTAATAAATAGTTAAAGAATTCAATTAGCACTTCACGCACGAGAAAACCAGTTATTTTCAACAACAAAAAAAGGCTCCCAATGTAAAGAAACAAAATTTTAAAAGCTGGTTTTTTAAACAAGCATCTTCCTCTGCTCTATATTACTCCTGCAAATCCTACCAGTACCATTTTGGAACGTTCACTACAGTAACACATAGGTAAATGGTAGAAGGCAAAGCTTTTATCAGTAGTTATGCAAAAGTGCTGGCCATTTACTATTCCAAGACTCAATATTTTAGAATAGGTTACTATGTCAGAACATAACCAAGCTTTAGGAGTAGGGCTGGAGCTCTCTTAAGGCAATCTTCCAGAAAAGATGTTGAATCTTCTGTGATGATAGATTTAAAAAAAAAAGGAAAGGTTTCATTTTGCTATACTTAACACTGTGTGATCCTAATGATTTCTGGGCTCACAAAATTATTTTACAAACAGAATTCTACTCTCAAACTCATTCTTTATATGGTTTCACAAGCTGTCTAACCAGGCTGGTTATGTCAGCTGACTGTCTAATGTAGCACTTAATGTTGCACCCCCATTTAACCTCAACTCAAAGCACCTAAAAAGTAAGATAAATAAATTATGCACCTTTGTTAGTTCTTGGGATTACCTAAACCAATCACATTTTAATTCTCACTCTGTTTTAAGGGAAAAGCCAGACAGCAAATGGTTAAATGTCCAAGCTTTATCCTACAGCTCATGTACTTAATTTCACCCTTGTAGCAAGGCTTTCTGTTTAGTGGTCCAGAGCTTTAGCTTTAACACAAGAATACTCCTCCTGACCTGCGTCTGGGAGAAAGAGATGGTAACATTCTTTATGCTCCCTAAGTATCCTTGTTGGGGACTCCCAGTTGGGACAGTATCACTTTCCTACCTCTTAAAGTTTTGGCTGCAATCTGTTAGGGTAATGCTTGCTCCATGGAAGAATGACACAGAAGAAAAATAAAAGATTCTATCTTCACCACCATAATAATGTAGATATACAGTGAACATACTGTGTCAAGGAATTTCTTTAAAGAAAATACAAAGTGTACAATGAATACCAAATGTGGGACCATAACACATTCCAAAGCACCAACAATCCATTTCTTGGGACTGCATGTAAACAGCAAAAGCATCACAAATCCATGAAACAATATTTTTAAAAAAAGCTCCTCAAGTCAAGTGGCAGAATGCCCCCTCCTTTGCGAGGAGGACAAACTGTCATTAGTGTAACATGGAGAGCTGGCTTTCCAGTGAACTTTACTGATAAGAAACACACATGAAAGATTACAGACTTGAGTGAAACTACTCAAGGAACATAAAAGCTAAATGCCAAATGATATGTGTATTTTCACACATTTCTCAGGTGAATGGACTCTTTGACAACTTCATTTCTTCTTCAAGTTGCTGTGCTGTTAATTTTGAGTAGGCATACTCTGGTGGCCTATCCTAACTCTTTAAGGCTCCATTCATTCCATGTATGTGTGTGTGTGTGTGTGTGTGTATGTACATATATATATATATTTACAACATGTATTCCTAAGACAAAAGGAAGTGCCACTCTCAAAGGAGAAAAAAAAGATAATCAGCTACAGATGTGAGACCAAGGTTTCCATAAAACAGTTAATATGGAGCGTTCCGCATAATTGCAATTTTCATCTTTTGGTTTGGCCCTGAGCTGTTTGTTGCTCCCGCATCAAGTAGAGTTCCAAATTCTCCTCGGGCAGAGGAAAGAGAGGTGGGTGGCAGTAAGAGAGAATCGCAGTGCACACTGCCAACCCAGGAGTCTGTTCCTCATGAAGCCTGACGAGTGGTCTTCCCCACTTCCATGCTAAGTGCCTGAGAGTTCTTTTCCGTTTCCAGCAGCTCATCAAAGATCTCCCTTCAAATAAAGCAAACAAACAAACAAAAAAACCCATGAAATTCAGTGACCAAAGACAAAAGATAAACAAAAACCATATAATAATAAAGTCTGCCTAATCCCACTTGGAGCCTAAATTTTATTAAATAAGCAGTTCATTCATTTTATCACCACCTCATCCCTATGTGCTGATTTTTGAGAACACCTTGGGGCGGCGTGGGGAGGGGGATGGCAATAGCTAGCTTTGATAGAAATGCTATGGAGTTCCCATCCATATGACTTATATCTTCTAGGTGGTAACACTGAAAGACCAAAAAGATTTACAATAGGACAACTTCCATCATAAACAGTCTTAAGTTCCATACCTAGATGTCAGTGTGTGATGAGTAATTAATGCTGAGTTAAAAGAAAATATTTTGGACTTCCAAGGTAGTATCAAGACACTAGCCCTAAGCAACGATTAAAAAAAAATAAAAAATTGTAAACCAATTAACTGATGGGAACATTTTATCCTTAAAGGAAAAAGAAAGAGTTCAAGTGATTTTTAGCCTATGACTTCAGATCCAGCAAAGTTTCTTACTTGTGCATATAAAAGAAGATGTAACCACTCCGATCCCGATCACTTTGCACGGAAGCCTCTTGGATTTTAGATACCTCTAGGTCATTATAAGTAAACCAAGCCTGCTTCTTAATGTCGTACACATCACTAATGTAATGACCTGAAATAAATAAAATCTTAAAATGAAGGCTTTTTAAAAAACATTATTGGATTTTTCTCAGGTACAGGAAGTTTCAGAATGAGATACACCCATGCCATTTTACATTACTCAAGGTTTTAAAACCCATTTAAAAAATTACAGAAATTTAGGGGCAAGGGTATAGCTCAGTGGCAGCATGTTCTTAGCATGCATGAGATTCTGGGTACCACCATTAAAAAAAACTTAATTCCTTCCCTCACCTTGAAAAAAAATTAGCAAAAAAAAAAAAAACCCCAAACAAAACAAAACCCAACAAAAAACAAACAAAAAACCCCTAGAAATTTAAGGGAGGGATATACTATACTGGGACAACCTTTCTGATAAATATATTATTTTGTTTAGGGGATTTTGAGTCATTTATGAATAGAAAAATCAAAACACCCATTAACACAATTCACATTTAGTTTGTACAAAGAAAAGATTTCAAAGTTTTTCTTGATGCGTTCAACTTATACCTCACAAAGCTAGGCTCAGAGCAACCCAACAAGGAGTAAACACTGGCTACTCCATTTACAAAATGCTGAAAACCTGATGTCCATTTACCTGAAGAAGAAGTACTACCAATGTGACTGACAACACTGATGAGCCGATAGGAATGAGGAAGATTTCCTATCTGGAAAATAAAAGTGGACATGAATTTTAACTCTTCATTTGAATAAAAGCAAACACTAAATTTAAATTTATTATTAAAATTGACATGGCTAAGTTTCAGTGTGTGTGTAGTCAGACTCAATAAAAACCCGAGTGGTTGGTATTGTTCACATCTTTTGACCTGAGTTCTACTCCTAACTAAGAATTCAAGAATTTCCTAAGAAAATAATTCAAAAGAAGGTTATATATGCATAAAATTATTCACTGTAGTATTTTCTATAATAATGAAAAGCTGGAACAAAAGGCCCAATAATAGTTAAATGGTTACTAATATATCAACTGAATACATTATTCAGTTATTAAAAAATGTGTGGGTCAGCAACATGTTAATTTGTTTTTCAAAACCACATGAACATATGTAACTACAGCTCTACAAAAATAGGTATGTTAACAGTTAAGTACTGGAAAACAATGAAAAAAAATGAAGAGTTGCTGTGTTGCTGTAGGGATTATGGGTGAACTTTTACATTTTAAATATTTTTAAAAATGCTATTAAAATACTGTTAATAGAAGAATAAAACAAAAGTGAAAAGTGATACTCATACACTGCAGGGAGCACTAAAAGATACAATTTTGGAAGAAATATAGCTACAGGTAAGTGTGAAACCATTAAAATGTTCAGAAACTTTGATGTAGTAACTTATTTCTCGGGCTTTACTTAAAGAAGAAAATCCTAAATATAGAAAACATGTATACAATCACACAAGAGTTCCTCGATATATAATTTATTATTTTATTTTATTTATTTTATTATTGAAGCAAAGTTGATTTACAGTGTTTCAGGTGTATAGCAAAGTGATTCAGTTATACATATATACATTTATATTTTTTTCAGGTTATTTTCCATTATAGGTTATTACAAGATATTGAATATAGTTCCCTGTGCTATACAGTATTTCCTTGCTGCGATATATTATTTATTATAATGAAAAAAGAGAAGTTAACTTAAATGCTCAATGTTATTTAAAAATATAATAAAATAAACAGTGTGCTCATTGGTGGAATATAGTATAGCCATTAAAAATAAAATGCTTATAGTCTTTTAACAAGCAAGATAAAAACTACTTAATCTATGATTTTGTAAAAGCATACCTGGGGTACTTTGAGGGTAGGGATGACAAAAGAATATATCAAAATGCTAATAGCAGTTGTGTTAGAACAGTGGAATACTGGGTAATTAAAATAACAAAAAAATTGGAAAATGGGAAAAGCAATTATTTAGGGGGAAAAACGGTAAAGAAGGATTCCAAGTGCTCTAGCTAATGTCACTAATTCAACAGTTTTTACTGAGTAACAGTCAACCAGTTTTGGTATTTAACCATAAAGATAATATAGGTTTTCACAGAACTAAAGGTGATTTAATATACATACGACTTTGAGAGCTATTAGTCAGTTATTATCTAACATGCATGCACATAAGGTGATCACAACATATTTGGCTTTATTTCATTTTATTTTGAATCTGTGTGTAAGAAATAAGATGCAAAGGCCAAGAGAAAGTGAAGACCATTTGATAGTTGCCAAAGGGGCAGAAATTAACCTGCAATGGACACTGGCACTGTGGCCTTTGAAGATAAGGGGCAGGAGGAGTAATACTGACAATCTGACCAGTTCTACGAAGGGAATAAAACATCACCCACCTCAGCATTTCTTTTAAGTTCCTCAGCTTCAGCTTCTGTATACTCCATATCTAAAACATCCTCATTTCCAGAGTCCTCATCAGAGCCCAATGAATCCAGAAAAGAGTTGTTAAACTCTGAAGAACATAAAGACAAAGTTTTGTAAAAGTTCTTGGAGCAGACACAGAGAAATATCTGGGGAAGATTAAAAAAACAGCTTGAGGGAGGAAGGGTATAGTTCAGTGGTAGAGTGCATGCCTAGCACTCAAGAACTCCTGGGTTCAATCCTCAGTACCTCCATTAAAAAATAAATGAACCAAATTACCCACCCCCCCAACAAAATTCAAAAAATAAATTAAAAACAACAACAACAACAAAAAAGCAGCTTGAGGTACACATTTTATCATCCTAAGAAAACGTGAAACATATCATTATTAGAGTTTCAATTCACCCAGCCCACTCTGGGGAATAACAATTCAGACACTAGGTATCTGTAAAAGAAATGTTGCTTTTTGTTTTATATGTATTTATATGAAAGGAGACAATACTCTCATAAGAAAGGAATAAAACTGAAAAAGAATAAAAATTTTACATATAATCCAATTTTGCTAAATAACACATTATATAAACTATGTTACATTTGAAGTACTTGGTGCATATTGTAGGTACCACCAGTAAACATAAATTATCTCACAGAAAAGAGACCATTAAAAAGTCAGTATCCTTTCATTTTCTTCAATATTAAGTCATTTTTTGAAATTTAACAAAAATAATAGAAATACAATCTTTAACTCTTAAGTTTAACCTAAAATACACTTAACAAATAATCCAAGATCCATTTTTCTCTTTAATAATGTGTTTTCACTGGAAGAAGAATCCATCTCTACAACTGGCTTTAAATAAAGAATCCCAGAGCATTTGTACATAAATGGTTTTTGCTTTATAGAGTTGTTTAAAAGACATGAACACTTAAGATTGGGAAGAACAGGAAGAGACTGTAGCATCAAAATTTTGGAAGCTCGAGCGTAGATGGGTGATTGAGTTAGCAGACCTAAGAAAGCCAAAGTCAAAACCTAAGCCAGTAATGGAAAAGTTGAGAACCAATCCAATTTGTATCACAGTCTTCAAAAAACATACAACTTGGAAGTACCAGATATCTTTCAAACTGGAGGAAAAGGAGGGGATAAAAATTAGGATTAGGTGAAAACTAAGTTACAGATTCCTAGATCCACTTTCCACTACTTCATACTGCTGGGCAATGACAGAAGTCTAGAGCCTTATTCTCTGGAGAGTTAGTAAAACAGTCTCTGGATTGGGGGGATGCCATGCATGGGAGAGTACCATACTGAAAACAGGGGAGTAGGCGACAGTTTGCATATTGAAAGATGAGTATAACTCCCACCCTGACTCCCAGCCCTATTCGCACACTTGGCTCCCAAAACTCTGGCAGCCACATCCTTTACTTTTAGGCAAGGCAAGAGACCAGAAAACTTTCTTTAGGAATATTAGCCCCAGGGAAAGGCCTAAAATATTAAGATCATCCCCCAAACAGTCCCAACCTGTAAAACTCAAAGCTGACAAGCTCTAGCTATTCATGTACTCAGAGCTTCCTATCATCTTTTTTAGTTCCCTACTCTTAATCATGAGCTGACAGCCAAGGATTACTGGATAACTGAGGAAATCCTTTAATAAGGAGTATAAAGACTATAATAAACACACAGGACAGAGCAATCTGGAGGAAACAGAATCTATTCAGGCAGAAGAAAACTTCAAATAAACAAACAAATGAACTATATTTAATATTCTCCGACAGTTGAGATGGTATTGCTTCCATGAACCACCCCCATCACAAAATCTTATAAAAAGGAAACATTCACAAAACCAGTTCTTGAAAATTAGAAATATGATAGAAATAAAACACTCAAAAAAGGTTTGGAGTTAGAGATAAGGTTGGAGAAACTTCCCAAACAGTAGAGTAAAATAAAAAAAATTGGAGAAAAGAGATGAGAAAATTAAGAGGACCAGACTAGGATGTCTAGATAATAGGAGTTTCAAAAAGAGCAATCAGTGAAAATTTCTTAGAATTGAAGGACACAAGTTTCTGGATTAAAATGATCCACTAAATGCCCAGCAAAAATGGATGAAACAGACCCACATCAAGGCACATCACTATAAAACTTCATCACAATAGAAACAGAGAAGATCCTACAAGCTTTCAGAAGAATAGAGGTCACATCAGGATAAAGAACAACTTTAGACTTCTCATACAGCAACCCAGCAAACAAGACTTTTGTCATTGTCCAGCAGCATGAAGTTGGGGAGAAACAATGTTTTCACAATGATTGTAAACCCAGAATCTATATGTAGCCAAATTATCAAATACCAGGGCAGAATAAAACTTGTAAGGTCTCCCAAAAATATAAGTCACATCTCTTTTTCAAGAAAACTACTGGGAATGTTCTCCATCAAAGCGTTAAGTAGACAAAGAGAGAGAGAGAGGAAATGGGAGATTCAAACAAAAGAGAGAATCAGAGAGAGATTCTCTGGAGAATGGTTAGGGAGATCTCAGGATATCTGTGCATGGATGCAGGGGCAACCAGTCCAGATTGTAGCAATTATGACTTGAGAAAGCCATCATCGCCATCATTGTACCATCTTTTAAACCTGAGGACGGAATCCTTAGGAGAGCCTAGCTTGAATTCTTATTTGTCTCAACCATTTGCCAGTGAAATTCTTGCTCTTTCCACCACGTCTTTGGTGTCTAGATCAGTCTAGAACACTCATTTTATACCAAACTGTTCTGCTTTAACCTATTTCTGAGGGCCAGAGAAAGACCACAGTGATCTTAGAAAATACAGAATTAGTCCACTTCGCATGACTGCCTGTCCTGGTGGACTTCTAGCACCTGGTCCATATATTAGTTCTGCTAAATGCCATGATTATGGTGAACCTTATGCTTCTGAATACTCATTCATGACTTTGCCCACTGACTTTCCCAGAGTGAGTGTTATAAATTCACAGGGAAACTGAAGCCACATTATCTTCTCCTAGGAGTTTAACAGTGGCAGTACTCCTTTTTCATACAGATGGATTACAGACACACTATTCTTGCTATTTAATTTTCAAAATTAAAAAAAAATAGTTTATGGATATGAATATAGATGGAAAAATTATTTTTTAAAAAAGGCAAGCTAATGATGAACACAAATGTTAGATAGGTGGTCTCTTCTGCGAGGGAGGGAAAAGGAGGGGTATACAGGTTAACTTTTAAGGTTCTATTTCTTTACCTGGGAAGTGTTCAAATTTGTTATTGTCATTAAAAATAACTAACACATTTTATACGTTCTTCTATGTGATACATCTCACTGTATTAAAAAGTTAATTAAAATAATCTCCATACCTTGAAGACTTAACTCTGTAGCTCTTTTGAGGTCATCATCTTCTTTCTGTTCCCAAGCCTCCTAAAAGAGATAAGAACAAACTAAACCATTTAAAGAGGTATTGATTAAACTTATTTAATGAGGATAAAATCAGCTGCTCTGAAAGTATTTGCTAATAATGTTTTCTGTAACTTTATGGATGTTTGGAATATGACCTTTTGAGGAATGAGGAGTTCTTTACTCTTTCCAACACTTTCCTCCTAAAACACAAACTTGGGGCTTAAATGCTCTCTCTTTTATAGTTAGTGACTTTTGGCTTGCCAACCAAAAGCCACTGAATGTGACATTATGATGCAATTCCTTTTCTTCTTACATGTATGAAATATTTGGAACATAGCAGATAGTTCAAACAGCTCTCTTTCCTTTCCCTTGAATTACAAGATTTGCCAAGTTTCTTGGAATAAATACTCCCACCATGGCCAATTTTTAGCTACCTAAGTGACTCTGAATGCAGAGTTGGGAAGAGGTATGTATAGTGGGCTCTCCTAAGCTGACAGGGAGCTGGCTCTAGGACATCACTGACCCTATGACAGCAAGATCAACATTTCTACAACATATTCATAGATTTCTATTTTTATTCTTGCTAAAGAAACCAAGACATTAGAAACTTGGCAAATACTAACTGAATGCTGTTGACTGTTACTTTTTGAATATAGCTGAGGTTTTCTTAGAGAAAATAATACCTCTGAAAATGTTTCAATTAACTGACTAATTAATTACAAAAAGGACTAGGAAAATGCTGACTATAAAAAAATTTCCCTCTCATCTTCAGAGAAAAGATAGTTTACAAAGGATGCAAAATCAAGAAAAAATAATTTAAGCAGAATTGTTTTATACTTTTCTCAATTCTAGACTTGTTTTTAAAGTTACTAAAATATATAAGCAGAGCTTAGAATGAATTATTCTGCATTATAGTCCTGAGAGCAATAATACTGTGTTCAAGGAAGTAACAGAGGTATTCTCTAAAAGGAAATATGATTACTTAAATTTATGCAAGTATATAAAGTCTATGCTGAAACCAGGGGGTAAAGAACTCTCTTTTAGTAATTAATAGAATGATGCGGGTATACCAAATTAAAGAAACTTCACCTTATAATCCTATTCTCATACTGGAGAAAAACAGGATAGTTTTAACTGGGTCAGCTGACAATAAAAAGAGTATGTCTTTTGTCTATGAAAAGCATGGTTGCTGGATTTTTTTCTTTTTCTGTGCTATAAGGAACTGTTGTTAAAAATCAAACTGTGGTCTTCTCTACTAAAAGTAGGTTTTCTTAAACAAATGATTACTGTAATATTATTTGTAAAGTAGTTTGACATATACATGACGAGGCAGCTAGAGAGGTACTTTTAATAAATAAAAGAATACAGAACAGCTAGTTCTAAAATGGTTTTAAAGCAGCAATTCTCAACCTTGGCTGCACATTAGAATCACTGCAGTAAGTTTTCAAAATTCTTATTAAAAAAAAAAAGAATAAAAGAAATCTAGATGTGCAGACCACACCCCAGATCAATTATGTCAGAATTTCTGAGGGGCAGAATAATCCAGGCATCAGTATTTTTTTAAAAGCTCCCCAGATAATATTAATGTGCCATTAAAATTGAAACCTAATATTCTAGTGACATTAGATTTCTTAGTATGATTATTTGCAAACATTAAAACTGAGCATTCATTCTAGGGAGTCTTGGTAAATTTTTGAGGGGAAGGGTTGGGGAGAGGTAATTAGGTTTTTATTTATTTATTTTAATAGAGGTACTGGATATTGAAGTAAATTTTTATTACTAACATGACTGAGATTGCTGAGGATCAGACAACCATGAAAACATCACCTTTTAGACAGATATCATAGGTGACTGCAACAATGCAAATCAACAAGTTTTGGCAAAAATGAGTATAGAGAACTAAAAATTGAAGAATAGATTACTACACAAAGAAAAGAATAGATAAATGCCAGTCTACCATTAAAATCTAAAATTTTAGATAATACTCAGATAACATTCCTGAGAATTTTATGTTTAAATAATTCACAGGCAAGGATTCATACTGTAAGAAAATGACCAAACAAATACTTTGCCTTAAAATACTGATGATAAAATCATAATAGTATACTGGCTGTTTCAACAGCCTGCAAAATAAAGTTGGACTAGGGATGATCTCTAATAACCTATCCTGCTTTAGCGGGCAATAAATTACAGTAATAGGAGGTAACCAACAAAACATTTTGTTGCATTTGGATTTTTTAAAAAAGAAAAACGATCAATGTTTCTGTTTCAAACCCAAGGCAGAAGCCCCAAACAAGTTTTTGTTTGTTTGTTTTAGTGGGTCAATGATTTACTTTATGTAAATCATTGGGAACAATGCCTGATTCATAGTAAGTGCTTAACAAATGATTATTATTACTGTTCTATAGGAAAGATTGGTATGGAGAAAGTGGCAATATAAATATCTCTTACTTGCTCCTGAAGGCTCTGAGCCAATGCCTGCTGAAGCTCTTGTTCCTCCCTTTCACGCTCCATATCATACTGCTGGAGCCAATCAACCTCTCCTTGAGAAACTTCCGGAGTTTTATTTTCTTTATTCTCATCACAATCTTTAGTTATCTCCGTAAAACTGGCAGGATCTGAGGAAGCAGAACATAACATAACTGGGAAATCCTCTCTAATAAACTGAAATCTCTGGACTAGAGTGACATCTACTGTTCGGAGAGTAATGTATTGTAATCTCAGACATAACGTGTTTGGGATGTACAATCTCATTTTACTATTTCTAGATCAGGGTTCTCAATCTCAGCACTACTGACATTTTGGGTGGGACAATTTTTTGGTTTTGTGGGGAGAGGAGCTGTACATTGCATACTGTTTAGCAACATTTCTGGCCTCTACCTACCAGATGCCAGTAGCAACCTGCCCTCCCCAGGTGTGACAACCAAAAGTGACATTGTCAAATGTCCCCTGGGGGACAAAACTGCCCTTGGTTGAGAACCACTAATCTACAGCAATGATTCTGAAGTTTAACCGATCATCAGAAGCACTATGGTTAAGGATGGAGAAGAATAAATAGCCATATTCACAGGTCATGTCACATGACCAAGTACTAGGAATAAAGTATTGTTTAGCATAAATGAAGTAAAAATTAGGCTAGAATTATTAATTATTGAGATTTTCCCATTTATTACATTGTATGTCAAGTGAAGTGTGTTTTCATATTAATAATCAAATGAGTCTTATACATATTCTAAGTCAAAAGAGTTACATAAAATATGTAATAAACACCTCATGTACCATACAAGCATATGACAACACATGTTTAAAACATTCATCCAGGGAGATAAGAAAAAGATTAAACTTTCTTTTTTTTTTTTGTTTTGGGGGGTGTATAATTAGGTTTATTTATTTTTTTAATTGACATACTAGGGATTGAACCCTGGACCTTGTGCATGCTATGCATGCACTTCTACCACTGAGCTATAATCTCCCCACCTAACCTTTCATTTCCTTTTGTTCATTCTCAATCTCTAGATTATAGCTAGCTGGAATAAGCAGTAGGGGCATAATTTTGTTCTGGTTATTTAAATATCATTATACTTTTTAATTCAGGGAGAAGAGGAAGGACCCTCCCTCCCTCTCACTTACCAAAGCAAAAATTTTCATCTTAGCAAATAAAGAAAGTTCTCATAAAAAAAATTTAACTGGTCATCAAGAATTACCTTTACAGAGTCATTCCATAAGGACTGTTTTAAAATGAGTATATGCTCTTTACCTGCTCTAATACTGCATTTTAACCATGTAAACGACACACACTTTTCTATAGCACAGACGACTCTGAAGCTTACAGTATCTTGGTTTTAGATTCTAAATTAGCAACTAGCCATTATTCTTTAATTGAATTGCCAAGAGAATATTTACCATTAAAACTAATTCTGAATATTCATCAAAAGAGGGAAAAAAACTCAGGCTATCTTAAGTGCAAAAAGCAGTATGATCCTAGTTTAAAAAAAAATTACATTCCGCCATTCTAGGAGAAATAGTCATTTCCATAGCCTGAAACAGGCAGCTCTGAAGCCTATTTGACCCTGCCTGTCCCTTTGGCCTTAGCTTACGGGGCCAGGAATGGATACTTGAGTCAACCATCAGATCACTTCTGTAAATTTGGAACTGAGACATTCAAAGTTAGCTGGTGCTGAGCACTGCAAGTGAAAGAAAAATTCGGAAGTTGAAGCTACTATTTCAGGGCAAAAGGTGAGTTTTTATTACTTTTATTATCAAAACATACTCATAAAAAAAGGTAACAGAGGTATAGTTCTTCTTTTATGTTTATTTTATTTATTTGTTTTCTGGGGGGAGGTAATTAGGTTTACTTATTTATTTATTTATTTATTTAAATGGAGGTACTAGAGATTGAACCCAGGACCTCATGCATGCTAGGCATGCACTCTAGCCTCCCCTCTATGTATAGTTCTTCTTAACTAATAATTTTTAGCACTCAGTGTACCAATGTACCGCACACAATCCTAGAATTACACTAACAATTAATCGATGTGATATAAAACAGATGCAAGAAAGTTTACTTTGAGATGCTAAAAATCAATATACATCTGTCTTCACCGTAAATTTATCAGATGGATACAAAAAATACTTAAGATCTACAGGAACAAATATGACCATAAAATAAAAACACACTTTTAAGGACCTTGCACAATCAGAGGGGAACCACTGTTAAAACTCAACACTGTTATACTAAATATATCATATGCTTCTTCCCCTACCCCAAACGAAAGCTGCTCCTTTTCTACATTCTATATTTCAGTCAATGGGATCACTGTTCACAGTTTTTTTTTAAAGACAGAAACCTGGGCATCATTTTGACTTCTTTTCATTTACCTCCTCATATCAGATGAATTATTATTTCCTAACTATCTCTTGAATCCATCCATTGTTTTGGTTTTCAATGCCAAACCCTTGGTTTAGGGCAACATCAACTTCTGGTCTGGACTATTACAATAACTTACTAAGAGGTCTCACAGGATACTTTGGTTCTTCTTTAATTTATGCACTACACTGCAGCTGGAATGAATTTTTTCAAATATAAATCTTTATCAAATACTTTTTTGTTTAAAATTATTCAATAACTTCCTAATGCTTTTGAAATAAAAGTTCAAACTCCTAAACATGGCTTTAGGTCATGTAAAAACTGGAGACTGAATAACACTCTAGTCTCATCTTTTGCTTTTCCATCTCAATACTATGTCCCAACCATGTAGATCATTCTGAACTTTTTCAGGTCTGCTAACATGCCATGGACTTTCTCAAGTCTGGGCCTTTGCACACACTCTTCCCTTCCTCTGGCTAACAGTGAAACCTTACTTAGCTGTCTTCCTTCCCCTCCTCAGTTGAGTCATGACAGTCAGTCTGATGGGCCCTGAATATTTATTGAGAATCCACTATGTGCCAGGTATTGCTGTAGAAACTGGGGATATAGTGATAATTAAGGTAAGATGGCCCTTGACTTCAAGGAGCTTAAGTGCAAAGGCTCTGAGATGAGAATAAGCTTAGTATATTTGAGGGACACACAGAGAAAGCTAGTATGGCTAAAACAGTAGAGTGAAAGAGAGGGAGAGTGAAGATAGGCCATGGTGAGAAGTTTCGATTAAGTATAATGGGAAGTCACAGTAAGTTTAAAGCAGAAGAGTGACACTGTGATTTATGCTTCAGAAAGATTACATTGGCTGCCTTGTTCATGAAAGAAGGTCCTTAACACCAGGGCAAGAGTGAAGGGAGAAATATTACAAATCAGTTGTAGTGGCACAGGTGAGATGGAAGACGAAAGCTGTAGCTATGAAGATGTTCATAAATGACTGGATTCAGGATATGTTTTGGAGGTGCAGCAAACTAGACTTAGTGATGGACTGACTGAATGTGAAGTGTAAAGTAAAACAAAAATATCAAGGGAGTTTTTTTTTTTTTGGCTTGAGCAACTAGATGGATGATGGTACCATTTGCTGTATGGTGCAGGCCCAGCCAACATCCCATGGAGCAGAAAAACTATCAGCTAAGACAGTCAATCCATAGAATTATGAGATATTAAAATTATTGTTATTTTAAGGTACTAATTTTGGGGTAACTGCTGCACAAATACACATACACACGGGGAGTGGAAGGGAGAGAAAGCAAATGTGACCAAATGTTGATTAATGAATATATGTGAAGTTTGTTTACTGTTTTATTCTTCAACTCATCTTTGGATTTGAAATTTTCAAAATAAAAAAGTTATTGAAGGTTTGATCATATCTGATCATTCCTTAGAATGATTAACTTTTAAAGTATGATAATGAGATTGAGGAGATATATATATATATATTTTTTTTTTTTTGAAGAGTTCTTATCTTTCAGTGATACTGAAATCCTTACTGATGAAATGATCTAATACCTGGGATTCACTTCTAAACAACCCAGGGGACAGGATGGAGAAGGAGGCTGGGATATAGATGAAACAAGATTGGCTTACTGTCAATAATGGGTACAAGGGGGAAGGTTCATTATACTCATTTCTCTACTTTTATTTTTGCTCAATATTTTCTATAAGTTAAAAAAAATTGCAGAATAAGCAATGTTTTTAGATTTCAGTTACAGTAAGAAGGTCAATGGAATGATTAGTTTAAAGAAACAGGAAATATAATAATGGCCTGCATCCAAGTGAGGAAGATGGCAACTAAAAATTAAAGGATCTTATATAAAGATATAAAAACCTTATTCATAAGTTTGTTCTTCCTAAAGCTGCTAGAGTTATTAATATTTTGATAATCTATGATTATTAATGATCTGATAACCTTAGTGTTCTCCTCCATTGGCATAGATAATCTAGAACTAATTGTACAAAGACTAACTTCCTTTATTGAGTTTAGGGAGATGTAGAACTGACCAAAGAACTGAAAGGAAGAGCTGAAAGCAGGAAATTAATCGGCATGGGACAAAAGCACTAACATTAACCAATGACATCTAAGGGCAGTGATTATAAGTTTAGTAAGAGAAAGGGACTTCATAAGGATACTTGCATCAAGAAGAAAAAAACAGAAACACCTATATACAAAAGTCATTAGCTTTTGTTACAAATTAAATTGAGAATATATTAATTCTTACATCACTTGCACATAAAATAATTCAAGGATACAGAAAATTATTTTGTGATATACTAGTATTCTCTTCATCTCCAAAATCCTAGGCTTGATAAACTGAAACACATTAGCTAGCTACCTAAATACAGATGCTAAGGATATGAGAAGAAAAAAACTTGGGCACAGAAAGGGGCAGTGAAAATGTTCTACTTTAAAAAATCTTAAAATATCCATATTGCAAGGCAAGGAGGCTCAGCTCTGTTGTTCATAGTGATAGCTTGAGAAGTAACAAAATATGAATAATTACCGCAAAGTAATTTTTTATCTGTATAGCACTTTACATAATAAGTATATACTATCTAACGTTCTGTTCACAACCACCTGAAGTATGTCTGGTAGATCCCCACACAGAGATAAGAAAACTGAGTATCAAAGAGGTTAAATTACCTATTAAGAAATTCATAACTAGTAAGTGGGATAGCTAAGACTAGAGGCCCAAGACCCTCCCTCTTAGTTCAGTGGTCTTTCTACCATTATGAAGGGATGAACCCAAAGCAGAAAGGGGAACTTGAGTTATTTACACACTAAACTTGGTAAAATTTCAGATACTAAAAAATGAAGAAAGAATTATACAAATTTCTGAGACAGCAGTGGTGAGACCCAAAACTGACACAAACATTTTTTAAATGCACAAGAATACTAACTTTTCTTTAGATGTATACTAGAGATATGACATACTTTACAAGTAGCCTCTGGTTACTACTCACAACATTTACTTCTTAATATTTTAACTGTTAAAAAAAAAGCATAAAAATATTAGCTGTTATACAGATCCATCTACCCCCCATTCTATAAGGCTTTGGAACACAGCTGTGCCTTGTTTAACAAACGTTTATCTTCATGAAACTTACCAGGCTCTGTGACTGTTTTTGGCTTCTCAGTTTCCATAGGATCTGGATTTTCAGGTATTTCTTGAATATCATCATCTGCAAATCCAGTATCAGGGCTGCTAGTTGGTTTATCATCATCTTCATGACTCAGAGATGGTGATGCTTCTCTTTTACTTATCTCTAAAACAGCTGCTAGAAGCTCTTCTTCACTCATTCCATCAAATCCTGAGTTTTCCAATTCAGACTTATCAGGTTCTATTCTGCATAATTTTGAATCCTGAAGAAGAGAGCTGCTTTTAGAGGAAATGAGAATGCCTACAAGTACAGTCATCTTAGAGTTTCAAGTTGATATGTTTACTTCTCAAGGGTTTCCTTTCTTTGATGCTGTGGGTTATTTAACAACCAAATAACCAGTATATAAACTCACTGGCAAGCCTAATTTTCCTTTAATAATAACTATATAAAGATAAATGTTTATATTCTTGATTATAATAAGTGTTAAATACACTCCTTGTAGAGATTTGGAAAATACATAAAAATAATAAATTCACTCAAAATCCATCACTCAGAGATAATTACTATTAAGTATTTGTTGGTATATTTTCTTCTGGATATATGTGGATTATACTGTAAATATTCTGTCACTACACCTAGTATTCTTTTAAAAGTGTTGCCAGGTCTTGATCATTTTTTTTAACAAATGAGAAAAATAAAAACTGTATCAAGATTATATAAGTACTCAGAAGTTATTTTCTGAATAACCTTCTCTCATTTCTGGGAGAATTTTACTTTGTCATTTCTCATTCAAGGTGAGCAACTACAAACTAGGTTTACATTTGATTTCTTTGGAGGGGTTGTTAGGTTTACTTATTTATTTTTGGAGGAGGTACTAGGGGTATTGAACCCAGGACCTTGTATATACTAGTCATGCACTCTACCACTTGAGCTATACCTTCCCCCACCAAACTAGCTTTAAAGATGGGAAACAGTCTGAACAAGAAAATAACTATTAAAATAACTGTTATCTTACAAAAGGGAGGTTTAAAATCAGTCACATGAGATGACACAAACTCCTAAAAAATGCCTGTATCTTCAAAATATTAATTATCATTTTGTGTCGGGAAAGATGATGTAGTTGTGCCTTCACAGCCCTTATTTACCTTTAGATTACCTGGTTGGCCTGTTGATGTAAAACGTTTACTATGGTTCTCTCATATTAATAATTAGTATCAAAGTAAAGCAAGAAATTATTTTAGGACCAATATGCAAAAGTAGCTCTGAAGGTTAATAAGAGAAAGCAATTTATCTACAACAACTTTCATTTCTTAAATGTCTCAATCCTGGAAACAGCCCAAGTGTCCACTGGATGGATGAATGGATAAAGAAGATGTGGCATATATATACCCACAAATATACCTCCCCCACACACAAAGAGGAACATTATTCAGTCACAGAAAAGAATGAAATCTTCCATTTGAGATGACATGAATGGACCTTGAGGGAAACAAGTTATCTACTGAAAGACAAATACTGTATGATCTCACTTATACGTGGAATCTAAAAAACAAACAAAAAAACTAAGCTTACAGATACAGAGAACAGATTAGTGGTTGCCAGAAGTGTGGGCTGGGGAGTGAGTGAAATGGGTGAGAGGGCAAAAAAGTACAAACTTCCAGTTATAAAGTAAATAAGTCACAGGAATGTAATGTACACTATAATGATGACTATAATTAATAATATTGTATTGCATATTTGAAAGTTGTTAAGAGAAGTACATCTATCTGAAAGTTCTCATTCACAAGAAAAAAAATTTTTTTTGGTAACATGTATGGTGACAATGTTGAGTAGATTTATTGTGGTGATCATCTTGCAATATATACAAATATCATATACCATTATGTTGTACACTTGAAACTAATACAATGTTGTATGTCAATTATATCTCAATTAAAAACAAGTCTCAATGCTCAAACCTCTAAACAGACTGGTTTTGTAGTTATAAAAAGCACATTCTTTAAAACAAGCACCTGAACAGATTCAGTAAGTTTATAATCTATCTTGTGTATTAAGTTTGCTAATGGTGGTTATGAAAGGCATTTGGTTTGGACAGTCAGCTATTTTGATGAAGAATTACTTACTTTTTCCAGGTCTTCCTGCTGCTGTTCACTGCCTGATATTTCACAAAGTCTCTGGCTAAGGGCCACAGAGCGTTTTAGCTCATCCTCACTGTCTGAATCAAGGCATAAAGCCACAGAGCTCTTGGACTTGAAGGTGAAATTCCTGTAATTCAAGGGAAAAAACCCTATATAAATCTGATAAACATTTGTCCTTATTATTCTTCTGAAGTATAAATACCAAAATAAAACAAAAAGCTTTTCCATTATGGAGAATGATTTAACAGAGATAAAAAGACATATCAAAAGAGGTATATTTAAGCATTACCTTTGCCCCGCTCCAAAAGAGCCATGCTTTGAAAATCAGACAACTCTTATGCTATTATATATCATCAGTAAACCAATCACTTTGTGCCTTTTTTCTTTTAATGATCAACTCCATAGAAGTTTGTTACTGTCTTTATAAAGCAAGTACTCTACTGAATGCATGCAGACATAGTAATGAATATGTTTAGAGTGCATGAGGACTAATTTTTGATCTTTAAATTATGATCCATGTACTCTGAAATCAACAGTAACATTCCACTTATCCAATTACATGTAGGCCAGACTCCTGGCAACTTCTACTTTCTAGAACACAGGAATTCAAAAGTAAGAAAAAAGGCTTCTGAGGAAGGCAGTAGTTTCAAAGCCCATGCACTTTACTCTTTAGACAGGAACCCTTCTTCCCCAGGAAATGATGTATAAAATAATGTAGCAAGTTCATCAAGAAATGAGAGCTAAGAAATGAGAGAGAATAATCACACAAAAAGGGCAATAAAGAACTATAAAGTAATTTAATGTAAACTGTCTTGTAAGAATTAAGAGCCTCTGAGCACATTATCATATTAAAACACAGTGCAATAACTGGTATTCATAATGCTGATTTTAAGTCATTACAATATATTCAAATTATCTTCAGTATATTTAATTTAACAATATAAGGAATTCTCTAAGGTTATAAAGATATAACTAAAATTATTTAAAAATTTAAAGATTAAAATTAAAAAGGCAATGCTTAAAAAGGCAAGCTTCAGTTATATAAAAATTCATTTATCTGAATTATCAAATACTATTCTTCAATGATACCAGATAAGTAAGGTGTTACTGTGTTGTCTTCTAAGTGAGCTGAAAATAAAGTAAAGGAAGAAGTGGTAAAGGTCAAAAAGCACAAACTTTCTTTGATGAAGGTCAACATAAATTCATGTACTAAAAAAAAAATGTAAAATGGAAATTGGAAAAAATGCAATTAATCTAAATGTGAAAAACTGTAAATAAACGTATAGAATGATGGCACCAAGAAATAAGAGGCCACAATGGAAACCAGGAGGATTGCACAGCAATGTAGATCAAAGAAAAGAGGCAAGTGGTCAGCGATAGGCTCAACCATAGTCTTTGGCTGAGAGCAGCCAGGATATCACTGCACTTCAGCATGAACAATTGAATAACCTCCCATTATAGGTCCAAAAGGGTTTTAAGTACAACTTAGAAGTAGCCAATTAGCCATCTTAATTCTTCACTTCTGATTTCATGCTCACCAAGCAAAACTGAACATACTGATTTATTTATCTATGTAAATACTTTGCTGAAGGAGGGTGACACCTGGCTACTAATACCAGGGTCAAATGCAATAAAGGACATTACAGAAGAACCAATGGTATTCTGGTTCATAACTCAGCCTCTTTTAAGTTTGATCGGCATGACAGGTCTTCTAGGGCCTAAGCATCCTTTACTGAAGAACTCTCAAATTCTCATACCAGTAGACCCTGGAGAACAGATGACCATGCCAAATATAATGATGCCCAATGAAACCATCTCTTTCTTGAAACTATAGTGATTTGGTACATAAAGAGTGCATTCCATTAATAGTTACTATATTCACAGAAGGCAGCTTGCCTGTAGTAAGGAAAAATATTCATCCTGTAAATGCATCACTTGCTCACTTTCTAAGCAGCCAAGTGGTATTGCTCATTTGTATCTTGAGAACGGGCAAGAGTATTCATATCGGTACCATTTCAGATTTCTAGTCAGTTAGTCATCTGGTTTTAATTGCACTGAAAAATAATTAACAGGAGGAAGAGAAAATAGCAGTTCCCAAATGTCATTTTGTGGTTATATAAGCCCCCCAAAAGCCCTTAAACAACAAAAGTGTCTCTTTTCTAAAAGTACTTTGGGACATCAAATTTTTAGAAAAACTAATTTCAAAGACGAATGACAACCAAGTCATTTAGAAATGTCTAATCAGGAATTGTGGGTTCTACTCAAATCATAGAGGTGGTATATTAAAAAAAAGTATTTGCTTCCTTCTTCAACAAACTTTTGGTCTTAAGCAAAAAACATAAAACATTCGGAGAACAGCTACATTCCAGTTTGTACTTGTTTTCCTGTCCCCTTTCAGAATAGATCCAGTTCAGTTTCTAAGATAAGAAGTCCCACACTGGCTAACAACAGGTGAAAAGACCTTTTGGGATCTCCATGTGTATATTTGAAAAATGGTGCTTTATATCACTAGGAGTTATTTTAATCCTTCAAACCTTAAAATTCCTTGTCATCAATTTCTAGAGTTGTAGGATGAAAATACTACACATTAACAGATGATTTAAGAAGTTTTGAAACAAAATTTTGAGAGGATCACCCGAACTTGCTCCATTGTTAAAAACTTGTTACACCCTAGATTAGTTTAAAGCAGATTCAGGAAAATTCTGAAGTATAGTAATGCAGAGCAGTTATCATGCAAAAAAAGACAGACAATTAAGAAAAGGGGAGGGGATAATCCTGGAAATTGGGGTAAGACAAATCCTTAAAAACAGATTTTGGGTACACAAGAAATATAACTCACTTTGAAGGTGTAGAAGGGCTGGTGATGCAGGAATTCACCATCTGAGAGGCTTTCAATGGTCTAGAACTATCAGAAAATTAGAAAATATATAATGTAAAAATTACATTACTAAAAGAATGTTTAACTTATAAAATGAATTATTTTGTATTATAGTCCCTTATATATTCTCTTGAAAAGCAAACAACTGTAATACTTTTACTAGCAAAAGAGAAAACAAAATACTTTCTCTAGGCTCTCCCCTATCTAATGATCTAAACAACACTGAAATGAAGTCAAATACAATGCATATGAAAAGAACAACTTAAGAAAATTCTCTTGTCTCAGTTCTTTACTTTTAAGCAATAAAATAACAATAGCTTTCATTTATTAAGGACTTACTAGATGTTAGGCACTGTAGTAAGGACTCATGTGTATTATCTCATGTAATGTTTACAACCACCCTTTTATTTTCCCTAGAGACAGGTCAAGGAATTTGTCCAAAGTCTTAAAGCTATTAAACTGTGGAGTCAGACAGCCTGGTTTCAGGCCTGTGATCATAAAGAGCCTTGGCTGATGGTTTGATATAGTACTACTGCAGAAAGAGTACTAGCTCTACCAGCAGAGGGCAGTCTGCATCAAGCAAAAACATCTATTCTAAAGAAAGGCTGTAAGAGAAAACCTGGGAACACGCTGTTATTGACCCATTGAGGCCTTTAGTGTAAACTTATACAATGTAGAATATATTTTCAATTATTAATCCAAGGGGAAATAATTTTACAAAACTCCATCAATTCATGTTAGCAAATATTCATTTACTTTCTGAAATATCTATTATTCCACTTTAGCCAAGAGACTTGGCTCTTTCAGTTACTAACTGTATGAGCTTATTAAGAAAATCACTTAAAACCTCCTCAGATCTCCTCTATAAAATTAAGAATTTAGACAAAATCTCTGAAATCCCTTCCACCTCTAAAGTTCTAGAACTTTATGATTCTACCAAACTAGTGTTCAAGTATAAAAAAGAACTATAATACATGGCTCAAAGTTATGCAAGTATGCAGAAGAATGAGCAACATTCAGAAGTCTTAAGGTTTTCCCAGCATTCATGAAGCAAAATCAAAAGTGAAGGTTACTTCTTTTCTCATGGAAGAATTTCTGGGAGCCACTGAAGTTCTTCACTTCACTATTTCACTGGTACATTTATGAAGACACAATCTATTCTGGGGGCCCCAGCATAATATTTAGTATACTGTTTCTCAAGTTTGTATACCCCAAAGAGTCAGCAAAGGCATTTGTTAAAAATATTGATTCCCAAGCCATATATCAGATTTGCTAAAACAGAACTTCTAAGGAATAAAAATATAGGAATCAGTATTTTTAGTGCTCAGGTGACTCTTAAGATCATGCAAATTTGGTTTATGTTTCCCAAATGTATCAAACTGTCTTCCTCCACTGATCTAAAAGAGTAAGAAGCACTTCCTCAAAAGGTAACATTATGAAAGGCAACTAACATATGTTGAAAATTTTTAAGCATTTTATTCAATTACTTAAATCAGGCAGTAATTTAGCACAAAATCACAAAATAAAGCAAAATTAAAATCTCTTTACTGGTCTGATTCTACCTGGAGTCATGTTACCTAGTTCATTCTCTTTTTTCTTTTTTTATTTTTTTTCCTTTTTCAGTTTTATTAGGTAGAATTATTACAGTTCAACTGCACATACACATTATATTGCATGTAAATACATACATACAGTATACTGCCCATTTTTTTAAGTTTACATATATGTACTGATTATTCTTTCTAAGCCTTTTCATTCTTTTGATCAGATACTAATAGCTTTTCTACTTCAAAACAGAAAGTAAGGAAATTCTCAGAGACTTACATTGCCATCTGTGCACTCCAGCCAAGGTTGAAGGGTGGTTTTGTATTTTCAGTGCAATGAGATGACAGGGTCAGGTATCTTGGAATGATGACTTGCTGCCCAATCTTGTTGTTAAGTGAGAGAGCAACATTGAAGCTGTATCGTTTCAAATGAAGAATGAGGATCCTAAAAAACAAGAGAAGATGACATCACTAGTTCATACAAAATAGAGGTAGCTCTCTTACAGGTGAAAAGACATCACCATAACTAACCATATTAGACAGCTTTTGACTCAATACATTACGCCAAACTAAAGATCCTTCAAAGAACATTTACTAAATACCTGCCATGTGGTAGGCACTGCGCTAGTAAGGTAATAAGAATACAGATAAAAATAAAACACAGGCACTGCGTGGATTAATGAAGTTTGGGTAAAATACTTATATTGTTCCTAGAAAAAAAAATCAGACAAAACATATCAGACAAGAAAACTAAATTTTAAAATATTGGTATTGATATTGAGTCACATTCTTGAATTATTTATTTCAATGTTATATAGTTTACAAAAAAACTGGATGCCATTTAACCACAAATAGTAATTTAATCAAATTATTAAACAGTCCTTACATTTGACAGTGAATATTAATTTTTTTCAGGATGATTTTTGACAAGAACTATTCTTATTTTGGTAGCACTTTCTCTAGAGAAAGGTAAGTGAGAAGTAAAAAAAATTTTCTCCACTTAGAAAAAAGTTCTACAAAACGTACATGCACAATCTGGTTTGTGGGCCTGAAAAGCCTTTTAGCTTTGTAGAAACACTTCTTTTTAGTTATTGTAGCAACCTTTTCACCTCTAATATAGAACACAATCTCTGTCTGATGGGCCTAAAATTTTTCACAGCCCACAATTAGTTACACTTTAAAAATTGAATTTCAGAACTCTTACAGGAAGAGACCTCAATTCTAGGCAAAAATAATGTCTGATTTATGGAAAAGCTGTTTCCTTTCTTACCGTATATACCTTTATCACAGAAGCCACAAACTCAAAAATCTGTAAACCGAAGTTATTGATTATATTTCTCTTTAAAAAAAATGCTAGAATTCATAGCCTTCAAATTTACAACTTGAGAGAACACAAGGATACAATTAATGTGAAGAGACCAAAATGAATGTCAAATGTCAAATATTTTGACCAAATTTTCAAATGATCCCACAAAATTTGCACAAAAAAACCTACCAAAATCATATTACCAAAATAAAAGGTAATATGAAATAGTCAAAATCACTGATCTGTAAAGATGAGATAAACTAAAAATGAACAAATCTGATAGATATCAGGCTCTTCAAGAATAAAAGTAGATTGTTTAATACCAAAATGAACAAAAACAGAGCAAGTCCAGTAATTAGGATTTATGATACAAAGGTTTCTTCTATTTCATGTAAGTTTGGAATAAACTAAGCTTTATGACATGTGACCTACCAGGGGAAAAAAAAAATCAAGGAGAAAAACTGCCCTCAGCATTTTTTTTTTCCACTTTAAAGACCAAACAGCTAGACTATGGGAAAGAGAATGGATATTTAGCTTTCCAGGTCAAACAGGTACTTTTAATTGTACCCCAGTTTCCTTAGTGACAGCTGATAACAATCAATCCTTTTCCTCAAGATTTATTCCCCCTACCCTCTCGCCTTAAAATACTCACAAATAGGAAAGAACAAGTCTTTAAAGTAAAAAATATAGACTATGGTCAACATGATTATACGTCTATGATTTATAAAGTCATTTCTTTAAAAGAAAGTCATTTTCTAGAAAGGCACAGATTACAGAATGGAAAAGAACTAGTCTCCACGGGCTAGGTTCCAGAAACTCCACACTTACTCACAGAAAACTGAAGCTACTGAAAGAAAGTAGAGCACTCTGCAGGCAAAGTGCCATATAAATACTTAATGTTAATAATAACCTCGTTTGCAGTTGAGACCTATTCTTGGAAAGAACTAAAAGCTATTCTATAATTACATCATAATTTTTCTACTTAGTTTGGTTTTATGTTTATTTATACAGAATCCAATATAAATTAACTTCATTTCTAATTCAGAATTCTTACTATAGGAAACTTACAAAGTTAACAAAATCCTCTGAAAAGAGAAATACACAAACTGCAAAAAATTACTCTTCCTATTTTATTTTCAAGCACACATGTGTACATGCCTGTAGCAGATATTTTTACTAACGGTTTGGGATAAGAGAGGCAAACTACAGCACAACAAATTATAACTGAGAATTACACATTATTGAATTAAAAACTTAGTAGTTAGTTCCCAACATTATTTCAAAGTCTCACCAGCCTCATCATCTCCTTGCCACCTTCTTCGGCCTCTCAAGTTCCTTCTCTTCTTTTATATTCCAAATCCTCTTCCTTTCTTATACAAGAGCATTCTAACTTTCCATTCTCTACCCTCTTCATAGCTCAGCTTTGCTGACCTTCTTTATAATCCATCTGATAAGCCTCACTTATTCAGTAATATTTCTAAGTACTTGAAAGAAGAAGAACTGAAGAACCAATTAATTTTACCTTGGTAGCCTGTTAAATTTGTGCCTAACAAGAGCACACTTCCCGCCACACTTCTCACAGGAATACTCAAGTTCTTCCGCCTGTAAAAAGCCAAGAGGGAAAAATAAAGAAGCATGAAGTTGAATTAGCACTGCCCCATTTAAATGCTAATAATCTTCTCTAGTCATAGTAGTTCAGTGGAATGGCAACTCCGACCAGCTTAAATGTTGTATCTAGAATCACAAACCTTACTAAATTAAGATCTAATCCTCAAAATAGAGTTTATCTTAAAATATCATGCCCTGTTTCAGAATTCCTAATTTCCTTTTTTACCAAGGAAACATCTCAATTTATGATAGTAACTAAACTATAGTAGCAGATTCTCAACCTTTTCCCCATGGATACACAAGAACCACTGCCAAGAGTATATCCAGACTTTAACATTTGGCCATAGCAGAGATAAGATCACCTTCAGGTTAGGCGGAGTTCCTGGTCTGTTAGGTGTAACTCTACCCCTTTCTTATAATGGAACTCAATCTTCTGGTGACAGCCCACTAAGAACAACTGCTCTAAAAGGACCAAAGTTTGGGGTGGATATCATTACCTAGAGAAAACTGAAACAAGAAATCCTTAAAAAATGGGGGTAAAAGATACATAGGAAAAGCTTCAAATTCTATGATAATAACAGGAATAGTAAGGAATGATTAAAACAAAAAGAAAAGCAGAATATTTATCTTTGGGTGGAGCTGAATGTTCATCATTTAAAGAACAGACTTTTTTTTTTTCAGTCTTAGGAAGACAATCCTGCCTATTTGTTACAACAAAACAAGAACTACTACTATATAGACAATGAGTGATCTTGGCAAGTTTCCATTAGTTATAAGGACTGCTATACAACAGGTTCAATTATGCCCCAGAAACTTTCTGAGTATCTGTAATGGTGTATTACATATGCAAATATTTATTTATATCTCTATAGCTTTGAATAAACATGTCTCCCCTCCCTTTTTGTTTGTAACAGCGTACATATAACCTAAGGAGAAGCAAAGAGTATTTTTTCAGTCCTCAGATCTTAGTATACTAACTTACATAATGTCTCCAATTTTGATTCACATTACCAAATTTTAGCATGTATCACTTTACATGCTTCAAATTAATATTTGTTTACAAATAACTGCTTCAAGGTTGTCTAAAACACTTGCTGTTGAGTTAGATGTATAATCTATGAGAAGCTAATTTTCTTCTACAATTGGTTAATAATTAGATTTAACAAGTTTTTAAAAATAAATGCTATTTATAAATATTTGTTGTTGAAACTCTGCCTTACAGAAATCAACTGCAAGTACAATTATCTATGATATATAAAATTTAGTTATGTGAAAATATCAAAAGATACTATTTACCCTAAAGAAAAGATCAAGGGAATCCTGAATTGAACGAGGAGGGAGTGGCTTTTTCCTTCGAGGCAGGTCAATGGAGAGGTCATTAAACTGTTCTCTTTTGGGAATAGTCTCTCCACATCTGTAAGAATAAAAGATGACAAATATAAGAGTTTAGAAGCCTAACTGTGCAGTACAAAATAAATACAAATAAACTTCAGAAACACTTTCCCCAGAGAACTTACCAGGTACTGGAAGACCATGACTAGGCATGAGAAACATACAACATTTAAGACTTTTCTAATGCTTACTTTAACCCTTAATAAACCAATACAGGTAAAACTTTAATTGGAAGTGTTTAAGTACCTTCTTAAAATGCTAACTTGAAAATTTTTATATTTTCCAAACCCCCCACTTTAAAACACTAAAGTGTAACATATAGAAAAGTGAATTAGTTGAAGTTGTATAGCTTCATGAATTATCAGTTAACACACATGAAATCATCACTCAAATCAAGAAACAGAACATTATGAACTCCCCAGAAGCTCCCTGACATGCCTCTTCCCAATCACTATCCCTTTCTTTCTCCCAAAAGGTTAACTATTATCCTGACTTCCAATACAACAGTCGAACTTTACCTGTTTCTGAACATTACATAAAGGGAACTATGTAGAATGTTTTCTTTTAACTAGCTTCTTTTGTTCAACATCAGTGTGAGATTGAACCACACTTGTTGCAAATGGCTGTAGCCCATTTTCACTGTTGTCTAGCATTAGGCTGAATGAGCAAGTTACAATTAATTCATATTGCTACTGATGGACATCTGGACTGTTTCCAGGTTTTGAATAATGTGTTAAGTTGAAAATTCTGTGCATTCTTGAACACTGTATAGGCACTTCTGATAGGCAGCCAAATTGTTTGGTCATTGGATACATTTTATTGAATTTCAAAAATTGGGCTCAGAGATCAAAACACAATATGCAATTAACCTGGAGGCAAACTGATTTCTTTTACATAGCTTTAGTTGACTGTTTTTCATTTTGTGTGCATATCAGCATTTTTAGTAGTATTCATTTTCCTATCCCAGTTCTCTGTTGCCACAGCTGAAGACTGGGGACTATAAGAATATATTTGTTCTTCATTCAATAAACATTTATTGAATGCCTCTTTCACAGGCAGAATTCTAAGATGACCCTTGCCCTTCCTTGTCTAACTCCATCCTCTGTGAGTGTTGGAGAACTGTGATGAACTATCACTCCCATGATGATGTTACCACATGGCAAAAGGGATTCTGCAGATATAATGAATGTTATTAATATTGACTGTTTAATCAAAAGGAGACTGCCTGGGTGGGTTAAGCCTAATCATACGAACTCTCTAAATATGAGTCTAGAGGTCTCAAACAGAGAAAGTCAGGGATTAGAAGTCAGAGTGATATCCTGCTGGCCTGGGAGAAAGCAAACAGCACTGCTGTGAACTACTTATGGAGGCCATATAGCAAAAAAACTACAAGCAGCCTTTAGGAAATGAGTTGCCCCAGCCAATAGCTAACAAAAAATGGGGACTTCAGTTCTATAACTGAAAAGAACTAAATTCTGCTCACAACCTTTATGAGCTGAGAAGGGGACCCCGTACACCAGCCAATATCTTGACTTCAGCTTTTTGATACCCTGAGCAAAGAACTTAGTCATACTCTATCTACACTTCTGACCTACAGAACTGAGTTAAGTGGATGTTGTTTTAAGCTGGTAAGTTTGGGGCAATCTATTATGCATCACTGAATATGCCTCCTATATGCCGAAACTGTTCTACGTACCAGGGTTGTGGCAGAGAACAAACCAAGACAAAAATATCTCCCTTCATGAAGCTTTCATTATACTAGAGAAAAGAGACAATTAAAAAAAAATATATATATATAGTGTGTTAGATAAGTGCTAAAGAAGAAAAACAAAGTAGAAAAGAGGAAAGCAAAAGTAGATGGCCAGAATTTTAGAGAGGGTAGTGAGAAAATGCCTCACTGAGAAAGTATCCTTTACATAAAATACAGAGAAGGGAGGGCACTAGCTATGTGAGAATATGGGGAAAGAGAATTTGAGACAGAAGAAACAGTAAGTGAAAAGGCCCTGAGATCCTGAGGTACCAAGATCCTGGCATTTCTGAAAAACAACAAACAGAATGAGCAAGGGGAAAGAGTGGCAGGAGATGAAGTCAATGAGTTAACTGGGAGAGAGGGGCTGCTGAAAGGCAGATCAAATGGGGTTTTGTAGATCACAGCAAGGATTTCAGCTTTCATTTTAAGGGTTATGAACAGAGGGCTGACAAAAACTAACGTTTATTTTAAATGGATCTCTTTGGCTAATGTATTTAAAAGAGACTAGAGAGAGACAAGGGCAGAAACACCGTGATCAGTTTAGAAGGTGTTGCAACAATCCAGGCAAGAGATAATAGTGGTTTGGACCAGAGTGATGGCAGTGGAGGTGGTAAATAGAGGTCAGATTCTGGTTGTATTGTGAAAGAAAAGCTCAAAGGATTTACTGACATATGAGACGTAGGGATGCAAAAGAAAGAGAAGAGTTAAGTAATATACCAATAAGCAGTTTTTAGACCGATAAACGCTATGTATGCAACTATCATTACTGAGAAAAGGAAGACTACAGAAGGAGATTTTATGGAAGAGTATTAAGTACTCAGTTTTAGATATTTTAAGTTCTTTAAATGGAGAATTCATACAAATATTTCCTATTTAAGAATACATTATTAATATATTGAATTGCCTTACAATAATCGAAAACCAGTCAATCTAGACTATAATAGTTTGAAAAAAATTAAGTACATTTGACAAACTGGTCAAACTAAACCTATAGTCAGATGGGACAGAGGCTAAACATGGAAAATTACAATTTGGGAATAAGATGTATGGAATCTTCCTTCAGCCAGAAACTATTTCATGTTTAAAGACTTGTCTTGAAGAAAATGACTAATAAAGCAAATAAGGTGAGGCTTTTCGAGGAAGTAGTTGGACCACTGCTGGGGCCCCACAGAACTCTGTTGCTTCCAGGATTTGCTAACCCTTGGGCCACTATTCAGGCTAGCCACCTAGTGTTCAGCCTCATGCCTACATACTGTGAGCCATGTCACTTTCTGCACTGGTACATACACCTCAACTGCACATCCAACACCTCGGTGTTACATAACTGACGTGTCTGATTGATGCTGTTGGCCCAGCGTGGCAGCGACTACTTTGATGTGGCCTTCTTTCTTTCTGTGCTGCCTATAGCTCTTCCTATCAGAGGCAACAGAAAGTTACCTATTAAAAAAATTTGTTTGGCACCCCCTACAATTAAATGATACAATAACAGTCAAACTTTGCTTCTCTGACTTAACAAATTTTGTTTGGAAAGTGTATTAGAAGAAAGGGAAAGATGGCTGTCTATCATATTATTAACTGCTGATAGGCTCTCTACAAGGAGATGAAATGTATCTGGAAGACCCAGACCTTTTCTTTAAAAAATAATTTATCCAATAGGGGAAAATAAAAAAGACTGAAGAAATCATGAAGATGAAAATTGTCACAGAATAATAATACAAAAGTACTACCTTTATAGCATTCATGTGAATGTTCAAAATTCTAGTCAAAAATACTAGAATGTTATAGCTGAAAGAGACCTCGGTGAGCACTATCATTTTGAGCAGCCTAAGAAAAATAAATATGGAAGATAGAGAATGAAGAGCCAATAAATGGGTGTTGAGTTTTTCTAAAGAAAACTACAGAACAAATGGAAGAGAAGCAGTGTTTAGAGGACAGTTTTCTTGAGCTAAAGAAAATCGCAAATCTTCAAATGAAAAAGCCCCACCCATCATGTTAAAGGCAAAATTAACCAAAAAAGTGTCAATACCTAGATGCAAAATAGTGAAATTGTGAATTTCAAAAATAAAGAGTATGACAGATTTTCAGGAAGAAAAAATTATCAACAAAATCAGGTTTCTCCCAAGTGTCAGAGTAACAGGATATGATCGGACAGTATATATAATATGTTGAGGGGGAAAGAAAGACTGTGTGTGACTCAGTAATTCTGTATTAAGTCATGTATGAAAACCACAGAAATAATTCTCATTTATATGGGTACTCTGAAGAATTCCACTCTCATCTGAAAAAATGTTTTCAGAGATGTACTATCTATAACTGGAAGATTAATCAAAATGGAATCTTTTAATGTGAAGTGCCTGGGATAGAAGCCCTGATAATGAGCATGGAAATTAATTAAATATAGGAGGTAAGTCTCAATAATTAATATGAAAATGGTTAAAAAGCATTACAAAAGTTAAAAATAATTCAAATTTTAATATTTTTTGGAAAAAACCCATTTTTAACAAAAACAATTTGGTTCAACAAAATAAGAAACTGAGTATATGACACAGTAATCCTGTTCCTGGGCATATATCCAGATGGAACCCTACTTCAAAAAGACACCTGCACCCCAACGTTCATAGCAGCACTATTTACAATAGCCAAGACATGGAAACAGCCTGAATGTCCATCAACAGATGACTGGATAAAGAAGATGTGGTATATTTATACAATGGAACACTATTCAGCCATAAAAACCGACAACATAACACCATCTGCAGCAACATGGATGTTCCTGGAGAATGTCATTCTAAGTGAAGTTAAGCCAGAAAGAGAAAGAAAAATACTGTATGAGACCACTCATATGTGGAAGCTAAAAAAAATAAATAAATAAATACAAAACAGAAACAGACTCATAGACATAGAATACAAACGTGGCTGACAAGGGGGCAGGGGTTGGAAAGGGACAGACTGGGATTTCAAAATGTAATATAGATAAACAAGATTATACTGTAGAGCACAGGGAAATGTACACAAGATCTTGTGGTAGCTCACAGTGAAAAAAACATGTGACAATGAAAACATGTATGTTCATGTACAACTGAAAAATTGTGCTCTACACTGGAATTTGACACAACAATGTAAAATGACTATAATGCAATAAAAAATGTTTAAAAAAAAAAGAAACTGATTAATAGGAAGGCATCTTTTTAGGGAAAAAGAAAAACAAGTATTCCCAAAAAGTTCAATATTCCACACAGTGATTAAAAGAAAAAACAAACACACAGACACACACACACACAAGGTAGATCATATTAACTGTTTAGTCAACAATAGAGCATATGACAAAATATTTAAATTCTTAGTCCTCCCCTACCAAATATTTTTATAGAAGATAAAAACATTGAAAAAAGATATTTGTACTCGTATTTCCTCGTGACACAGGAATAAAGATGAGGTAAGAATTAAAACCTAGAAGAGTTTCAGTCACTTGCCATAAAGACTTAAAGGGGAAAAGAGTTTTCTTAGAGACTACTTACGCTTTACAGATGATGGAGTGCTGAACTTCAAACTCCAAATTAGTAATAACAGGGCAAGTGTATACTCTAGTAGCTGAAATATCTGGCAAATTTTCTTCTCCAGGAACAGGTTCAGTCTTCCAAGTTTTATTCAATTTTTCCATATCCTCTTTCAGCTGGTCTAAGCACTGACTTAAAAATTCATGAGCATCCTAAGAAGGCATAATATCCATAATCAGATCAAAACATTTCTTATCACAATAATAGCTTATTAACATTGTGATTTATGCAATGAAAGCATATGTGGGGAAATGTCAAATATACTATAATGACTTTAGGGTACATATTTTGTAAATAATCTTAACTATAATTAGATTAGCATGAATAATAAATGAATCACTTCCTTACTTCTTTTTTTTAAAGGTGATCTTCTTTTTTTGTAGGGCCTTTGTAGCTAAAATTGCACAAGGCCCTACACTGGCAAACCACATCTATATTATTAAAATATGATGAAATACACAAAAGAGTTATATTGAGCCTTACCCGAAGTCCTCAGGTTTTTCAATCTGTGATGAACACACACACACAAATCTCATTTTAAAATAAAATCAGGTAACACATGAAAGTAATTTCAATTTCCCCTATCTCTAAGGTGTTTAAAAACAACTAGTACTCACGTTCTGCATATAACCAGAGAATCTCTCTGCTGTAGCTGAAATGGCATTTTTAACCTTCTTGAGTAAATCTTTTTTAGTCTCTGAATTACAGATATCCTTTTTAACAAGCAAGTGTGCAAAGCGTCTGGTAAAACAAAAGAGACAAGTTCAGCAGGTTTTACAAAACACTGAATGGATGATACTTTAAAGACTGCTAACAAAGGTACATAAAATGTTTAAGAGTCTAAAACTCCATTAGTCTATAATCAATATGGTAAAAAGTTACTCAGTAAGTATATAACAATTACCTGATAAGTGCATTGAGTGGAATTTTCTTCCATGGGATACCTTGCTTGAGCAAGTCATTTGCAAATGATTGGAGTGAAAATAGAGACTGTAAAATAGCATTCATATAACAGGTATTTCCCAAGTTGGAGAAGCTGAAAGAAAACAAAAGAAATAGTACTTTTGAAGACAACAGTAGTTCCTGAAGTACATTCATTTAAGCAGAGGTTCTCCACTATAGCATGCATCAGAATCACTTGGAGGGCCTGTTAAAATACATATTGCTGGGCCCCAACTCCGGAGTTTCTGATTCAGTAGGTCTGGACAGAGACGGTGCAAAAATTTGTACATCTAACAGGATCCCAACTGATGCTGATGCAGCTGGTCTGGAGACCACACTTAGAGAACCACTGCATTGCAACATTATTACAACTTCATTTCATCTCAAGGAAAATCACACATTTTCAAACGAATGCTAAGAAGGACTAGGGACATATCTAGAATATATGTATGTTTAGCTTTAATGGGTACTGCCAAACATTTTCCTAAAGAACATATTTTTAAAAAACTTTTACTTGGAAATATTCTTAAACTTTCAGAAAAGCTGCACAAGAATAATATTCTTTCCCTAGATTCACCAATTGTTAACCCTTTTGTACTATGTGATTTATCATTTCACACCTCTCTCATCCTTTCTCTTCCTGAACCATTTGAGAGTAAGTTGCACCATACCCATTTAGCTCTAAATACTTAGAGTGTATTTCAAAGGAACATTCTCTTGTATAATCAGAGTACGGTTATGAACACTATAAAAGTTAATGCTAATACTCCTACCTAGTATACTTTCTTTAATCCAATTTTATCGATTGACCCAATGTTTCTTTATAACATTTTTTCTCCTTAAGCACAAGATTCAGTCCAGGATAACATAATGCTTTTAGTTTTCATGTCTCATTAGTTTTCTTTAATCTGGAATCATTCTTCAGATTTTTCTTTCATGGCACTGACATTTGTGAAGAATGAAGCACACCCCCACTGCCCCTCACCCCCTATTTTTAATGGAATGTTCCTCATATTGGGTTTGCAATTTCCTCATGATAAGATTCAGCTCAGGCTGAAGACCACGTAGTGATACTGTGTCCTTCCAAGGGCATCACATTCAGAAGCACATGATATCCCTGTGCTGCTTATTGGTGATGTCAAATCTGAACACCCTTAAGAACTTCCACTTCAGACTATGACAAAGTATCACGGTCTGGAATACCCTACAACAAAAAACTGGACAATTGGACAATAGGCAGTGCAGGACTGTGATCTTTGAGAGAAGGATTTCATCCTGGAGGCAATTTGTGAAGTGGAGACCAGGGAGTGGTACCCATATAGGCCCCGAAATCTTGCTAAGTCAAGCTGAAAGAAACTGGAGTTTGAGAGGCTGAAGTTGCTAAAGTTTCTGGGACAGAGTACCAAAAAGAAGGGAGCTGTGCAAAGGAAGAGTTACAGAAATCTGTACAGGAGTCTGCATGAGTATTTGGCTGAACAGCAACCTGTGCAAGTTTAGGGTGAAACCCCATGACACCAGGCAAGAACTTAAAGGAAAAGAATGATCACTGGGGGGCTATTAGCTGAACAGCTCCCAGTGCTTATGCAGGACCTAAAATTGTGAGTTCCCATCAGTCATAGAGACCTAGATAAATTCATGGGGCGTTAGCATAGACCACAGAGGGGCCTTGCTTCAGGAAAGGAATCAAATAAGCATTAGAATAAAGGCAACTTAAGATTTGACCCCAAAGAGCTTAAAAACAGAAGTCTCAAAACAAACCCAATTGCAGGCAAGGATATTAAAACAGCTATTATAAATGTGCTTCATGTGATCAAGGATGTAAAGGAAAACATAAAAATACTAAGGAAAGAAATGGAAAAATTAAAAAACCCCAAAATGAGATGAAAAACACAAAATTTGAAATGAAAATTTTATAGAATGAGATTAATAGATTAAACACTGAAGGAGGAAATAGTGAATCTAAAGACAAAGTAACATGAAATATGAAAAAGAAATATCCACATATTTTATATAATATAAAACGTATTTCATAACTTAAAATACATTTCTATATTTTATAAAATATAAAATATAATTATACTTTATATAATATTTTAAGTATTTTAATGTATATATAAAAACAAATATATGTATCTTTTCTTATTTACCCTTCTTTCTTACACAAAAGGTAGCATACTACATATACTCCTTTAGCAATTTGGTTTTTTTACTTACCAATATATCTTTTGTTATTTTCAGGGTTTTTTTTTTTTTTTTAAATTATAGCCATACTAGTAGGTATGAAGCAGTCTCTCACTTTTGTTTTAATTTCATATACCTTCTTCATACTTTTATTACAAATTTTCTTTTTCATAGCTGCATGATTCTCCATTGCTTCTAAGAATTTGTCCATTTCATCTAGTTATTTAATTTGTTGGTGTATTCTCTTATAATCCTTTTTATCTTGGTCAGGTTGGTAGTAATGTACTCACTTTCATTTTTTGTTTTAGTGATTTGAGTCTTCTTTCTTTTCTTCCTTGCCAGTTTAGCAAAACAGTTTGTTAATTTTGTGGACTTTTTCAAAGAAACAACCTTTGGTTCTGTTTATTTTCTCTATCATTTTTCTATTCTCTATTTTCTTTGTCTCTGCTCTAATCTTTATTATTCTCTTTCTCCTGCTAGATTTGGGTTTAGTTTCCTCTTCTTTTTCTAGATCCTTAAGGTGTAAAGTTAGGGTACTGATTTGAGATCATTTTTTTAAAAATCATAGCAGAATATACTTAATATAAAATTTACCAAATAACCATTAAGTGCACAGCTGGAAAGACATTAAGTACATTCATACTGTTGTGCAACTATCACCATCATCCATTTCCAGAATTTTTTTCAACTTCCCAAACTGAAACTTTGTACACATTAAACAATAATTCCCCATTCCCTTTGCCCTGGCTACCACCATTTTACTTTCTGACTCTATGAATTTGACTATACCTGGTAACTCATACAAGCAGCATCATACTATTTGTCGTTTAGTGACTGGTTTATTTCACCTAGCATAATGTCTTCGAGGTTCATTCACATTGTAGCATATGTCTGAATTTCTTTACTATTTAAGGCTGAACAGTATTCCATTGTATGTATATAATACATTTTGTTTATCCACTCATTCACTGGTGGACACTTAGGCTGCTTCCACCTTTTGACTATTGTGTATAATGCTGCTGTAAATATCGATGTACAAATGTCTGTTTAAGTCACTGCTCTCGATTCTTTCGGATATGTACCCAAGACTTGCTGGATCATATGGTAATCCCACTCCTAATTCTCCAAAGAACTGACATACTGTTTTCCATAGCAGCTGCACATTTTACATTCCCACCAGCAATGTACAAGAGTTCTAATTTCTCCACATCATCACCAACACATTTTTAAAAAAATGTAGGCATTTACTACTAGAAATTTCCCTTTTAGTACTCCTTTTCTGCATCCCATTAGCTTCGGTATGTTGTTCATCTCCTAGAATTTGATTGAGTGTATTGTTTAACTTCCACATATTTCCAGTTTTCCATCTGTTACTGATTTCCAGCTTCATTCAATTGTGGTTGCAAAAGATACTTTACATGATTTCAATTTTCAAAAATTTATTGAGACTTACTTTTGCACATGCTAAGCATGCACTCTACCAGTGAGCTATACCCTCACCCCTGAAAATTATTTTTCTCTTATTAGATGTATTAGCCCATTCATGTTTCTTGATGTGGCTGACATACCTGGACAAACTCTGTCGTGCTGTGTTATAATTTTACTTATCTACTTAGTATATTTTAGAAATATTTCTTTTGGTTTTAAGAAAGGCTTTTTGTTTTAGTGGTTATATCTATATTTATACTTTTTTAATAGTGCCCTTAACCCTCATTTCCTTCTTTTTTAAATGTTTTATTATTTTTTAATGGAGGTACTGGGAATTGAACCCAGTACTCCATGCATGCTAAGCATGCACTCTACCACTGAGCTCTACCCACCCTACAATCCTTGTTTCTTGGTGGTTTTTTTTTTTTTTTACTATCTAGTCCATCCATTTTAAAAGGTATTCTTTGACTCACACCTATTACTTATGACCCAGTCAATTAAATTATTCTACTTTCTTTCTCTCTCCTTCTATTTTCTTTTAGTTGCAATCATACTTCCTTGTCAGAACACATAATGTCTATATACCATCCTTATATATGTGTTCCCACCAGTGTTTAAGTCTTAGCTCTACAGCTGAATATATGAAATAGTCACTATCTATCTTTTGTCAATGTCTCCACTACCTCTTGGCTTGATACAGCTCATACTCTGTAGAGTCTTCAGAAGGAGCGTATGTGTACAGTATTCTGAGCTCTTCCACTTCAAAACTTATTTTTTTCTAGCCCACATACTTGTCAGCTTGGATTGGCAAAAAATCTTTGTTCATTCTTTCATCAAGCTCTTGAAAACAATGTTCTTTGGTGCCTTGCTTTGAATGACAACTTGGAGAAGTCTGGTGTCAATCTATTCCTCTCCCCATTGTAAACTATTTCATCTTTTGACTGAAGGCATTGAGAATTTTCCTTATCTTTATAAAGTCTTACAGTTATACTAAGATATGTCTTGCTCATTCAATTTTCCAGGTCTCTAGAGAGCTCTTTGAATGTAAAAATTCAATGACTTCATTTCCAGAAAGTTTTCTTGGGTTATGGTTTTAAATACTAGTTCTGTTTCATTGTTTGAATTTTCTTCTTCAGAGATTCGAGTTACATGGAATATGGGACCTTCCTTGCCTGTTTTCCAATTCAACCACTCTCTCTGACCATTCACACTTCTTTCTTTATCTCATTTTCCTACCTTGGTTGTTTTTTCAAAGCCCCTTATTAAATTTTCATTTGAATTTATTTCCCCTTGGGGAACTTTAATTTAGACTTAATTTTTGATGTGATGTTGTCTTTCTTCCTCTCTAGCATTTTTGAGTTCAAGCAACTGTCATTTCTTCACTTATCCATTTTGATTTTTAGTTTGAATGCCTGATTCATGGTGCTTTTTACAAGTCTTTAAATGCTTTTCATATCTTCAAATATTCAATTCAGTTTTAAGTGTTATATAAACAGTTTTCTTATAGTTCATGTTGGTTTTGGTGGCAGAATTTTTATTAGCCTAAATATTTTGATTCATGTTTTCTTTTCTTCTAGTTTTTATGGAAGTGTCCTGCTTTTTAACATTCCTATTCAATTTGTGGGTAGGGTTCTTAAGCACACCATCTTCTTTTAGCTTAATAAAGTGCAGTTTCTTTAATGGGTGGTGATGGTAGGAGAGGAGAGGGGTTGGCATGTCTTGTTACCTTTTATTTCAGCACAATCCTTAATTTTCCTCTCATTTCTTTCTTTTGCTTCTAAGCCAAGTCTCTAGACTTGGCTGATTCTTTCCCCTACAAGTAATGATTCTTTGAGACTGTTACTTCAGATACCACTTACTTTCAAGCCCCTTGCCTGTGATCAGTGCTGCAAACTACCAAGATCCAGCCTTACATTTAGTATTCTGATACTTAGTATTTACTAAATATTTGAATTTCTCTTTCTGAGTGATTTTTTTTTCTGTACTTCATCTAAGTCTTATATTCCTATTTTTTTTCATGGAATCTCTTAAGCCTCCTGTTCCTGACTCTCAGCACCCACAGGCTTAAAGAAGTCAGAAACAGGTATGCTGCTAGAATCTGGTTTGCTCCTCTACTTAGAAAGTAGTTTAAAGGGGATGGTATTCTTTGTATCCTAGAATGCAACTTATACGTGCTTTTCTTTTCACTTCTCATTCATTTTATGTTTTTGGAGGGACCTGTGAGGAACACTGAATTAGGTAGCCTCCATCATCCTCTAGCCCTGGCAATTTCCTACTCAGTATTTTTGTTTGTTTATTTTTAAAGGAGTCCTTAGTCCTGAGTTCTTGGTCCACTTAAAATAATACATTCTAATTCCTGTAAGAAGTCTGAAAAATGGAAAGCTGCATTTCTAGAGATGGGGACAGACACTATACATAAATTAAAGAAACACTGGAGGTAGACAGGGAGCCAGGAGCACCAAGGGTGGGTAACTCATAAGGATGTCAAAGGACTCGAAAGGAGATGAATGACACAGAACAAAAGTAGACTACAAAATACACAACAGGAGGCACCAAGAAAATGAACCAAGTAAGATTAAGTTAGACAGAAATAAGAGCTGGATGAAAAATGGTTATAAAATAGGATAGACTAACATAAGAATGCTGACTGGTAAGGAAGCAGCAAGATAATCAGACAGAACAATTAGAATGAAAAACAAAGGAAATTAAGAATTAAACTGAAAGGTAAACATTTAAGAAGACAGAACAGAAAAGAAGAGGCTCAGCGAAAATAGGTAAGCAGAGAAGAAAGTTATATGTTTTCACTACAAATTTTCTGTTGTTTTCTGCTGAAACATGAAGCTGAAGCATATAAACTATTATGGATAAGCCGAATTGGCAGACATGACTCACTCAAGTAAAAAGGTATCTAAAAGCCAGTATAAAAACAGTAATTTAGCGGGGTGAGGGATATAGCTCAGTAGTAGAGTGTGTGCTTGGCATGCATGAGGTCCTAGGTTCAATCCCCGGTGCCTCCATTAAGGGAGGTTAAAAACCCAACCCAACCCAACCCAACCCAATCCAACCCCAGTAATTTAAGTAAGATTAAAAACAAGCAAGCTGGGAGGTTTGGGGAGAGCAGTTTGGTAACAGTAATCAAAAATTTCAAAGTGTCTTCCTTAATCTTAACAATTCTACTTTCAGGAATTTATCCCATAGAAAAGTTTTAATAAAGATTAAAAATATATATAAATATTGATTCTAGCCTGGATTGTAATTGGAAAAAAGGGAAATCTAAACGCATACTAACATGGCTAAAGGTTATGTACTAATATATGAGGCTGCCCATAATTAATGTGGGATGGAAAGAATTAGGGAGCAGACAAGTAACATGGCATAGTGATTAAGAAGGCAAGTGGACGTGGCAATAATATGCAATGTGCAAAAACACTGAATCACTATGTGGTACACCAGTACCAACAATGTTGTAGGTCAATTATACTTCAAAAACTAACTCAAAGAAAGAGATCAGATCTGTGGTTATCAGAACGGAGAGTAGGGGGAGGGGAAATTGGATGAGTGTGGTCAAAAGGTACAAACTTCCAGTTATAAGATAAATAAATACTAGGGCTATAATGTACAACATAATTAATAATTAACACCGCCCTATGTTATATATGAAAGTTGTTAAGAGAGTAAATCCTAAGAGTTCATATCATAAGGAACAAATATTTTTTTCTCTTTCTTTTATTTTGTATCTACATCAGATGATGGATATTCACTAAACTTACTGTGGTAATTATTTCATAATATATTTAAATCAAATCATTATGCTGTACAATTTAAACCTATACAGTACATTAAGTCAATTATATCTCAATAAAATTTGAAGAAAAAAATACAAGTGGAGTCCAACTGCCTAGATTTACTATTGCTGTACTACTGACTATAACACCTTGAGCAAGTTAACTAACTTCTCTAAGCCTTAGTTACTTCATCTTTATAAAAGCAGATTTTTAATACACCTAGTTTATAGAACTGTTGAAAGGATTTAAAGAAAAAATTTCATTTAAACTCTTAAGCTCAGTTTCTGGCATATAAACATTTTAGGTAAGACTGCTATAATTATTTCAGTTATTATACCATTATCTCATTTTTGTGTGTTTAATAAAACTATAAGCATAAAGGGGCTGGGGAGGATATAAATAATACTTAATGCTACAGTATCTCAGGAGATGGATGAAGCATATGGGATTGAAGAATACGCATTTTCCACTTTATGATGAATGTTTTATATATATATTATTTTATATATATATAAATATGTATCTCATATATATATTTATTTATATATTTATATTTCATATATATATATATTTCATATATATGTATTTCCTCAAAGTTGAAAAATTAGAGACCAGATAACATACTTAACAGTATTTACGGATGCGAGTAAATATTTGAGAACTATAATTAATATGACTCCTTTTATCCTTTTTTAAATACTAGGTAAAGCATGCTTTAGTTGAATCATTTTATAAAAACAAAGCAAAATAAAAGAATTTACCTACCCCTGTAGTTGTTGCTGTTGGTGAGAGGAAAGGGGCACTCTTGGTTTGTTCCAGCCAGTGTAATCCTGGTTACACCTCAGTTTTTTAACAGAAAGAGGAGCTGGCTGAGGAAGAAATCCCAAACTTCTTTTGGCAGAGGGAGTTTGGCTTGAAATAATAGTCCTATAAAAAAGAGTAAATAATGAAAAAGCAAAACAATTTTGAATACTACCTTTTCCCCTAGTAGATTCAGAGAAGTCAATGCCTAGGAAAAAAAAATAACCTAAATTTGAGGAAATATCAATGATGATGATCACTTGCGGAAAAATTTCACAAATGTAAATTAGCAAATCTGTTAATAGAGCTGAAGAGACATATAATACTGCACCGTACTTAACATCCAACCAAAATAATCCATGTTCATGGTTTGAGAAAAATGGCTTTTCATTCACTTTTATCCACTTAATGGCTACCATACATTAGTTTACCTAGTCTTGAAATCATTTAGGCAGTGAATTTTTTCCACTATTACAAATAATGATACAACAAATATTTTTGCCCAAACTCCTTAAGAACTTAGTCTAACTTATATGCTTAGCAGTGAAAATGTTAGAAGCATTTTTCAATTTTCATTTTAAATTTTTCTGGATAGTGTAACTGTTTTCCAAAAAGGCTATACCAATTTAAATTTCCACCAACAGTGGATTTCCATTTCTTTGCATGGTCTCCATTACATTATTATCACTCTGATGAGTGAAACATGATCTCATCATTCTTTTAGTTTGCATTTTCCTAATTATTACCAAAGTTGAACAATCTTTTCTTCATGGTTTCAAGTTTTGTGTCTTGTTTAAGAACCACCCTGTAATGTAAGATCAGAGAAATGTTTTCCTATATTTTCTACTAAAAGATTAAAATTTGTTTTCCCTCTTATTCAGGTCTTTAATCTGCTTGGATGTTTACTTTTTTGTATCCTATAAAGCTGAAATATGATTTACTTTTTTATAAGGAAAAGTCAATTATCCCCAATGGCTTATTGTCTGGCTAGGCTATCTGTTAGCCACTATTTGGTTTTCTACTTTTAAAAAAACTGTGAAATAGAACACAGAAAAGTGTATAAAAATCAAATGTGTAAAACGTGGTGCAGGATGTCAATAGTGAGGGAAGCTGTGTGTATGAGGGAGGATGGGAGTAGTAGGCACTCTTTGTATTTTTCTGCTCAATTTTGCTGTGAACCTAAAACACTCTAAAAAGTAAAGTTTATTAAGTAAAAATCAAGTGTGGAGCTTAACAAATTTTTATAAAGCAAGCATATAAGTAACAATGTCAAAAACCTACAAGTGCCCCTGCCCAATCACAACTCTGTTTCTCTACTCTAAAAATTATTAGCTTTCTATCAGTTTTATTCCTTACTATGTACTCCTAAACACTGTAGTTTGGACAATGCAAGGTTTATCTGTTTTCATTCTTTTGCTTTCAGCCTTTATCTTTGTATTTTAGTTGTCTCTCTTTTAAATAGCATATAGATCTTTATTCTTCCTTTAAAATCCAGTCTCTCTCTTTAACTGGAATATTTAGTATATTTATATGTAATGTCATTACTGATTTGGGTTAATAACTTTTAATATCCTTGTCTACTAATTCTATCATCTGTGATGTTTCTGAGTCAGTATTCTTGATTAGTTTTTCTCTTCCTTATGAGATGTACTGCCCTGTTTGTTTGTATGTCTAATAATGTTTTCTTGGGTGCCAGACATTGTGAATTTTATCTTGTGGGGTGCTAAGTATTTTTGATTTCTATAAACATTCTCAAATTTTGTTCTGGGATGTAGTCAGGTTACCTGGAAACAGTTTGATCTTTTGGGGTCTTGCTTTTAAGGTTTGTTATATTGGACCAGAGCAGCAATTCATCTAGGGATAGTTTTTCCTTACTAGTAAGGCAAGACCTTTCTTATCATTCAAATTGCTGCATAGGAAAAGGAACTACACCTGGCTTTATGTGAACTCCAAGCATTATTTCCTTAGATCCTTCTAGATGGTTCTCCTCCTGGCCTTGACCAGTTCCCTCACCTGCATATGCTGATCAGCACTCAGATGAAGCTCAAGGGGGACCCTCTGCAGATCTCTGCAATTCTTTCTCTGTGCAGCTTTCCCCTCTGGTACTCTGCTCTGTGAATTCTAGCCACAGTGGCCTCCCCAGACTCCTAGCTCCACTTCCTCAACTCAGGAGCATAGGGCTGGCTCTGCCTGGTTCCCCCTCCTTGTGTGGCAGCCTAGAAACACTCACTTTTAAGAAGCAAGGTGCGGCAGTCATAAGGCTAATTTTATTTGTTTGCCATCTCTCAGGGATCACTGTCCTTCACTGCCTCATGTCCAACATCTTGAGATTCACTGTTTAAGATACTTTGTCCAGGCTATTAGCTGTTTCATGAAGGAGGGTAATCTGGTCCCTGTTATTCCATCTTGGCCAAAAGTTGAAAAGTCATCGTTAACTTTTTAACATGTCTAAGTTAACTGTGGCCTCCTCTCAAACAAACAAAAAAAGGAACTTAAAGATGTTTTAACTTCCCTGTACACTTCTCCACTCCTATATTTCCTCTTATTGTCTAACATTTTATTAATTTTTTTTGCTCATTGATCTTTCTTTCTTCTACTCCTTCCTTTGCTCAGTTTTCTTCTTGCTGAATAAGTTGTCTTTATATATCTAAAAACGACATTATTTGTCTGCATTTTTGAATTAAAATTTAACTGTATACAGAATTCTTTGATGGTATTACTCCATTGTCTTCTGTCCTACTGTTACTAATGTCAGTCTATTTTCCTTTTATAGATATTTTTCTTTCTCATAGCTTTTACAATTTCTTTACCCATCACCTTCTACAATGTGGTTTAAAAAATATACATATATATATATACACATATATACATATAAATATACATATATATAATTTGCTGTTTGGCATTTGTTGAAGCTTTTCAGTGTGTGGACTTCCTTCATTTTCATCCATTATTCCTTTGATAAATTCCTTACCTTTATTCTCCTTAGTCCTTCTTTCCAAAATGCTATTAAGACACGGAGGATGGCCCATCATATGTCTCTTATTTTCATTTACCTTTACCATCTCCTCTCTGTCCTATACCCTATGGATCATGCTATTCCTGACTTCTAGTATCAGTCTGGCCTCAGTCTGGACCTCTAATCTGCAGAAGATTTTATGTTAGGGGTTCAGAATTCTTGTCCTTATGCAGGGTAACACTAAAGCAGATGCCAATCATTGTAATTCACATTTTGAGGTATTTGATTTCTGCTCAGGGAGCATCAGGCAAGCAGCATATTTATGGTTTCAAACTCAGGTACTTATACAGAAGTATTTTTGCCTTACTAGCACAGAGAGCAGTTCAAGATACCCAGCTTCATATAACTTCATGTAAGAAACCAAGGTTTGGTCTGGGGTCATGTTTGGTTCCCAATCTCATGTTGGTTTTAAAGACCCATCCCTAAATATTTGACTCCAGTCTGTATTTCACATGTGCTCTGTGGCTTCAGCCTTTACTCAATATTCGTTTTCTCATCAATCTGGAAAATTTCACTCTTTGAGTACAGCTTTACATTTAAAATTTTTTTACTTGCTTAATCATTCCTATGTGCACTGAGTATCTCCATTCTATTATTCTGAGAAGAAATTTGTATTGTATTTAATAAATCATTGTAAACCAAACGCAGTTTTTTTTTAAACTTAGGTTCCTTTAAGATTCTTCTAATAAGTAGAAATATGTCAAGATTTCTCTCTCTTAAATTCAAATATCAAGGTTACCACTGCAGTCATAAAGTGCCAGACAGATACCACCCAAGGCTGAATATACCTAAATATACAATATCAAATTCTTTATTTCACTTTATTCATTTTACACAAATTATCAAAGATGTTTTTACCACTTTGAATTAAATTCCAGTAAAAAACGAAATATGACTTAATATGTTATTATAAAGCATATCTATTATACACCATTACCTTCACTTTTTACATTGCCCTTCTGTGCAGCATTCCATGATCATGCCTCCTTGACAAGTGTCCAGCAGTTGTCTTACATATTTATAGTCAATAAACCTCAAAAAATTCAATCTGAAGTTATCTCTAGAATCAGAAATTAAATTTCTGACTAGCCTTTTCTAGTAAAAGAGACTCACTAAAGTAAAACTTCTGCTTTTTAAAGAAAATGCCTTTTGGTAGGTAGTTTAACAAATACACAGGCAACAAAGACAATTTTAAAATGCCTCAAAGGAGAGACCTCATTATGTTCATCACTTAGGATGATGGAAAATACACTCATCTAGAATCTGATCACACTGCCAGACACAACCTGTGGCCTCAGTACAAACCTTCCTGGACATCAGTCTACTCATGTGTTGAAAAACATAAAAAAGAAGAATGTGAACTAAAACATTTCTAGAATACTTTCTAACTAAAATGTCATTTCTCATCAATTTTCTTATTTTAAAATCTCTAGAATCATTTAGAGCATTATGCACAGCCCAGCCCATCATTTAATATTCTGAAGAAGAGAGCTCTTCAAGTTCTTCACAAGGCATATAACCAATGCGTACCTGTCTAGGTTAGTGTTGCCAGGAGAGTAGTCCTTGGACGCAGCTCTGCTACCATAAAAAGATGATGACTGCAAAGGTAAAAGCCCTAAAACATGAACAAACACAAGAAAAATTTAATTCTTAAATCAACCATTCAAGTTCATTTAATAATAAAATTAAGTATTGGGCTTGTTTATATTTAACTCTTTTTTTCTCCCTTCCTGTTCAGCAAATTAATACATGTATATACATGTTAAAAGAGCAAACACTGTGGAAGAGGTTATAAGCAGCAAAGAATACTCTCCCACCCCAAAGTCCCACAAATTTTGCTTCTAATTTCTAATCAATTTTTGAAAACTTAGTTTTTCTGATTTCCTTCATAACACTAAATAATGTTTTTACAATTTATTGATTTATTAATTTTAAACAGTATCAGCTGGCTCCTTCTTATAAAAAATTAGAAATAAATTCTCATTTACATCATCCTACTCTTGTTCTCCTCTCTTCAATTATTTTAGTTGTGTTTAGTTTTACTGATTAACTTTGCAACTTGAACACACTTAAACCTTCTACATTCTGTTCCTTGAACCTTATCACTTGACTACTTACTACCTTCTCTCAATCCTCCTCTTTCACATCAAGTTTTATAAGATGTATCTTAATTTCAACATTACTAAGGTTACTATACCTTTAAGTATTATTTTCTGATACAGGTTGATTATAAAAGCTGAAAATCAGTAAGTTCACATAATGTATTATTATTTCAGAGGTAAGAATTGTATTAGAGGTACTTCTTTCAGGAGGAGTCCAATGTTACAATGTTACACTAAGGAAACCATTCCTAGAATCCTGATCAAATAAATTCTCTTAAACTCTCAACTTATCAAAATAATGCCATATTTAGCTTGCTTCAATTTAATTTCAAGTTGAACACAGTATTCAAATCAATACCAGATATCTGAATCTCTAAGGAGTTCAAAGGATCAGACAGATATATTAAGTGTAAAAAAATACTAACAAAAATTCACGGGCAGTCTAACTTCTAGGTTTTATAAAAACAAGGTGAGCTTTAACAATTGCTTTAGACAATAATTCCAAGATCTTATAAAACTTCTAATAAGTAACAACACTGATGAACTTTAATTTCAACCACTTTAACTCTGTGGATTCACTCTATGGTTCAGGACGTTTTGACAAATGAAAAGAGCTAGGCAGCCAAACAGGAGAAAAGGTAAAGCTTAGATTCCTTGTAAGTAAAATGAAAATTCCTTTATATTTCTAATACTTTCATAAATTGGTACCCAATAATGAGTACTGAATTATAAAGTATGAATAATATAGAGAAATATGCCCCAGTTTAGGTTCCTATTTCTAGTCTACTTCAATATATCATATAATAAATGAGTATCTTATACAAAGACCAAATACTTACCTGATGTCCTATTCTCTTCTGACTGTTTCAAACTCAGCTGCTTCTCTCTACTGCTGGTTAAATATTTTCTTGAGGGATCTGTCATAGCTTTATTGTTCCTACAGTTAAGAATTTAATTAAATACATGTGTGTATAAAGATATAACTCTTAATTTTAAATAATTGTCATTAAAATCCTTACATTTCAACTGCCAAATTTCATTGATTTACTTGGAAGTTAGGCTACAAGGTGTTAAAGCCTCAAGAGGTCAGTGACAAGCAAATGAGGATCATAAAAATAAGCTTTCATTACCAAGTCAAAAGCCAATCCAATCCATAATCCTGATAATTACATAAAAAATGAAGGAGTATTTTCTTTATACAGAAGTCAAACCAGAGACAGCAAAATTATATAGCTTTTCTTAGCCAAAAGCAAGACCAGATGAAATGATTCAGCTACTAAGACCAAATGAATTAAGAAGTATTCAAAACTTGATACTGAAAAGCTTTAAAAAGTAAAACAAAATCCAGAAAGTTCCTATAGTCTATATAATTTGAAATACTATTTACATTATTTCAATTCATAGTTATTATTTTAAGTTCATGAACACAAAATTTTAGGTTAAAATTTCTCTTTTCTTTCTTTCTTTTTTCTAATGAGGAGGAGGTAATTAGGTTTATTTGTTTATTTCTATTTGGAGGAGGTACTGGGGATTGAACCCAGGACCTTGAGCGTGCTAAGCATGCGCTCTACCACTTGAGCTATACCCTTCTCCCAATTTAAAATTTCTTAAGTGACATTTCCCCCCTCTATTATTCCCAAATACCTGGACCTATATTAAGTAGAGTCAGTCCATTCAAAAAAATGCTCACACTTTGATTAAAAGTGCTAATTTTAGGAGAACCATCATGAATAAAGCCTGTAAGTAGAAATGAAGATGCTCCACTCAGATTCTCTCTGACCTCATTTTTTGTGTCCTCCCTTCCATACCAATTTAAGTATGTTTTTGATAGCCAGTATCTAGGATTTTCCTTCACAGGACTATCCTCATAACTGCTAGAGATACTTTGCCCACACTCTGAGAGTCACAAGTAAGGTCAGGTGCTAGAGTGCAGGAGCCCAACTTCCTTGCCTTGGATTAGAACAGTTTTAAGGTGAAATTTATATAACAGATTTTTCACTCAGGGATTAGGATGAAGCCTAATTTCTGCATTTTTGGGGGTTAGAGACCAGGTTTTTGTCTGAAATCACACGCATTCTTCATTTTCTACACTTCAGCATCTAGCTTTACCCACATGCTTTTCGGTATCCCCTGGGAATAACTCCTAAATAAATCACTTGCACACTAATCTCCATTTGAGGGTTTGTTTCTAGAAAGCTTAATCTACAACAACTGGTACTAAAAGTGGGCCTAAGAAGCACACTCTAAGGACAGGATTCTGGAATTGGATCACTTGTTTGGCAAAGACAACAGAAATTCCATTGCTAGTGGTAGTATCTCCAGTATCCTAGAGTGTTACAACACTGAGATTTTTTTTCATCTGTAGTGAGCTAGGATGGGATAAAGCAGAAGAGTATATGGCTCATGCAATATTTCTAGCATTTGAGAAATACAGTAGACTGCACAATGGCTCTTGTTGGGGTTACAGAAATGTTCTAAAGCTGGATTATGGTGATGGCTGCACAACTCAACAAATTTACCAAAAATTACAGAATTATACATTTTTACATTATGCAATGAAAACAGGTGAATTTTATGGTATGTAAACTATACTTCAATAAAACTGTTTTAAAAATATTCCAATCTATTCCCTTCCTTCTACCCAAGCTCCCTATCAAGAAATGAAATTCATTTCCCAACCCTTAAAGGAGCTGGCCTTGTGATTTCCTTTCCCCAAAAGAATGTAACAGACATAACAGTATGTAAGTCTTGATCCTAAGGCTAAAGGCACCTTGCAAATTTTCACTCACTTTCTTGGAACTCTGCCACTGCTCTGTGAATAATTCCAGGTTAACTCGCCAGGTGACTAAAAAACATGGCCAATCACCCTCATCACCCTAACCACTAGCCAGGCTATGGCTAGTCATACAAGTAAGATACCGTGGACCAGCCAACTGCTGGCCAACCTACCAACTGACCATGGGTACATAAGAAAATCAAAGAATCCAGCCACAACTGGCCAAGCCTAGCCCAGATAAGCAGAACCACTCAAGTGACCACTGACTCATAAGTAATAATGGTTATTATTTTAAGTATATTGTTATATAGCAATAGATAACTGATACAGTGATATGGGTTAAATAATAATAATAAAGACTATGAGTCATCAAGGGAACTACACAACCAGAGCAAGCCATCATGAGCTAGGAGCTATCATACCCATGAAGTTGTAAGATCAGGAAGTTACAGCAGTAATCCATCATAAAATAGAAGTGGTATAGCCAAATAAAAAGCAACAAATAATAAGAGCAGACCTTAAGAGTATTCCCTGTGACCAGCTGAAAGAAGAGGAAAAAACCTGGACCTGATTCATGGATGGATCATCTTGGTACATTGGTACAAGCTGAAAATGTACTGTTGCTGCACTGTAGCCCCACTAACGGACTGCCCTGAAAGATAGTAGTGAGATGAAATCCTCCACTGTGCATAGTTTGAGAAGTGCACCTCATTATCCACTTTGTGTGGAGAGAAAAGCAGATCAATGGACACCATCAATAGATGGTGGCAAATGGTTTGGATGGATGGTCAGGAGTCTGGAAAGAGTAAGCCTGGAAGATCAGGGAGAAATGATTTATGGAAGATGTTTATGAGCAGTCATATAGAAGTACAGATAAAGCGTGAAGATGTTTCACATGTTAATGCTCACCAGAGAACTCCACCAAAGAGACATTAAACAATCACACAGGGTAACTTAACCAGTAGATGCCAGCCTATCTCTGTATTCAGCTATCCAAATACTTCTACAAAGGGTCCATGAATAACAGCCTCGGTGGCAGAGATAAAAGCTATGAATGCACCCTACAACAGGGGCTCCCTTTCAACAAAGCTGGTTTAGCCACTATGCTGCTTAATGTCCAACTGGTCAGCAGCAGAGACTAATGCCCAGTCCCTGATAGAGTACTATCCCTTAGGGAAACCAACCAGTCATTTGGTGATAAGTTGATTGCATCAGAGCCCTTCCATCCTGGAAAGGGCAGCAATTAATTCTGACTGAAATTGGCATATATTTTCAGTTTGTTTTCGCCTTTCCTGTCCACAGTGCCTTGGCTGCATTGCTATCTGAGGGCTCATATGAGTATATGATTTACTAACATGAAATCTTACATAACATCATCATGGAACAAGAAACCCACTTTACAGCAAAGGAGGTACATTAAGGGCATAAGATCAAAGGATCCATTGGTCCTACTATATACAGTATTACTTCAAAGCTGATGGCCTGATAAAGTGTTCCAATTGCCTTTAAAGGTGCAGCTCAGAGGTGATCTCATTAGGGACTGGGTGCCCTTCAATACACAATGTACAGCATAAACTAACATTTATAGAGAATACATGAGTCTGGAAATCAAGAAATAGAAGTAGGAATGCCCCCCACTCATTATTACTCTCAACAACCCACCTGGAGAATTTGTGCTTCCCGACCCCTCAATTTAGATTTAGTGGGTCTAGAGATCCTATTTTCCAAAGGAGGAGCTTTTCACCAGGGGGGACAGTAAGAATCCCATTTAATCCAAAGCTATGGCTGTTACCTACTCATTTTGGGCTCCGCATGGTGGCAGATCAATAGGGAAAGACCACACTGTCAGGAGTTAACTGACTTTATTATAAGGGGGATTAAGGGTTGCTGCTGTATAACGAGGGCAGGAAGAATACGTTCGGAATATGCCTACTTTTAACTATGAATGGACAGTTAACAGCAACCACACTGATAAGTACACAGTGACCAGGGACTCAGACTCCTTAGAGAAGATCTCAGTCATACCACCAGGCAAACCATCATGATCAGTAGAAATGTTAGTGGAAAATGGAGCAAATTTGGAATGGATGGTAGAAGAAGGAGAAAATAATATCAGTTATAGCCTAAGGCTATTTGTAGCAATAAGGACAATAAGGACTGTATCTCATCCCACTAACCCTCCTTTTTTAAGATTCTCAACCAGAAGTTGAGAAGCATCAATGTGAAGAATCTGTAATAAGACTGAATGAATCCAATAGTGATACTCATTCAGATCCCCCTCAGATCCTTTTATACTTCTCACACATCTAGACTGTGTTTTCAACAGCTGGCACCTGCAGTTCTTCAGAGGACTTCCTTTGGGCTACTTTAAATGTTATGCACTACTTTAAATGTTATGGGCAGAGCCAGAAGCCCCAAGGCAGCTGTTAACCAAAAACAGTGTAGTATGAGAATATGAAAGCCCATCTTCCTTACCTCAAGTTGGGACAAGCCCAGAGTTCTCCTGCTAGATCAAGATGAGGCCTACTCTCTGTGAGACGTTTATCTAAGATCACACCCTTGGTTGGCTTCCTCCTCCTTCCCAGTCCTTCTTTCCCCACTCTGTCACTGGTCTCTCCTATGAAAACTTCCTTAATAAGTCACTTGCAAAAGTACGTTTATCTAAAACCTGCTTCTAGGAAGCCCAAACTTCAAAAAATTTAACTGTGATGGTATAAAAAGTATTCTCAGCCCAGAACAAGGATGAAAAATTCAGGGCTCATCAGACATAATTCAAAATGGAACAACAGACACTTCTCCAAAGTGTGGTGAATATGGTAGAATATGGTAGGCATGCAAAGTTGATTAACCACCTTTTAGTGTTAACTCTCTGTTCTACAGAAGCCAGAAAGCTAAAAGACTACATTTCCAAGTTTGTGTTTGAGACACAACTTAAGATAAGGCAATTACATGTACTCGTGCAAGATCTAGAAAGTGGAAATAAGGCAGAGGTCATGTGTTTTGCTACTTCTGACGGCAAACATCATCTTGAGGTTGTCTGGTTTTTCAGTAGAGATTTCCACATTTGGCAGTGGCAGCATGATTCCAGAGATAACAGCTTTCATGGCAGGTTCCAATTCAGCTATTAGCTTCAGGATAGCCAGGAGCATCTTTCATGACCTGATCTGAGGCATGGCTCTCAAAATCATTCCTGAAAGCTTAACCTAGAGCCTACCCTTCCAGCTTTCTTAACGATTCTGGAAGCCACTTAATACTCTGTACACAAGCAGCTAGAGTGAATTCTGATCCCTACAACTTGGCCCCGAATATACAAATTTTGTTACCAAAAGTGGGGTGCTACCAATAACAAACCTAGAAAATGTAGAACTAGCTCAGAAGGAAGGCAGAGAGTAAGAACACAGATATTACAGTTAGGAAAGCTAGTGACTATTGTTATATCTCAGCAAAGTATTTACAGAACTGTTATCTGTAATGTTTTGGGAAGCAGGCCTCAAATGAAATGATTAAGACAATTAACACTGGTCTGTATGAGTGCTTCTTACTGCTTTCAGCAAGGTCCTATTCAAGACAGATAAATCGAGAACTAGCCAGCTTGCAATCAAGGATGAAAAGGAATACATCTCTTTGTGCCAATGGCCTAGAACTGAAATTGTGTGGTAACGTGAGACCACCTGGGACCAAAAAAATACAATTGCTTCTGATTCTCAAACTGAGGCAATGATAAAGAGGTAACTGGAGTAGTTTCGTGAAAAACTGATATTAATATTAGGGAAATACATATATGTATAACTGAATCACTATGTTGTACACCAGAAATTAACACAACACTGTAAACCAACTATACTTCAATAAGAATACATACATACATACATACATACATAAATATTGGGGAAAACTGGGTAATGGGTATACAGGTACATTCCATAGTATCTCTGCAACTTTTCTGTAAATTGAAAATTATTCTAAAACTTTTAGTTTATTAAAACAAAAGAACCAAAATAACAGCAAAAATACTGGCCTCAATTCTTTCTCAAGCCTATAAAAGCCTACTTGTTCCTTTAAAGAAACTTCTAGACTTCTACACTTTTAGATTTCTAGACATTTCTAAACTTCTAAAACTGCACCAGCATGAAGTAGGCTAAAAAAGCTGCATGAACCCAAAGAACAACATAGTCTTCAAAACTCACTTCAGCTATGGCCTTGAAAGATAACAGACAAAGGAAATCTACCAGAGAGCAAAGCCAGCAGTCATACGGAGTACAATGAGCAAGGGTTTCTCCCAGAGGATAGAACAAAGACTGCTACATGGGCTAACCAAGAACTTACTCCACTGCCTACACTATCTTCACAATTTCTGTCCAGAAGTATTTTATTGCTGATATAGACCAGTGACTCCTCAGTTTCCTACTCTCATTTTTTCTAAATGGAAATTTTTATCATGGTTGTTATCATGTGCCCACTCCAGTAATGTATAATGAATGATATGTGGGAGTAGGGGATGCAGATTAACTTGTCATTTAGTTTTTAGGTATCAGACCATGAGATACATGGTCCAAAACACACATTATGGAGAGGACTGCACATCACCCAGAGATGCTGGACTCTAAGCTGTATACAATGACAAAATTGAAACTTGGAGGTTGTCTCCATCAGGGTGAAGATAGGATTATTCTATGTATCAGAAGGATGATATAAACAGGGGCTAGAAGGGTAAACTAAGGCAGACTGTTAGTTGTCCATTGTATTCTTCTGCCATAATAGAGTTTGGGTTCGGCATATTTTTCAGACTTTCTCGTAACTTGATATAACTATAAAACTAAGTTCTGGCTGGTGTGTTATGCACAAAAGTGGTATGTATAATTTTCAGCTTATAGGAAAGCAGTATGCCCCCCATTTGCTTCTGTCCTCCTTCCCTCCAAGAGGAATACAGACATGAGAGTGGAAATTGAAGCTATCTTGGTTCACAAAATGGAAGCTACTTATTAAGAATGATAGATCAACAAGATAGAAGGAATCAGAGTCCATGGCGATTGTAGATCAAGATACCACACACCAGTTCTATCACCTACCCAGATTTCTATATCTGCTATAGCAGTAGAACCAAAAGCCCAATTAATATACAAAGCTTCTTCAGCTTTTTCCCAACTCCGTTCTGGTGACCTTTTGACCTTGAATATCAGTTGACTATTAACTTATTTCTGTTAAGGTATTAATTGAGGTATTATCTGACAACTGTGAATAAGCTTCCTCTCCCAGAAGACAGACAAACAAAATTCATGATGAGGAAGAGGATTATGAGCTGGTGACTGTCCTGTTGCAGGTATCCCCTTTTGTTCAACCCCAAAAATAGCTCTAAAAGACTGATGCTCCTTGCCTAGAATCTATGCAGAGTTTCCACATCCTTTTATCCCTAAGCTAACTTTTCACATGAAGTAGGAAAAAAAAAATTTTATAGCTTAAGGGAAGAGGGTAGGAAGGGGTTCACATTAAAAGAGTAGCCAACAAGAAACACTTAAGAGTTCTTCAGCTCTATTCTTCTAAGTACTGCAGACAGAAAAAGCTCATATGGGAGAAGTGCAATAAATGACCAAAGCAATAGTAACGGTCAAATCCTCTCTCTGTTAATCTACTGTCACCAAAATACTTTAAATGTGGCTCTTCTATCTTTGGGATTCCCATAAATTGAACACTGTCCCAATTTTCCCTAGTGGTTGTAATTACCAATATAAGAAACACTGATCTAGTGCTACAAAAGTCCTTAAAGCAACTTACGATGATGAATCATTCTCCTTAGGGTAATCTTCATTCAACTCTGAGCCAGATGATAGCATTCTTTTCCTCTTTTCAGTCCTACAGAGAACAGGAAAAAAAAGTTATTTAAAAAAATCATAATTCATACCATTAAAAAAATATAAGCCAACACTCTCAAGAACTAAAGCCATGACTACTGCTTTCTAATTCTCGTCACCACATTTAAATTAACACACTGTATCTACGTGCTCTATAAGTGTCACTGACATAAACCACATAAGACAGATACTATTTATCTCCCCATATGTTCTTTATACTTTCTTCTTCTAACTGGACAATCTCTTTCTTTTTCTCAAATTATTGGTCTTTCTAAAAGGCCTAAAAGACATTTATAAACAGGTAGGGCTAATGACTAAGAAAGAAAAAAAGTCTTTCCTACCTATTTTCTAATAACCCTGATCTAAGAGGTGTTGCTGTAGATGTCAAAGAGGGAATCGTCCGGGTGGCAGTTATTCCACTTCCTGCTGCAGTCTTAATCGATCCTCTACCTGGATTACTGAGAACTTTTCGAAATGGAATATCATCTTTAGTTTCCAAACTTCCTCTTTTTGAAGAAACCTATAAGAATAAAGTTTAACACAGCTAATTCTTCAAATTAATTGGTACACTTTTAGACCAGTGAGTCTCACGTGGGGAACTTTAAAACAAACAAACAAAAACCCATAACTGGAGATCTATCTCCAGAGATTCTAGTCTAACTGGTCTGGAGTGAGGTCCATTCATCAGTATTTCTTTTTTTAAAGCACCCTATGTGATTCTAATGTACGGTCAGTGTCAGAAATCAAGCTTGAAGCTTACTTTCCTATAGCACTCTTGTAAACTTAACAAATTCCACAGCACACCTAGAAGCAGAAGGGAATTTGCTTTGAATCACTGATTTTAAAAAGTCACATACACAAGCTATGATTCAACTGACCAACATGAGAGTAGATCTTCAGAAAAAAAAAATTCAATTACGATTATGGTAAATTAAAGTGACACAGATGTGAGAAAAAGGAGCAACAATGATATTTGGCTGCTACAATTTAAATGCCAAGTCATATGTACATCATAGGACTTTTGAGGAGGTTCTAGTTTGGAGTAGTGATACAAATATATATAATGATAGGAAGAATGAAAGTGAGATAGAGTGCACTGGCAGAAGATGAATCAAAGAGTCTACGCTAAAGACACAGCAAAAACACTCAGAGAATACAACAATGTAAACACATGAGTTGGGAAAGTGCTTTTGAGTAGCATTCTGCTAGGTAAATTTTATAACTGTAGATTAAGAGCTATGTGATTATCTCCTATGGAAGATATTTCTAATCACTTTCTACAGATTACAATCTTAGGACAAGAAAGGAAAAAAATCTCTGAGGTCATCTGGATGAACAACTTAAAAAGTTAAATTTATTTTCAAATGTAGAATTCATTCTCAAGATTCAAAAATCAAAATGCTATTATAAAAGCCATATACTGAGAAGTCTCATTATCACCCCAATGCCACCCATCCAGTTCTTCCACTTCCTATCCTGCTATATCTTATAAGTATTATACTGATTTTTATGCAAATGCAAATCAAAATTTAATTCTTTTTGTTAAACGAATGGTAGCATACTATATGCATACTGTTTTCAACCTTTTTTGACCATAAACCCATAGTGAGAAATATTTTACTTCACAATCTATTACACATTCACATAAATAAAACTGAAACAAAGTTTCAGAAACCAATATTTACCCTTACTATGTATAATAATACCTTCTCTATTGTTTTCTAATCTATTCCTTTTTTATTTAATGCTAGTCACAACCCACAAATTGATTTTATAATCTCACTAATGGGAATCATTATTTGGGAAAATGTAAGTATATGCTTTTGCTAGATACGTTAACATTTATACATTTAAATATCTAACAGTTTAAATTTGTACCTATGAATCTCAAAGTAACTATAATGAGTGAAAAACCCAGACAAAACTCTGGAAACCCTGATAAAACTCCAGAAAATGCGAACTATTCTAGAGTGACAGCAATTCAATTGTGGTTCAGGGATACCGGCCAGAGAGGGAGCTGTAGGGAAGGATTACAAAGGGGATGAGGAAGCTTGTAAGGGTTTTTGCTATGTATGCCATAATCACTAAGTTGATTATGGTGATGATTTTGTGGGTATGTACATAAGTCAAAACATATCAAATTGCACAACTTAAATATGTGCGATTCACTGCCTACTAATCGTATCTCAATTAAAATGTTAAAAAAAAACCCAATCTATAAAAAGAAACCAACAAAAATGAAATCTTATTCATTGCTTAGTCCAGTAAATGGATTAAGTAAATCAATCCATCTCTGCATAGCTAAATAAAACTCTTTAGTTTACTTACAGGAGAGCTTGAAAGTTTCTCTTTACACCTGGTTTACCTTTGTAAAACAAATTAAAAGAGACATACGACTGCTAAGTTGCAATAGTGCACAGTAAATCTCACAGCTGGTTGAATAGTATTCATGAAAGAAAAACTATTTAAAAAGCAAACAGAAGACCCAACAAGACAGTCTGGTATCATATAGTGTACTGGCAAAGTTCGTAATGTAGAACAGACCCAAAGAGCATCAAAGAAATAACAGCAGCAAACATTTACAGGACCGTTAGTATAATGGTATCACAGGCTAAGCAATTTTATGTGCATAATCTCACAGCAACCCTTAAAATATTCTTGCTGTCTCAATTTTACAGATGGATACTAAGGCTCAGGATATTTAAGGAACTTCTCCAATGACCCACAGCTAGTAAGTAGCAGCACCAAGTCTCAAACCCACATCTAATTCCAAAGCTATGATTTTTAAAAACTACACTCTACTATGGTAAATTTCAGGTATGCGGAAAATACCCTTGTGATAATGCCAGAATTATTAGACATGACAGTCTAAATTCTGCTTCCTGTAACTACCTTACAGAATGTCTGTATCACTTAAAAAAAAAAAAGCTAAAAAGATTCAAACAAACATACCTGATTGTCTGAGTAAGAAAGCTGCCTATTGGTTTCCTTCTGTGAGGTCCTGCTGCCTAGAATAGCTCCAAAACTACCAGAACCCTGAGGTTTCATGGCTGGTGAAAAAAAAGAAAATTCCCAAATCATTCACTTTTCATATAAAGAGATTTGTTGTCATCGTCGTCGTCGTCGTTAACATCGTCATCATCATTATATAATGAGGAAATTAAAACAGGAAAAATAAAACAAAGTGCTTATCAACCAATTCTTTCTAAAAGTATAATTTATATATATACAGTAATTACAATTTAGAACTAAAATGAAGCAAAAAATTGAATAACAATGCAAAAATTTGAGAACATGTAATAGAATGACACATTTTTAACTGCAAAAAGAAAATGCTAGAAATTCTCCTATATAAATATTTGGTAACTAACACAATAGAAGAGTTGTCACTGTGTATCTATGGCAAGAACACTGATAATGGATGCCACATGTGTCAAAACCAGTGACAGATATACTTCCAACAACGTACACTCCAAAGCATTTTCTGTAAGTTCAACAAACAGAATGGCTCCTATTCTAAAGAAATCAGTGCTAGTTTAAAGAACATGTATGGTAACGTATAAATATGAATTTTCATATACTTTAAAAGGTACTTTACATTTTAATTTTGTTAATTTCCCACTGATGATCATTTGGGATATTTTAATTTTAAAAAATTATAAACAATACTGAACATTTTTTCACTTATCTTCTTGCACTAATTAAATGATTTTTGTAGGATAAAACTTCTTAGAATCGTTGGGGTAAAGGATGTGTAATTTTAAACTAAATTGATATTACTATCCCTCAAAAAAAAAACTCTGTCAAAGCTCTTATCTGCCTCCCTCCAAACTACTGCTAACATAGTTAAGAGTCTGAATTTGTTTAGTTATTGGTGAAGTTGAGAATTTTTCATGTTTATGGGCCACCATAATATGTTTTTTCTTTTTGAATTAACTGTATGTCCATTTTTCCACTGAATTGTCTTTTTCTTACTGTTTTGGAAAGTCGGTATCTGTATATTAGCCATGTTAACTCTGTCACTGCGGCTAATATTTTCTTCCTTTGTCTTTTCTTTTTTGCCACAGAGATCATTCAAATTTTTCACACAGTCCAAGTTATTAAGTCTTTTCCTTTACTGATTCTGGTTTTTATATCATTCTCAGATAGGTCTTTTCCACTCATATTATGTTAAAATCCATTCTACCCTTTTAATAATACTTTTATTGTTTTATTTTCTTACATTCAAGACTTTGATCAAGGTAAAAATCTACTTAGATGAAGGAATAAGATAAGAATCTAGTTTTACTGTCTTCTGAAATGATTAGCTAGTCTTCCTAGTTACAGATAAGGCTGTTCATCAAATATTGGTCTCTTCCCCACTGATTTCAAGCACCACACAAGATACTTTAAATGTTTTATACTTAACCAAAGTATTTTTATATTGATTATCTTACTCTAGTCTCTCTCTGCAAAGTATATATGATTACTTTCGGACAGCTAAGGCAACTTAAATCTAAAGATTAAAACAACCTGCCCAAGAATACAGAGCAAGTTAAGTCCATAGCTAGCTACTCTAAAAGCAGCAATGACTTACTGAGTGCCTATCATGTGCCAGTCATGTTTTACATTTATGAGCTCTAATTCTTTATTAAGCACTGAACACGGGGTGATAAAACCTTCATTTTAGAGATGAGGAAACCGAAACTAAGTTTTTAAGTGAGTTGCCCAAAACCTCACAGGAAATAACAGAGCTAGGATTCAAATCCAAAACTTTTTAGATCCAAAGCTCTTGCTTGTCCATTATTCCATATTGTCTAGACTCAAACTTGGGTCCCCATTTTACTGTGCTTTCCACTCTAATATATTTAAAGACATGCTTTTCTTACATACAGCAATTCTTAAAACAGTGATTCAATTAATATGATAAAATAAAACAAATATAGAAATACAGACACAATCCCTGAAATATTCTAAAACTTTTAAACAGGACTCAATTTCTCGATTCTAAAATTCAATATTTAGAAAACTGACATAGTTCAGATTTGGTAACAAAACCAGACAATGAATAGGTACTAAATGGCAAACAACCATTAAAAAGAAATTTTTTTTAACAAGAAAAAAAAATGTGTCAAGTAGAGACATTAATTAAATACAAGCTAGGTAGCACTGCTACATCTTTACTTTCTCAATGTTTTAATATGTGTTATATTTCAGTTAAAAACTCAATTTTGTCAAGTATAAAATATCAGTAATGATGAAGTATTGATGACAGAGCTGGCGATTAATGACAACAGTAGAAAATTCATTTTAAACAACAGATTATTCCTAAAAAGATGCCTGTATGTATTTTTCTTAAAAAAAAACAAAAAAAAATTTTAAATGAAAAGGATTGGAGGGGGCAGGAAAATCTGATCATACTGTCTGATCATACTGTGTGATCACCTGCTGTGTTTGTAGCAAGAATAAAACCTCAGAGTAAGTTTCATAAATGAGTATTGTATGGTGTAAAAATCATATCTCAATAAAGGCATTCCAAGAAACAAACAAAAGAGAAAATCATGGTCATATCTATGCCACTGGGTAGTTATGAGCATAAATTTAATGTCTATGAAGCATCTAGTGTGGTAAATTCAACAAACATTAGCCACCATTGTATATTTACCAATAAATATCAAAACAATATAAAAGTAATACAATCAAAGGATATGACATAGGCATAAGTAAGTATATTAGTGGACAGAAGAGTAGATAATATACGGGCATAGACAGTAATGTATTATTTCATAAATATGGAATTTCAAATCAGTAGGTCAAAAATAGTTTATCATTAAGTAGTACCTGCAACAATTGGCCTTTTTCTGGAGGAAAAAATATATTAAATCCCTTACCCCATGCCAAGTTCCAAAGTACATTCAATGAAGAGTAAAGATTAAAATGTATTTAAAAAAAAAAAACATTTTAAATGAAAGGGATTGAAGGGGGCAGGGAAATCTGATCATACTGTGTGCTGTTCTATATTCTATAGCACATGCCGTCTTCATAGCAAGAATAAAACCTCAGAATAAGTTTCATACAAAGGCAAGTATGTAAGACTGACGTAACAAGGCAACTTTCTCCAAATGTAATTTAAATCCTACTCCTTTTCTAGACATACTTTTTCATGGAATCTTTAGGGACTCTACACATAAGATCATATCACCTGCGAGCAGAGATAAAATTACCTCTTCCTTTTCAATTTGGATGCTTTGCTCTGGCTAGGACTTCCAATACTATGTTGAATAGAAGTGACGAAAGGGCATCCCTGCCCTGTTCCTGATCTTATAGGAAAATCTTTCAGTTTTTCATCATTGTGCTATGAGCTTTTCATATAAGGCCTTTATTATGTTGAGGTAGTTTCCTTTTATTCTTACTTTGCTGAGTGTCTCTATCATGAAAGAATGTTAAATTTTATCAGATGTTTTTTCTGCATCAAGATGATTATGTGGTTTTTGTCCTTCACTCTGTTAGTTTGATGTATCACATTGATAGATTTTTCATTATCTTTGGCCATCCTTGCATTCCAGAGATAAATTCCACTTGGTCATGGTGTAGTCTTTTTAATGTGCTGTTGAATTAGGTCTGCTAGTATTTTGCTGAAAATTTTTTATCAATATTCATCAGGGATAATAACCTATTATCTAGTAATATTTTTCATAACTGCCAATGTCAGACCCTGGGACAATTAATGCTCACCTGCATTAAGTCTGTTTTGATGGACTGCATCTAGAAACAACCTCATTTCCTCTGCATCCTTACTTGGTACTTTATCAATAGACAAGAAGCTGTTATCTTGTAGAGTTAACATTAGGCGGCTTTGTTTTGCTCCACTGGGTCGAAGTACCACATTTTTAATGTTATGACTTAGCTGATCAACACAAAAGGAAAAGTATTTTGTCATTAAAAATGAATTATAATGAAGTAAAATAACTTACATAATAAATAGTAACCTTTGTATTTTTGTTCTATTTCTTACTTTTGCCCCCAACCAAAAAGAATTTCCATTTCTTGACACATTTAAATCAAAGATTAATCCTAGCACTCTTGATTTTTTGGTAGGGAGCTATATATTTTCAGGTATAGTTACAAAGTTATAAAAACAAGTTAACAATTTTCAGAGCCTAGATGGTTATCCATCACCAGTTTAGAAAGCCATATTGGATTAGAGACTTAATTTTTCTTTCTTCTTCTTCTTCTTTTTTAAAATAAGAGCTTATAAAATATCTGGCAATTAGTTAAAGTAGCTACAATGTAAAATGATATACTGATCCAAACTATAATCCTCAAAAGAATTCCTCTTCTCAAAAATACATTAAAATAAACCTTTACCAATGTAAGAATTTTTTTTTAACTGTCTAAACATGCTCATTTAACTTTCATTCAATCACAAAGATCATAAGTACCCTGGAACTCTATTAGCTTGCTTCTCCCACTCCCCAGACCTGGTTCAATAACTTGTCTTACACTCTTCCAGGCTCTGGATATGTGCTACCAAGTGATAACTTTTATCTTCTCTTGGTTGATATTTTCCCAAGATTAAATTAAGAAATCATGCAGTTTATTAAATAATTTCTGCCAACCAGGCATCCTTATTCTCTAACATTCTCCCTCAGCAGACATACACAAAGGTTTCTAAAGCTGACTTTTGCTGAAGACATACCCTCTGAACAGTATAAAGAATAGTGTTTCACTTGTTTTTAATTAGGAAGAACTGACCTTGACAATTTTTAGGTAAGAATGACAGAACAATTTTACCAATCAGACTAAATTGTATTTCAAATTTAAATTTTTTTAGCTTCAAAGTAGGTATTCATGTGCTTGAGTAGAAATTCTGTCATAATACACAATAACTAGTTTCAGATGCTTTAACTCCAAAATAGTTAAATGAGCAGTTTACCATGCAAAAGGAAAAGAGATTGCATAAAACCATTATTTCAGTCAATATACCACTTTCTAAAAATGAAAGTTAAATGTGAGGGGAAAAGTCTGTTCATTAACAAGACGGGAATAATCCTGAATTTGATCACTTCAACAACTGAAAAATCCTAGCTAGACTTCCAATTTTAGTAACTACCCACATGCTGAGGCCTCTCAACTTTTTCTCTAAGTCCAGACCTCTCTGCTGGAGCTCTAGTCCTGTTTACCATACACCTAGTGCATATCAATCAGTATCTGAATACCTAACACCTCAAACAACTCATCTCTCTCAATCTTCATAACCCAATTCTTCCCCTCTAGAGAAGATGAAAGGGACTGCCAACCACTTTAATTGAGGACTCTCCCTAGACTTTTTCTGTCATCCCCCAAATCTGAGTTAAATCTTCTTGAAATCTCTTCAAATTTACCCTTTCCTCCTCTTGCTTTTCCTCTTTTCCTTTGCTCAGGACTTTCATTTCTCATGTAAACTTCCACAATAACCTCTTACATGTCCTTATTCTGCCACTAGCTCATGAAATAAAGTCACCTGCCTAGCTGCCAAAAGAATTCAAACAAGATTCTTGGCTCCTTAGTATCTAAGTTCCCTGTAGTATAACAAGATATTCCAAGATCTGGGTCCTATCTAGCTCTTCAGCCTCTACTTCTGCCACTCACACCCTACTGTGCTATCTTCTTTAAAATAATTTTCTGGTTCCTTGAGTGTTGATTCACATGTGCATGTGTTTGTCCATGTATAGAAATCACCTTTACCTTAACCTCTAATGTGTCCGGCAAATTTCTATTTATACTCTAAATCCTCAGAGCACAAAACACTCCCTTCTTTGTATTACCTCTGCATCTCTGAGATATTTTTATAGCTAAGAATGCATTTGGTTACTCTTAAGTTTGAGAGGAAAAGTGTCTCTTTCAGCTCTATATTCTTAGCTCTTAGCACAGTTCCCACCACAGCAATTTGTAAGTGGTTAACGAATGCTGAATGCAAACTGATCTAGAACTGAGATGAAGGCGGAATCACAGGTAGATTCTAAAGATCTATGTTTGCTTAAATACTTATATCTTTATTCAGTGCTAGTTTGGAATAAGGACTGAAAAACTGAATTTCTACTTGAAAAAAATCTTTCTTTCACTCAGGTGGGCAATTAGTGATATACATATGTGGTAGAACTATCATTTCTATTAACCATGTCACCACCTCCAAACTATTTAAGATTACCTTTGATATATAAAATCATAATCAATTAATTTTCATAGTTTAAAAGCAAAGATAAATGGAAATTTTACTTCAGATCAGGTTCTCAAGCATAAAGTTTTATAAATTGTTCTTCAATAGAGTACTTTAGAATGAATATTATACTTTTATATAATTAATTAACATATATAGATTTTAAAGTGCAGTAAAATGTAAGACACGTTCTTAAATTCAACTTATCAACACAAGTAGTTCTTAGCTGTAGAAGGTAACAGTAATAGAAGTGAAAACAATATTAACTGCTTTTTGCAGTCATAAAGTAATGACACCCTTCAAAAACTTATAGTTAGAAGAAAACAGCTCTAAGGATGACCTTGAATAATCAGCCTTGAATGGCCATAATATACCACAACTTTTGGCAGGATCATTTAGAAGGAGACGTTAAGAAGACACTAAAAAGACCTATTACAAGTTAACACTAAATAGTGATGAATCTATCATATACGTTGGGGGGAGGGGGGAATAACTAGTTATCCTAATGTGGTTTTAAAAATATCTTAGATAACACTCTGGTTTCTCTTCAGACTGAATAAATCTTTCATCTTTACTTAAAAAAAAAGACTTAGATAGTATCCAAACTAAGGTCCTCTCAGCTTCCAGTTTTCTTTTCAATAAAGGTAACTACTTCCTACTCTTTATTATACACCATCAACAATTCTGCTAAATAATTTGTAATGTATGCACCTAATAGTATTGGTGTCCTAAAAATAAAAAATATTAATCTAGGAAGAGGGCTTCTTCTTAGTATGGCACAGAACAGCTATTCACTGAAAGATGTGACTAAAGCTCTATTCCAAATCAAAATCTGGTAATACCTGAAATATCCTTGGAATTCCTCCAGTATTGTAGTGAACTACTAGGCTGACTTTATTCTCTTTTTCCACAATTTCAAAGGATCCTTCTTTCCATTTTGTAATTCCAGTCTGCATACTTCGAATTCTTATAGGACCATGTATCTTCAGAGGAGACATACTTTCTTTAAAAATAAATTGCTTCTAGCCAAATTAAAAAGCAAAAATACACCTTCACCTGACAGATTCTAAGGAAGAAAAATAAAATAAAATAAAAAGTTACAATTTACTAGTGATTAAAACAAGAGTTTGAAAGAGAATATTTAATGAACCATCTTATGTCCTTCTTTCCATTTCAATAAACTACCTTTAACTAAGTTATCCTCAAAAGGCCTTCATTAGCTGGATGGCACAGGTAACAAAGACAACCAAAGCAGTTGTCGTTCAGTGACTGAACTTACCCACCTTTTATTTCTTCTGTATATGTTCTCTCCTTTGCCATATGTCCAGTACCTGTGTCTATTAATGACTAAACTTTACATTTTGCACCATTAACAACCATACTGCTGCCACTAAAGGCATGCTGATCAGGATTACTAAAAATTCCACCCTCAACGCAAGTGCCCATGGGATTATGACAAACTTTTATTTTTTTAACCTTCCTTCATCATCACCAGATAATACCGTCTACCAGTTGGTAGTCTAAGCATAGCTACATGCATAGGAGACATTAAGTGAATAATTGTGAGAATAATCAAATTAGTTTAACCTGAAGAATTATATTATTTGAGAAAATCATTTATTCTCTGGGAAAACAAACAAAAAACTCCTTTTCCCAAGATCCACCTACCATTTATGTTTAATATTCCTGAAAAGACTCTTCACCAATTTTATCTGACAAATACTCAAATTTCCTGAGAGAAGTTTAATACTTAAAAACAACTTAAAGAACTGACAGAATGTCAAAGACTCTTTGATCTAGCTTACCGAATGTCAGCGAGTAAATACAATTATAGTAATAGCAGAGAATGTTATCAAAGTATGTGTTATACACATATATGCAGTCAACTAAAATTAAAACAAAATTTATACTATAGCCTCCAAATCTCTAAAAACATTGCCTCTAATACAGATTCTTGCTTATAATTTATTAATTTAAAAATCATTAAACTTTTCCTCTGCCTACACAGCTGAACCAGAAAAGCTAAAAACAGTAGTATCTGTATAAAAGAAAAACATACTAGGTCTAGATATCAGGAGCCAGCTCTGTCACTTACTAATTTGTAACTTACCTTTCCTAACCATTAGTTTTCTCAACTGTAAGACGGGAATAGTAAATGTTAAGTGTTAGAGAATTAAATGAAATAACACACATTAGGCACTCAACACACAGCAGCCTTAATGTGAATGGAATTGTCTGCAACACCACTTTCTCCAAAGATCCCAGACAAAGAAGCTGTTAACAAAGATCACCAACTCAACTACCTATAGAAGCCAGTCAGGTGACACAAATGATTTAGGCAGACAAGATATGAAAACTGCTACTCAGATCTAGCCAATTTAGAAATAGTGAATCTAGCATTGCCAGATCATCTAATTTTTCAAGAAAATGACATCTAAATTTTTATATCAAACTGCCCATTTTAAATTGTGGGCAATGAATTCAAAGTTATCTTTAAAAGCTACAAATCAAACAAAACCCACCAGTGGAGAGAAAATGAGGCTGTGGACCTCCTAGTCTGAGGCCTTTAGGTACTGTACATCAAATAGCGGGGAATAAATTTAAAGGGATATGAAAACATTTTGAATAGTTAAAGGTATTACGCATTGTAAGTCCTCTATTATTATTCAATAATAACTGCATCAAAATTATGATAATTTCATATTAATTTTACCAAAATTTTTAAATTTTTAAAAAATTATAGTCAGTTTACAATGTTGTGTCAATTTCTGGTATATAGCATGTTTCAGTCACACATGAACATACATATATTCCTTTTCATATTTTTACATTACAGATTACCACAAGATACTGAAAAGTTTCCTGTGCTATACAGTAGAAATCTGTTGTTTTATCTATTTTTTCTATGGTAGGTAGTTAGTACCTGCAAATCTTGAACTCCCAATTTATCCCTTCCCACCCCTCATCAAATTTTTTCAGTGGCTAACTGTGGCCAGATTTAGACAGTATAATTGGCTGGGTATATGAATCCATCAAAGTTATAGAGTCCACTACCATTTAAAGAGCTGTCAGTAACACGGTTGATCAAACTAGTAACTACAAAATTCTGGGCCAGTAATTAGTGTTTGTAATACATTTTTTTTTCTGCAATTAATAATTTGGTGCTTCATTATTTGGATACAGCCTTGAAATATTTTCCACTCTGTCTCTCAGCACTGCCAAGAATATGTGGCCCTTCTCCCACTCCAGTTGCCCAGCCAGAAACATGAGTTGTCTTTGATTTCTCTCTTGATGATTATTGGAACTGGACTGGAAATGGAAGGTCAGGGTACAGTCCTGTCAATTCTACCTCTATATACCTTCTTTATAATTAACTGCAGATTAAATCTTTATAATTAACTGCAGACCAAATCACAGTACTGTCCTCAATATTATTCAACAGCTCCCCAATGTCCTTACAATAACATCTAGACCCTTTAAAATGATATAAACACCCTTCATGATCCAGGCCCTGCTTACCTCTCTATCTCTATCTGCTTACCTCAACAAATCTTCCGAATCCAGCCATTTGAACTACTTATAATTTCCCCCAAAAAAGGCCTATGTTCTCATGCCACTATACCTTTGCACATACTATGATCTATGTCTGGCAGATTTTCACCTGCTCTCCCCTTCCCCCATGAACCCCCCTGGTTTCTTTTCCTGGCTATAAAGTTAAGGCTCAATTTAAATATTATCTTCATTAAGAAGCCTTTCCTAGCTACTTTTCATTTTTTCTCTCACCCCATAACCACACTAAGAGTGTTAAATGCTTTTCTCTTCTGTTGCATCCTATGCTTATCTCTAGTAGAGCATTTATCACACTGTATTATAAATACTGCTTTATAAATACTTTACTGCTCAGTAAAGAAACTCCATTTTAAGAGTTTTATCAAATTACCTCATCTTTCCTTATATATCATTAAGGTCAGGGTGCTAAATTAAAAGGGAATAATATAAAACTTCATTATCTTAGTATTTTCCTTACAGACCAAAAGTAAGGACATTGACCTTGAATTCCTCCAATAAAAACATATTTTAAAAAATTAGATTATTTAACAAAATTTGGAGGTGAAGATTTCAAAGCTCAATAAAGTTCATGAGAAAAGAAACTTAACTAGTTACTTCTGTTTCCGTCTGCAATTGTTTCTACATGTAATACATGATTTCTCTACATATAACTCTCAAACATTTTGATGCAGAGTTTTGGTTAAGCGTATAAATTTTCATCTCAGATACTGAATATTTTCTTAATCATTTCCACTAGCAATCTCTCTCTCTTCTAAGGAAAAAACCTAAAAGGTCCAGGAATTGGCAGAATCAATAAAAACTAGCAGAATAAAAAACTTTTTCTTAATGCCGCTATCTAGCCATTATCTGTTTTCGTACTAAATGAATTAACTATATTTAGTTTCATACATTCATCATATTATCAAGGTTTGCCCTACTTGTTTAAGAGAAAAAACCTCTAAGTTTCTTTTTCAGTATCTAGCATGATCCAGTAACAGTTAAACTTTCTATGAACTTAGGACAAATACAAGGTTTCTTTGAACCCTGTTAAAACCAATCCACTATCAAATCGATATTAGGAAAACAAAGCACAATAAAAACCAATTATTCTTTAAGTACATCCAAAGAGATTCCCTTTTCCCTAAATTTCTTCACCACTATTAAAATTACTGTTCAATTTTGAGCATTCTATCAAAGCTCAAAAAAACAACACTGACAAAAATGTTTCTATAATCTCTACAGTTATTTAAATATTCCTATTTTAGGTACTACTCTGAAAACATACGTATCCAGAGGGCATCCTGTGGTTTAAGAAAGCATGCTAAAGTATAAAACTATTACTACAAAACAGAAAAAGAAAACTGTAAATTCTTGCCAATTTGCATACTCTTGGAAACATATATCCAAAATAAAAACATTACTTACTTTTCAGTGACTTTTACTGAAAAACCCTATGTAATAACAATTCACCTTTATTCTGATCCTTGTGCCAAAGGCAATGCACTCTTCTTGGGGAACTACTCATATTCTGCAGCTATGCCAGTTCTCCGGAAGCCATCAACTCAGCTAAAGAAAATATAAGTGTGCCTTTTTAAAAGAAATCTGATTTATAAAATTAAAATTGTTATTATTTATATAACAAAGATTAACCTTTTGACAATTTAAAAAACACAAACCACCTACTGAAAACATTTAAAATATAATGCTCAATATACACATACACACTTAAACACACACGCAATGAATAGAATTTTAGGGATATATCTGCTATGCAAAATGAGGGACTCCAGGAGCCTGTAGGTTGATCAATTTGTGTCTTGCTTCTTCATTCCTGGTACATTTTGAAACGAAGAAGACAGTGGTAAAAAGAGTATATCCTTGTTGACTCTATAGACATTGTTACATAATACGTCTTAAGTCTTAAAAACACCACTTCTATGATGTGTTGATACAAATTTCAAAAAGTGAGTAAACTTAGTTTTGCACTTTTCTTCAAAACTAACTTCACGGGCTTGTTTCTCAAATTTAGGCCTAAGCCTCAACTTTCCCTGAAATTCTAATCAAACATCTTTCACTGCCTTCTTGAATACTATAACATCAACTTTAAACTCCTTTGTTCACCTAGTGAAAAATCATTTATTGAGCTATTCCAATTTGATGGCACTGTGGTAGGGATGCAAATGTGAATATGACACAGTCCGCACTCTCTTTAAGAGACACCCAGACTTCCCTACATTTGTCCTTCCACTATCCTTTAAGCCAAAAAAAAAAAAATCTTAGCATCAGCTTTAACTTCATTCTCATTTATCTAAAAACACACTCTTTTCATAGCTACCACCTTAATTCGGAAACAACATTTTGTCATCCTTCCCACCTAATATTTATTTATTATGCAACATTTACTAAGCACAGTGCTAAGTGCCATACATGCAACAGCTCATAATTTTCACAATAATCCTAAACGATAAAGATTATCTTTATTTTACAAATGAGGAAACTGAGGCTCAGAGAGATAAACTTATCCATGGTTACAGAATCAGTAAGAGACAAAACTAAATCTAGCACCAGAACTCACATTTTTAACCAATACCATATTGCGTCCTCAATAATCTGCAGCAATCATTTCCCAGTCTACATTTTCTCAGAATTTTTCTGGCCAATGAATCCTTTACCCTATAATACCCCTTCTAAAAAACTACTCTTTTACTTCTTACCAACTAAAGTGTGCACTAGTTGTCTCTTTAACCTTCTCCCTAAAGAGAGGGGAGGGTAGAGGGGGACCTGACTTTTTTTCTTTTGTGCCCCCCAAAAATTATAGGTACTTAGTAAGTGCTAAAATACTTGCTTCTGATGCTAATTCCCCTCCCAAACATTTAAATTCTTAAAAAATTTTATTGTGGTAAGAATAGTTAACATGAGATCTACTCTCTTAAGAAACATTTAAGCATACAATACAGTATTGTTAACTATAGGTACAATGTTGTACAGCTTATCTCTAGAACTTAACACATTTTGCCTAACTGAAACTTTTCCCATTTTTAACAGCTCATCACTATCTATAAAATAAATCCTAATGCCTCTGTGTTTGGCATTCCTATTTTTTATTTTCTATTTCTCAACACAAATCCTGTTCTACATACACAAATCATTAAATTTTAGTATTTTCTTCCATAACAACCATTAACCACTTATTTAAATATGGAATTTCCCTTTATTTGTTGTTGTTTGCTTGTTTGTTTGGGGTTTTTGGGGGGGGTAATTATGTTTTTTATTTATTTTTAATGAAGGTACTGCGGATTGAACCCAGGACTTCATACATGCTAGGCATGCACCCTACCACAGAGGTATATCCTCCCCCCTCCCTTTATCTATTTTTGAAAACCTCATCCTCACTAGTCTCATAGTTTAACCCGTTGTTAAAATATATAACAACTGCTCTGATTTCTAAGGGTTTTGTTGCCTAAAAAGATCCATAAAACAAATGCACAAAGAGATAAAATTAGTGTAGTAGCCGAAAGTAAGGAGAGAAGTTGACCTAGATAAAGTTTATCTCCAATTCAAAGAGTCTAAAGAGTCTAAAATTTGAATGATTCTATGACACAAGAATGGGTAATACCATCCAAAGCTGGAAAACCCTTTGGGTTTTTGTGTCCTTTAATTTGTCTGCAGAATAAAAAGGGTCTTGTCATCAGATGACAAGAATATCAATAAGCTGGTGTTTCCCAAAGACACGATGGTTCATACAGCAAAGTCCAATTTACTTATCCATTTAACAAATTCTTGAGAAATAGAAATGTAACAGTCCCTAGCTGATATTCCAATAGGAGACAGACTTTAAATAATCACACAGGTAAATATATAATTACAAGTTCTGAAAAATGATACAAAGCTCAGGACATGAGAGACTGTAACAGGGTGCCTGATTTAAGACTTGGGGTAGGGGTGGGTAGAAATTAGACAGAATCAAGAGACAGCTTCTCTGAGGAAGTACCACTGAACTTGAAAATTAAAGAATGAGTTAACTGGGGGATGGTCATGCTGGAATAATACAGAGCAGCATGTGCAAAGGCCCGGTGATGGGAAATAACTTGGTGTGACTAAGGAAATGAAAAGCAATGTGGCTAGAGTTTAGTGAGGGAAAAGAGAATCATGCAAGATGAAGCTGGTGAAGTAGTAAAGTATCTGGTTATGCAGAATCTTGTATATCACAGTAAGGATTTTGAAATTTTACCCTAAATGCAATAAACAGTGATGTGAAATCTACTGAAGGTTTTTAAGCAGAGAAATGACACATTACTACTGAATGGAATAGTGATGTGGTTTGCTTGGGTTTGGGGAGGAGAGTGAAAGGAGCAAGGATGGAATAAATTAGGACAACCAGATAGGAGAGCACTGAAGTGATTCAGCTTATAACAACAATTAAAATAACAATGAATGCTTACTGGCTGTTTACTGTGCGCCATGTGCTTACCATGGTTATCTCATTTAATCCCCACAGCAATCCAATAAGGTGATTATTATTCCCAGTTTACAGATGAGAATACAGGGAACCAGTGACATTAAGTCCAGGTGAAAGAGGATTCTGGCTTGAACTAGAAAAGTGATATTGAAAACCTACAGAAATAGATTCAAGACACATAATGGAAACAGAATAAATACAACTTGAAAAGGGTTTGTATACAAGGAATGAGAGAGAACTCAAGAATGGCTTTCAAGTTTCTAGACTCCGTAAATGGATAAACGGATACACCACTTAATGAAATGGCAAACTGGAAAAGAAAACATTTGACTTTAGAGAAAATTATGACTTTTGTTTTAGACATGTTATATTTGAAATTCCTAAGAAAAAAATCAACTTGGGATGTCAAGCAAACAGTTGGTATTTAGATCTTGAACTCAAAACAAAGGGAACACGCTGGAAATAAAAATTAAGTCATCAATATACAGGTAGAATTTAAAGCTTAAAGTGGAAGGGAAGAGTAAAAGGAGAACAAGCCCTAGGACTGAACCCAGATATTTCGTTTTCCTCCATCAAACATCTATCCCTATGATCATCCATTACTTTGATGTCATTAGGCTTTTCAGGCCTCATTCAACTTTACCTTTCAGCAGAATTTCAACATTATTGATAACTTCTTTCATTTTTTTTTTTTAACAAGACTTGTACTCCTCTATCCACTTACTAAATGCCAAGAATCCCTCAGTGGATTCCTTTCTTTTCTAGTACTGTACTCTCTTTGGGCAACTTCATCCACATATATAGCTTCAATTACTATCAACATGGCAGATAACGTACATATGTGTATATATATATATATATACACACACACACACACACATTTACCTATAAACCCAGTTCAGAGCTCTCCTCGAAGCTCCAACCCAGTATATCCAACTGCCTACTTGATATCCTCTGTTTGATAGCTTTTACAGTTACAGACTTTTCAAATACTGCCACCCAAAAAGGGACATTTACACAGAGCCTAAATTTTTAAAGGATTACAAAACCACTACAGGCTAACTCTTCAGAACACAAGATTTTGTTTTCAATTATCATTTCCTTTCATGGATCATAACCTAAAATAGGTAAAGCCTGACAACCTGATCTGATGGCTAGGGATTTTGGAGCAAAAGCACGACAAAAGTATAATTCATGCCTTTTAGTGAGAGACAGTTAAAAGAGAGAAGGTGAGGGATGGTGAAGAGAGTGAAGCAGTATCATGTCCCAAGGCCTGATGGACTTGCGGCAACGGAAGTCACCTGAAGAGACAGCAGGCCTCGCTAAGGGCGAGGGGTGGACGACGACAGCCACCAGCAAAGAGGAGCCAGATTCGGGTTGCAGAGGTAGCGAGTGACAGTACAGACCAGGTCAGAGAGGAAAAGCTTGGGGGAAGACCCAAGTGGAGTACCTGCGAGGCCTCTGGGGCGTCACTAGGATGGGGGCGAGCTAAACAGCAGCCGGGCGAACTCCAGAAGAGTGAACGCCGAGTGGGCGGACCGCACGGGGCGGGGGGAGGGGTGCCGGGGTAAAACGGCTCAGTTGAGACGCTCGCTGGGCCCGCCTTACCTGTGCCTGAGAGCCCAGAGCCCCGGACAGGCCTGCCGGAAGCACGGTGTCCGCGCGGAGGGGGAGGAGCCGAGGGTAAGGAAGGAAGGGATACCGAGCACGAAGGAGAGGGGCCGCTCGCTCCCCCTAGTCAGGGAGAGCAGCTGATGGCGGGAACTGTGACCACACGCAAACACGCACGCACGCACGCACACTCGACGCGACCAGACGGGGCGTGTGAGCGCAAGCCTGGAAACTCCGCCCCTCCTACGCCCTCACCCCGCCCCAGAACCGAGCGGAGTCTCGCCGAGGTAGCCCCGCCCCTGCACTGCCCGTAATACGCATGCGCACTTTCCACTTGACGCACTTTCGTTCTCCCAATATTTCCCGCCTCCTCAGCCCAGCTGGGCATGCGCACTACTTGTCCTCCTGGCACTGCCCGGCCTTTCCCGCCCTTCACTGGCCTCCGGAGGAGGGTCAGAGTTCACGCACTTCTCTGGGGAATACCTTCTCCAGGCTGGGAGATGCGGGGACTAGTAGGTGGTAGACGTCCTTCTGGTCCTGAATCTTAAGGGGCAAAGGACGTACTCTAGGGCTATTAACACCTCCGAGAGCCCAGCGGCGGGAAGAGATTGTGTGAGAGGGGTCAGAGGTGAAAGGTCAGAGGGCTGCGAAAGGGGCGGAGCGAGCCGGAGGCGGATGGCGGCTGCAGCAGCTCATCCTTGGCGGCAGCGGTGTTGAAGTTGGGACGGGTCGGACGCATCGGGTGGTAGGAGGAGAGCCGCGGCCGCTCCCAACATGCACAGCCTGGCGACGGCTGCGGTAAGTGGTTGGGCCGCCCGGCCTGGGCCCAGAACCCCTCAGCTCTGCGTTTCGGCCTTTTCTCCGAGCTCCCTGTGTGGAGCGAGAGTCCTGCTCCTCCTTTCCTCAACCAGCAAGGCCCGAGCCTCCCTCTTCGCCGCGCTTGGCTGTGGCGGAGCCGGCCCCCACTTTCCTTGCCGGTCGGCTCCCTGGCCTCTCGCGCGGCGTATCGCGTTCTTTTCCGGCTCCCGGGCCTGGTCCCGCGGACGGGGCGCCTCTCTAGCGGCCGGGACGGGCCATTCATTGATTCATTGCGCTGACCAACAGTTTCAGGGAGCCGGTTGAGAGCTGGGCGTCGGTGGGGGCGAGGGGAATTCCATGGTCCATTTGACACCGCCCGTGCTCTCACCACCTCCTGCCTAGGCACATCGCGGCGGGGAAGAAATGGCTTCTAGCTCATGCCACTTGCTTTACAGATGCAAGATCAAAGAGTCAGAGAAGTGAATAACTATTTCTTCCGACTTACGGTTCTCTGTGTTTAAAACCTCTTTTCACACATCTCATTTTACCAGAGTGATCCTTTACCAAGGAAAACAGTGTAAATTAACCTGTCTGAAGTAATCCCATGGCTTCGCATTGCATTGAGATGGCCTGCAATGGTCCTTACGCAGATGAATGCTCTTACCCTACACACACACACACACACACACACACACACCCCCCACACGTCTGGCTGCTGTTAGAGTACTCTTCGCAGAATTGATCCCAATTTGTATTTTTTGTGTTTATTTACTTGTTTCTTTGTCCCCATTTTGAGGTCAAGGACAGGGATTGTATGGGTCCTGTTTACATGATTACCCCAGTGCCAGACAGTTCCTGGCACAAAGACTTTGCTGAATGAGGCTGTACAGATGCGGAGGGAGGTGACTGCTGAGAGCAAGTAACCATAATGGGCAAATGGGATCATACAGTTTGAGCACACTCTTGTGAATGCCCACCTCGCTTTTTCAGTTTAAACAAGATGAAGTGACTTAAGGAGAGAGTAATATACTGAAGTTGCATTACCGGGCAAAATGACATAAGTACTAAACAGAGGACAAAAAAAATTGCCTTAAGCTACGAAAAACATGGTCATTTCCAGGGCCAGTGGCATCTCTGCCCCCTGACACGATGTTTCTAAATGTTTGTAACTGTTCACAGTGGAGAGGTACCTTTTATATTTCTCAATTAGGTGATTGCAATTTCCTCACCTTGTTTTGTTTCTTCTCCCAAATTATATATATAATTTGGGGAAAAGCCAATCAGAAGATGAGGTTGCTGCTGGTAGGGAAGGGGCAAATTAAACAAAGGATTCTAATAAGATTAGATTGTCCATCTCTTAGAATCTGATTGTGTCGTCTTTACCCTTTGATATCAAGCTGCTTTTTTCCTTATACCTCTCCAAACTCTACCTATTCGATTCGTTTTATTTTCAGTTGCTCCCTGATACATTTTTTGAGCAGCCATTAAAGCTGTGGTTCATTACTTATAGTAAGTACTCAATACATGTTTCTTCAATTTAATTTACAATGCCTTACCTTTATTTAGAAGTTGAGCTGTTAGTTACCCTTTTACCTGTTATGCTGTTTGGACCACGCAGAAGCTCTGATAAATTCCCTTGTACCACTCATTCACTGGAATATTTGGTTATTGAGGAGTCTGAAGCATAGATAAGTTGAACCCCCTCTTTCCCAATCCTTAAAGCCTTCCATTAGGTTAAAATGCCTGTATTATTCTGATCTGGGTAAAGGACACTAATGGTGTATATCACTCACTAGAAGTTGAAAAGAGTTAATAATACATGCAGTGGTGCCAGTAATAATCTAAACCACTTGAGAAGATTCTTACTGAAGAAGATACCTAATGGTGAAAATTTGTATTTGCATATACCTTTATTTGTTTTTTAAAATAACAGGTAAATCATCACTTGAGCTGGAGAGATAGTACTATCAAAGGAGAATATGATCACATATGAATGCAGAGTGTTATTCACTAGATGGAGGAATTGAGATAATTGGGCATGTATCTTAAATTTCGACTTTTTTAAAAATATTATGCCAGCAATTTGTAGTATAGTGGAGTGATTTTTTTTACAGAATACATCCTACCATCTTCATTATTGCCATCATAGAATATAATTTCTCTCTTACATCTACTAAATAGGGACAGAAATAGCACACAGGATTGTATTAAATAAGACTAACAAAATGTTCAGTGGTTGGCTAGGTTCACTCATTGGTTTAATGACTTGTTCCCAGACTTCAGCCTTGGGACTCTAATTCCTGTCTCAACAAAGTAACACATCACTTGTTATGGACCTTGGAGGTTGCTTCAGCTTAATAGAACCACAGATCTTCACATAGCATGGGTCTTCTGTAATGAACGTTATACTAGTGATTTAAAACTGCCAAAGTAAGGCTTTAGGAGATACATTGAGTGTGGGTTTTTTTGTTTTTGTTTTTTATAATTTCCCATGGTAATTCTAACATCCTTAAACTCCTGTTATTCCATCTTTTTTCATGTAACCAGCAGCAGCATTAGTCATTTTATACCTTTTTGTTGAGCAGCGCTGACTCCCAGATGCCCTCCTCTTTGGCAAGTAAAAAGAACATTGTGCATTCTGAAGGGTCTAATTCAGACACTGTCTCCTCCTTTGTCTCCTGAAGATTTAAGCAAACTAACTAACTTCTTTGCTTATTCACTTCCATTTTTATAAAGTTATTTTGAAGAACATTCTGGCCCTTATTTTTTAAAGACATGAGTATAATTAAACTAATTTAACATCTCCCTTTGGCACTATTAAGAAAGTGTGTTTTCTTGGAATATCGTCATTATATAGACACCCAAAGTCACATGTTGAATCATCATCAGACTTAGGAAAATAATCTCTTCCAATCTAATTCCTTTTTTTCTTTATACACTGTCACATATTCATTGGTAAGAAAACCAACAATTGGTTTGGCCCTTGAACTAAAGTTGTATTGATACATTTGGCTATTTTCTGTTTAAGGGAGCCATCAACAACAATTTTTAATTTACTCAGAGGGAGGAGGAACTATATTTCTTTCCCATTTATGAGTAAATATTTGTCTTTTTTAAGTTCTAATATCTTTCTCATTTTCACATTGTGTTAAGATTTTTCAGAAATAGGACAACTGTTAGTACCCTGTGTTTGTGACACTTGGAGTTAACCATTGGTGGCTCACTTTGATATATGTTTAGCCTGTGTTAAGCTTTACTGAAGGAAAAAAGTTACTTGAAATACATTTGCCACATACAAACCATGAAACAGGAAAGAGAATAACGATTCCCTCCTAAATTTTGACGGTACAAACATTTTTTAACACATCTGTTTCAAGGAAAGGACCACTGACTTTAAGCAGGTTATAACTAAAAATACATAGTTATAAACCACAGTGCTTCTTTCTGATCTTGGAAGTGTTGAGGATGATAACTAATAGTCCAAATTGGATTTCTTGTAAATGACTTTGGGGATATGTTAACTGAACCTACTGTTTATCCAAATCCAACTGTAACAAAATCAAACTTAAAGTTCTGTATTGGGTTCTTAAATAATTTCTTCAATTTGGAGGGATATTTGTGATTTCAACCCTATAGAACAAGTAGGGCTCACTGATTCTAGAGAGAAGTAGATGAGTTTAATTCTGCCCTGTATTTGCTTGTGTGAGCTTAAGTATGATAAACTTCCCTGAACTTGTTTCCTCTCAGAATTTTGAGAATAATTTGAGATAATCCACAGTGGCTAGCATATAGTATGTTCAATAAATGCTGCTTCCTATAAAAAGTTCCTAGAAAATCTATGGTGGAGGGCTGGCTGTGGAATACTAGGTAATTTGGGACGACAGTGGAAATGATCTGTATCTTGATTGTGGTGGTGGTCACGTGGGTTTATAGATTTCTCAAAAGTCGTTGAAATGTACACTTAAGAGGAGTACACTTGAAAATTTTATTGTATGCAAATGGTACCTTAATAAAATAGATTTTTTTTAAAAGAGCCACTTAGATTAGTCTCTTACATTAAAGGAAGAAATTTCTAATATTTTAGAGCTGACTGAGACTTTGGTAGTGATTTAATATATTAGTTTCCTCATTTAACCAATAGTAAATTTGAGGCTTTGAAGAGGAAATGATTTATCTTTGGTCACACAGTTTTAGAAATGGCAACACCGTTTTGAAACCATTTCTGGTTCCCATTCCAGTGTGCATTCTAGTTATGGACTAGTATAGTTACTTGCAAATCTAGGTCTTTCCTATTCTTTAACTTGATAAAGAAGTTTTTAATTCTGAGTCCATAAATGGGTTACAGAGGAGTCTGTGAATTCCCTGAAATGTGTAAATTTCAGGAAAAAATAAATTATATGCAAAACAACTTGAAGTTGTGTATTTTCATGAGGAAAAGACCCATAGATTTCATTTGATTCAAGAAATGTTAACCTCTGCTCTTGTGGTAGTGTCCTGCTCTTATTGTTAGTGCGTTTAAGTTAGGTAGTCTCCAAAAGAGAAGTTCGATGAATTTGTTTTTCTGCTGCTGGACAGTGTGTGCTAGTAGGTTGTATTCATATTAGCTACACCTCAGAAATGTATTAGTAAATTATAAATTAAAAGAATTGCAGCAAGTGAACTAGGAATCTTTGGAGATGATCTTTAAATACAGAATGAGGGGGAGGTTATAGCACAGTGATAGAGTGTGTGCTTAGCAGGCACCAAGTCCTGGGTTCAATCCCCAGTACCTCCATTAAAATAAATAATAAAGAAAGAAAGAAATAACCTAACTTCCTCCCCCCCAAAAAATTATAAAAAAATAAATAAATACAGATGAGAGGAGGAGGAAATCTGCCTACTGTTTACTCATAGTTCCATCAATTGTGAAATGTGGATAATAACCACACTGCCGTGATCATTAAATGAAACCATGTTTCAAAAAGTACAATATAGTTCCCTCATCCACCCCACCCCACTCTTTTACTTCCTACTCCCTTTTAGGAAGGCATCAATTTTCAGATTCTAATATTTTTGTGAAAGTTGTGCCTAAATGATCCTTGGGATTCAGAAAGAGAGAGGCATTTTGGGTTTTTATTACCATTAAGATCTAGTCAGGGATAAAGAAGATGTGGTATATAGATCTTGTCAGATGCTAGAGTTGTGTTTTGCAGTTTTATTCAGGGGTGATGTCCGAAGTATTTTATAAGTTGTCTGATACTATAAATTAATCTGTAAATCAGTATATAACTCAAAATGTTAAAAGATTTTCCCTTTTATTTTCCAAAATAACCGAGTTTCCCTGTGTTATAAAATTACTTGTTGATGTAGGTGGGGGGGTGTATTGGTGGCTGTCATTAGTACAATTATGTCCATCTGAGCCATGATTTGACATAGAGAACTATGTCAAACTATTTCACTGACTTTTCCCATTAAAATGATGGTCTCATAATCTCAATAAGTAGAGATTTTCTCTTAGTATCAATGATATTGTTCATGGTGCTGATTGTTTTTTCAGATTCTACTGAACTAACGGCAGTAGCACTTTAATTTTGTCTGAGATTTTTTATATATTCCTTATCTCTGTTGTGTAGAAATAGTTTTTTGTACAGTTGTCTTTAGATCAGACCTAATATTTCAGGCAAGTGAGAAGCAGCATTAGCAAAGCAGTTAAAGTATGGACTCTATTGCCAGATTGCCTGGATGAAATCCTGGGCTTTGCCACTTAACTTTTAAATAACTTCTCTGTTTCTCAGTTTTCTCATCAAATGAGAGTGATAATGATAAGACAGTGCCCGACAAAGCAAGCAGTATATATGTGAGCTCTCATTTTTAAGAAATAATTATATTTATCCCATAACAAATAGGTATTCAGTAGGTTTAAACTAACTCCTTTTATTAAGTTGGGGGTGAAATTCAACAGAGATGATGAAAAGAAGGGTCCCTACCTCAGATATTTCCTGGTACCAAACTGTCCTCACTGCCTTATTAATTGTTAGAATGGCTACAGAACTCATATCTCCAAACGTATACCTGAGAGGGCCACACTACCATCCACCTGACATCTCTAGTTCTCTTAGAACCAAAGTACCATGGAGGCTGCAGTTCCCACAAGTAGCCTCGAAATTTGGAATATTACTGGCAACAGGTGGTCATGGCCTTAAGGACCCAAGTAGACACCAGACATTGGCCTTCCAGAGTGCTAGCACTACTCCAAGGGAACCGTCTGCTCTGCTGGAGCCAAGCCCACTCTGGAAATGGAATATTTGGGTATGGGGTCTGGTGTTCAGAAGCCATGATTTGCTGACTTAAGGGTACCAGTGCAGCCTGGTGTTGTTCACCTAGGGTTCCCCAGGATAGGATGGGTACAGGGGTGCTGGATACAGGTCACAGATTGGCTCTAGAAAGGGTGATGGAGTTTACTTACAGTGGTGTATGGAAGACAAGCCTCTAGGAATGAGTAATGACTAATCAGTATAGATACTGTATAGATACAGTATAGATACTGTATGGCTGGAGCCTTGTCTGTGGGGCCGTCTTTAGGATTGTGGCCATCCAAGAGACTGTGGACAGGAAACCCAAAGCTCAGATTTTAGCTGTTATTCCCACTGAGTTTTTAAGGTGATGTAATACTCTAAATAAACATATCCTATCTTCTGGTGGGAATTACATTTCCAAAAATACTTTTTAAAGTTGAAGACCTATCTGTAGCAACATAGAAAGGGCAAGTGCTTAGACCATACTGCTTTTGCTGTTGGAAGTGGAGGGAAAGTACCCTTTTCCTTCTGCATCATTTAGGAGCCTATGCTTTCTTGAGGAGCATCACTGATGAGGATTGCAAAACAGCTTTTAGCAGATTACTATGAGGCACTTAAAGAAGACTTAAGTTGCATGGTATTTCAGTCCATTTAGCAGAACTTCACTTTGTGGTTCATTCGGTCAAGCAAGTGAAATGATAAACATTAAGCTAAAAGCTTCTAATCAAGCTTCCATTTATAGAAGGCTATTGTTCAGCTTGGATAGAGTAAATGTTAGTATACCTCAAAGTCCATCTTAAACTTCATTCTCTTCAACAAAGACAGTTGTCCTTTTTGTTCCACGTCTTTCTATTTGTGTAATGGGTAGGTCATCATTCTGTCACACTAAAGTGTAGTGGTAACATGTAAATACTGTGAGGAGCTGTGTAATACAGTTCAAGAAAGCGTTGGATGTTCATAGCAGCACAATTTACAATAGCCAAGACGTGGACGCAACCTAAATGTCCGTCAACAGATGACTGGATAAAGAAGTTGTTGGGGGGGGTGTGCATATATATACACATATATATAAAACGTATGTATGTGTATATATATTCACATATGTATATATAATGGAATATATATATATGTATTACAACTTCTTTATCCAGTCATCTGCTGATGGACATTTAGGTTGCTTCCATGTCTTGGCTGTTGTAAATAGTGCTGCTGTGAACATTGGAGATACATAAACATGGAACTATTAAGAGATTTGTGCATTTTAGATTTTGATAGATTAAATTAGTTTACATCAAGTATATGTATTGAGACAAGCTCTCCTGGTATTTATGAAAAATATATTTCCTCTAAAGCACTACTGCAGAGTAAGTCTTGGTTTGACTCTAATGAAACTCACATGTTTACTTTCTTGTCTTCACTTGAAGCCTGTGCCTACTGCACTGGCCCAGGTGGATAGAGAAAAGATATATCAGTGGATCAACGAGCTGTCCAGTCCTGAGACAAGGGAAAATGCTTTGCTGGAGCTAAGTAAGAAGCGGGAATCTGTTCCTGACCTTGCACCCATGCTGTGGCATTCATTTGGTACTATTGCAGCACTTTTACAGGTGGGTATATATCCATGAGTTGCAGTTCAGTCCTGTTTATCACACTTGTATCTCTCTGCCTTTGCCCAAATGATTTTGAAAACTTTAGTAATGTTAAAAGTCAGCATTTGTAAGAATCTGTTTTAGAAAAGTCTGAGGTACTTGTTAAATGCAGATTCTTGGATCCTACCCAAGAAGTTTGATTTATTTAGTCTGAGATGAAAAATTTGTATGTTTAACAGGCAACTCACCCACTCCCAGGTGACCTGATGCAGGTGGTCTAAGAACTACACTTTGAGAAACACAGCTTTAGGAGTACTACAAAATAATTCTACATGACAGGGGAAGAGAAGGTGGAAAGGAAGGTATAAGGACTGAAAGGTATATTCTGGGGAAAGAAAATATTAAGATAAAGATATAACAGCTCTACAATTAAAGTTGGGTATACTTGAACATTAAAGAATAAATAACTGAAATTTGGTTCTGACCAGAATGGTCATTTGTGGGGAATAAGTTGAAATGGTGTAGTCCTAAGATACCAAGATAGAATGATCATCCTTTAAAGTATTGTTCACAATTCCTAATAATTAGATTAATTTTTCACATTCTATCTCTATTACATGTGTCCAAAAAACTAATCCTTCTTATAGGACTATTTTCTGTGTAAAAGTTTTACAATGAAGATAAATGGAATTGTACTCAGCAAATCACCTTTTGACAGAGAACACATACATTCACTGATGTTTGTATATATCCCCACACATACACCCTTGTTCTTACCTCCCCCTTTTTGTAGTTGCTACCTGACCAAACAGAAACTTCTTTGAGTCACTGTGGTTCATTTACTAACACTTTCTGGCTAGCTGTCTCATCACCATAACTTAAAGTACATTGTTGACAAAAAGAGGGATTATAAATGTAAAAGTCCTTCAAGTGAAAGCCTCAACAGATGATGCAGGATGTAGGAGGAAGTGTGGGTGACCACAGTTGCCTCTATAGAAGTCTTCCTAGAGATATATGTAGTAATGTCTCAGATAGTCTCAGTCAAATTCATTTGTGATGAAAGGATGGGAAAATGGTTTATTTCTGCTCCCTCTTTGATGGTTTGGTTCTTTCAGGATATGTGGAATTAAAGTTGTTTGATTTCATACCATGGGAATTAAAGTTATTCCTTGTTCATCTGGTGCTGATTTCCATTTTTTAGGAAATTGTAAATATTTATCCATCTATCAATCCACCCACCTTGACAGCACACCAGTCTAACAGAGTTTGCAATGCTCTGGCATTACTGCAGTGTGTGGCATCACATCCAGAAACCAGGTAAGTGCTTTGGATGAGTGTGGGAGGGGAAGTTTGTATTGAATGTGGTCCTACACTACTTCTGAATGATGAGAAGAGGTGCATGTGTGTGTGCTGGCTCTTCAGGGCTCTCGTTTACTTTTTTTTTTCCCCCTGAAGAATTTCTCATCTCTAATTTACCAAATTTTAGTGTAGTAACAGCATGGGATTATGTTCTTTTATAATTAACATGTTCTTTTATAATTAATTTTTTTGCTTTTTAAAATAGTGATAAAATATAAATAACATAAAATGTGTCATTTGAATCATTTTAAACTGTCTGGTTCAGTGGTATTAAATACATTCATGATGTGCAACCATCACTACCATCCATCTCCATAATTCTATTCATCTTGTAAAACTGAAACTCTATACCCATTAAACAACTCCCCATCCCTCTGCCTGCCACCCTGCCCCTGGCATCCACCATTGTACTTTCTGTCTATGGTTTTGACTGCTCTGAGTACCTCATATGAATGGAATCATACAGTATTTGTCTTTTTGTGATTGGCTTATTTCACTTAACATAATGTTTTCAAGGTTCATCTATATTATAACAAATGTCAGAATTTGCTTCCTTGTTAAGGCTGAGTACTGTTCCATCTCATTTACTTTTTACCCATTGATAGCAAGGAACTTTAAAGGAATGGTTGTCACCTCTCAGGAAAGATCAGGCACATGGCATTCTCTCCCTCCTAAATCCATAGTAGGCATCATTATGCTATGAGGAATAGTGCATTTCATTTAGTAGGAGTTCAGTAAGTATTTGAACCCAGCACTTTTTCCTCACATAATAAGCCAGTTTTGGCTTCAGAATCTTTCTTATTAATTCAGGATTCTAGACAACCTCTGTAATAGATGAGAGAATTGGCATGCAAGTTGAGACATTTTTGCCTTCCTGCTATATCTGAGAAATTGAAAAGAGGGAAATTCTGTTCAGGAACCTACTTTGTGACTTTTATGGCCCTAAGACACTTAATAGTCATCTTATTAAAACCTTTACTTTGTCAAGTTTTCCTTGTAAAATCTGAGTGCTGGGTTGGCATTGACCTTTCAGAGCTTTAAAGAAGTTGATAAGAAAATTATTTGTAAGCACTTAAGAAAAATGTAAGAGTACTCTGAGTGTTAAAATTTGGGGGGTTTTGACTCCCCTTTGAGGTGTCACTATAAATTATATAAAGTAATAGACTGATTCCATGTTAGTTGCCTGAACATATTATCTGCAGATTAAAATGTTTTTAGAATGTTTAGTGTATCTAAAAGCTCTAACAACAACAACAGAAAGTGTGTATTTGTACATAGCAGATAAATCTGGTGTTGGCTGCTTTGTTTTATTATCTTGGTTAATCAGATTTTGTCAGCTTGTACTTATGAATATTATTATTCAGTTATAAATTAGATGAGAGAGAATATCCAGGAGAATCTCTCGGGCACTTAATTAATTACATTTTATGGCCTATTTTTTAAAACTTGCAGTTGGATATTTTATCAGTTTTTAAAGTACTAGGTGCTGGTTACAGGGAAAATCATGTATTCTCTTAACCATTGGTCTAGGGTAGGGCTTTTCAGCCTTGACACCATTGGCATTTGGGGCTGGGTATTGTTTGTGGTAAGAGGGGGACAGGAAGGGGTTGTACTATGCATTGTAGGATATTTAGGAGTACCCTTGGCTTCTGCCTATTGGATGACAATCCCCTCAGTTATGACAACCAAAAAATCTCCAGACATTGCCTCATGTACCCTGGGGGGCACAGTTACCCCACCTAAGGATCACTGGTCTAGACTAATAACCAGCAACAGTCATTCCTAGAGATTCCTTGGTCAAGCAATGTTACAGGCCTAACAGAATTAGCCACCTGGAAATTTGAATGTTCAGAATCCTTAGAAATTAACTCTGGGCTCTGAATGTGATTATTTTCTCTTCCAGGTCAGCATTTCTTGCAGCACACATCCCACTTTTTTTGTACCCTTTTTTGCACACTGTCAGTAAAACGCGTCCCTTTGAGTATCTTCGGCTAACGAGTCTTGGAGTTATTGGTAAGTTATTAGGATTGTTTTTGAAAATCTGAAATGATCATTTGAAATAGTGTTCTTAACATAGGTGTTTTGTCTGGCTTTTGATAGTTTTTGTTCACTGATTGTTTTCATCTTTGAGGTTGCGTCTGTTTTCACTAATAAATGAACATGAGGAACATGATTGCTCTTATCAGGTACCATTCTGAGTATTGTTACTAAAGCTATGAGGCCCATTAAATTTAGTGTATATGTAGAAATGTTTACTAAATTTAGGAAAAGTAAAGAACTAGAGCATTAGTAAATAAATAAAGAATATTACAGGAATAAGAATTTGAATTTGTTGTTTTGGTTTGGTTTTTTGTCTTTCTCACTGCTAAGCTATTCTCCCATAACTCCAAGGGTTTGCCTTCTGTTTTATCTTGTTGAATCTCTGCATGTTCAAGTTAATGTTTCCATATATGTTTATAGTGGGAAATGTGTCTAAAATACTTCTTACTTAAGAAAATAATATATCAGCTATTTCAGATCTCAGACTCCTGGGTGGGAAAGAACTATCTTTGGATTTGTGAAATGTAAATACATTCAAGAAGGTTTCTTTCTTAAATTGCCCTTCCTTTTTTCAGTGTCTTTTTCTGATAGCTTTTGCTTAAAGTACTAACCAAACAAAAGAACACTGATTATACAAACTGTTTTGTTAGGTTATTATTTTTATGTTCAACCTTTGTCATATCCCTATGATTATAAACCGTGAGTCAGGAAGTATAACTTAAAAGTTTGGTATTTCTAAGATACATTTCTCAGAAGCATTTTAGTCTCCTTTAAGGAGTAACTGTTATCTCATACTCTCTAAATGAATGTTATTTCTTTTTATATCTCCTAGATGATACTCTATTAGATACTTTTCTCCAATGTATTCTTTTCTACTTCTAAGATACATTCTCAAGTAGGATTTAAAACATCAACATGATTCCAGCCAAAAGAAAACATTTATATTTATAGTTCTGATTCAAATCATCCTACTTCTGCTGGTTTCTTGACTACTGCATTTGGATGATACACTTATGTGATGTTAGGATAAAAGTTGACAGTGGGGGGATGTGAAAAAATACTTGGACAGTACTAAGTCAGTTGCCTACGCTTGCATATATTTTTTGAAACTCAGTTTTTCCCAAGTCATTTGAGAGAACAAGCAGAAGGTGAATATTTGGTTTTAGACTTTTTCCTACAGTTCAAGGGTTATCAAACAAGTTTGAATATAAATGAAATGATACATACCATAAAACAAAAAATATCTGAAACTGAATGAAAATAAAAATGTAATGTATCAAAATTTGTAGGATGCAGCTAAAACGGGGCTTAGGGGAAGTTTATAGTATTAAATGCTTATTCTAGAAAGAGAGGTCTTTGGTGATCTATACTTTCAATGTAAGAAACTAGGAAAAGGAGCAAATTAAGCCAAAGCAAAAAAAAAGGAAGGAAATAGTAAAGAATAGATATCAATGAAAGTAGGAACAGGAAAACAGTATATAAAATAAGTGAAACCAAAAGCTGATTTTGTTTAATTGAGATATAATTGACATTTGATATACAACATAATGATTTGACTGTATATATAATTGCAAAATTATCACTACAGTAAGTTTAGTTAACATCCCTCATCACACATGGTTATAACATTTTTTTCCCTGTGATGAGAACTTTTAAGATTTATCTTAGCAGCTTTCGAACATACAATACCGTATTATTACTATAGTCACCATAATGTACATTACATCCCCAGGACTTTTTTTTATCTTACAACCAGAAGGTTATACCTTTTGACCACCTTCACTCATTTTATCCACCCTCAATTTTTTATTCAAAAAATTCGATTAAATTAATAAACCTCTAGCCAGATAGGTTGAGAAAAAAAAGAAGACACAGATTACAAAATATCATGAATGAAAGGGGGTGCGTTATAAAAGACTCTACAGACATTAAAAGAATAAAAGGTAATACTGCTAATAACTCTTTGCCCTTAACTGTGAAAACTTAGGTGAAATGGACAAATTCTTTGCAAAAATACAGTCTGCCAAAGTGCACTCAAGAAAAAATTGATAAGCTGAATAGTTGTGTAGTTAAAAACCTTCCGGCGTAGAAAATTCCAGGCCCAAATATTTTCAACTGGTTAACTCTACCAAAAATTTAAAGAAGAAATAATGCCAATTTTATAAAACTTCTCCAGACCATAGAGAGGAAACTTCTCAACTCTTGGTGAGACCAGCATTCCAGAGTAATGGTAATAAAAATAGAAAAAGACATTGGGGGAAAAAAAACTGTAGGCCAGTATCCCTCATGAATATAGATGCAGAAATTCTCAACAAAATGCTAACAAATCAAGCCTAAGAATAATATAAAAAAGATCATCATGACCAAGTGGAGTTTATCCCAGGAATGCACGCTGGTTCAGTTTTCAAAACTGTCATTATGATTGACCATATCAACAGACTAAAGAAAAAAAATCATATGATCATTTCTGTAGTTTAAAAAAAGCCTTTGAGAGAATTCAATATCCATTTATGATAGAAACTCTAGCAAAGTAGGAATAGAGGGGAACTTTCTCAACCTGGTAAATTAGAAAACAAAAACAACCCTACGGTTAAGATCATAGTTAATATGAAAAACTGTAAATTGTCCACTAAGATTGAGAACAAGGCAAGGATGTTCATTCTCACCATTCTTACTCAGTCTCATCCTAGATATCCTAGCTGGTGTATTACAGCAAGAGAAAAAAATAAATAAAGGGCATACAAATTAGGAAAAATTAAGACTGTATTCACAGACAATATGATTAACTACCTTGAAAAATCTTGGAGAATCTACAGAAAACTCTTAGAACTAGTGAATTTAACAAGGTTGCAGGATATAAAGTTAGTATACAAAAATCAATCATTTTTATGTGCTAGCAATAAGCATTTAGAAATTGAAATTTCACCATAACATATGAAAAACTTGAGTGTAAATCTTATAAAATACATGTAAAATCTGTTGCTGGAAACTAAAACAATGATAAAAGTAGTCAAAGAAGACCTAAATAAATGCAGAGATATACCATGTTCATCAGTTGGTGTATCACTGATTCAGTATTGTTGATGTCATTCTCCGCAGACTGATACGTAGACTTAGAGCAATTCTAACAAAATCCCAGCAGGATTTTTTTTTAAATATATAGAAATTGAAAAGGTGTCCCTAGAATTTATCTGGGAAAGCAAATGAACTAGAATACCCATTTTTTGGAAAGAAGGATAAAGTTGGAAGATACACACTACCTGATTTCTAGACCTACTGGAAAACTACAGTAGTCAAGACAGTGTGATACTGGGGGAAAGACAGACTTGTAGATCAGTAGGGCAGAATGGAGAGTCCAGAGATAGACCCACACAAATATAGTCAGTCGGATTTTTGACAAAGGTGCAAAGAGAATTTAATGAAGAAAGGATAGTCTTTTCAATAAATGGTACTGGAATAATTAGATATCAATATATAAAACAATGAGCCACAATCCGTACCTTGTACTCTATGCAAATATTAACTCAAAATGGGTTATATATGTGAAAAATCTAAGTGAGGCATAGAAAAAGAGATCAGATTTGTGGCTACTAGAGGCAGGGGTGGTGAGGGGAGGGGGACTTAAGTCTAAGTAAAGTAATAATTTGACATCTGTTTTAGGCCATATTAGTGTAGCATGTGTTGTTTGCTGTGAGGTTTAGCAATAAGGCATTTATAGATTGTCATTTCTGGTTAAAGTAAATGATATTCCTTACTCTCACCTGAAATGATTGACTTTAGTTATTATAGATCCAGTTAACCAAGGCCTTTCATATAAAAGCTAGTGATACATTGGACAGCTCAGGGAACAGTCATTTGTTTAATGGAACTCTGCCTCCCTGTATACAGAATTGAGACAGTATCACTGAACTGTGTCACCTGGTCACTAGTGTCAGTTTAGAAACCAACAGAATAATAGAACTGGGATAAATTTTAGAATTCATTTGTTCCAAATCTTTTTTAAAGAAACAGAGGCCTGCAAAGGGAAGATAACTTTATCAAATTAGGTAAACTAGTTGTGGAACCAGAATTAGAGTCCAGGTGTTGGTGTGTGTGTATTTCTTGTTTAGGTATACCCTACAATGTTGATGCTTTGAGGGGAAAGAGGGGCAATTATATAACCAGGAAGTAATATTTGTTTATGCCTATTGTGAAGTACGATTCAAATTGACGTCATTTCTTTGCTGCTACTGATGTAGATTTCTCTCTTGCCTAAGATATTTGGAGAATAGATGGTGATATTACTGTATAATTGTCTACCAAGAGTGATAGCATCACTAGAAGTTTAACTGATACTAACTGTATGATGGACCAAACTTGGTGCCTGATCTTTAAGTGTTACAGATAACAGTTAGCCTGTGCCTTTTTTCTTCTTCCCTTTTTTTTTTAAAGAAAGATATGAATCTGATTCTCTGACATATAAACCACCATTGGTGTTGTATGTTATTTAAGTTCCACAAGTAGCTGGATGAACAAGTTTAATTAGAAATCCTGACTCTGAAATAATTTCGTTTGTCCATATTTTCTTTAGGGGCCCTGGTGAAAACAGATGAACAGGAAGTAATCAACTTTTTATTGACAACAGAAATTATCCCTTTGTGTTTGCGCATTATGGAATCTGGCAGTGAACTTTCTAAAACGGTATGTGCTTTTATATGTTAATTAGATTCTATATTGTGTTGACTCTTAGGCTACTTCTTTATGGTTGTGGGATCATTTTCTGCTTCCCTTCAAGTTTTTTGAAACTTTGATGAATATTTTTTCTCTTTCGAATAAAAATTGTTATATAATGATGATTTAAAAACCCACACTCTTCAGAAGAATATCAAAATAAACACTAAAGAGGTATCACCTCACACCAGTCAGAATGGCCGTCATTCAAAAATCCACAAATGACAAATGCTGGAGAGGCTGTGGAGAAAGGGGAACCCTCCTACACTGCTGGTGGGAATGCAGTTTGGTGTAGCCACTGTGGAAAACAGTGTGGAGATTCCTCAAAAGACTAGGAATAGACTTACCATATGACCCAGGAATCCCACTCCTGGGCTTGTATCCAGAAGGAAATCTACTTCAGGATGACACCTGCACCCCAATGTTCATAGCAGCACTATTTACAGTAGCCAAAACATGGAAACAGCCTAAATGTCCATCAACAGGTGACTGGATAAAGAAGCTGTGGTATATTTATACAATGGAATACTACTCAGCCATAAAAACCGACAACATAATGCCATTTGCAGCAACATGGATGCTCCTAGAGAATGTCATT